ATAATAATACACTACTTTCGTTATTTTATAAAGTTATAAAACTCGAAATTAATTTATTATTATTATTTGTAACTCTGTAAATAATTTTTAAATATTGAGGATTTCCTACTTTTTATATAATAGTGCACATAGTTGTACAATAAGATGATATGAAAACTATGAATAGTTAGTGAATATCATCTATAAAAAACTGATTTGATGTATGCTCTCAATAGTGTACCTCATTATTAAAGTGCTGATATAGTGTGAACTCAATTTGAATATTTGAGCGCAAATCACAAAAACTATTGTCTTTTTGTTTATTTATCTAACTTTTTGTTGTTTTGTATTAGTCAGTTAACTGTTAAAAAAATTATTTGTTAGTTTGTTTAGCCACTGGCCAAATACCATAGACATTATGTATGACTTGACATCACTTTTGCACGTTTTTATTGATGCACTAATCATACAAAGGGAGTGAATTATATTATAGCAGAAATATTTGAAAATGTGATTTTTATTATTAATATAATTTATTTGCATATAACCATACAGTGCACATTCAAATAAGTTTATATTTAAGAAAAGTAACTTTTGAGATAAGGGTAGACACTGAGCACCTGTAATCTTGCTTTATTTTATTTATCATTTTCATAGTACATGATATATATATTTTTATATAAATTTATGTAATTCAATAATATCTCAATGCCATAGATTAATACTGTACTTTTATTTTAAAATATTACTTATAAACAGTATATTACATAATGTATATAATAATTTACATATAAATTATATGTAAAGTATATGTTTATATATTTTATTATAAATAACTTTGTATATTAAATTGTAATTTAGCAGGATTTACACGTAACTATATTGGTGTACACAATATACATATATAATTGTTATGTTATATCATAATATATGACATAAGAACTGATGTTTTATTATTTGTTCATAAGTTTTATTTAATATTTACTTTATTTTATTTTTTTAGCATTTATAATAAGAAGTACTAGTGTTAGACAAGCTTGAATTAAATTGCAATTCAATAAAATTTATAAAAGTTGAATATAAAATTTTTATTGTAGTTTATAAATAAAAAAAATAATTAGTATATATATATACTAATTTACAGTATTTTAAACATAATTTTGTTAGTTTTAAATATATAATATTATCGAATGTTTAATAATCTTTTATTTTAAATTACTTTACTTAATATTTGTAGTAAATTCTATTTTAATGAATATTTATTACTTTGATTATTATTTTATATGTTAATTAAGTATATAATTTATAATAAAATATAGTTATTAATTTATATTTTAACACAAAAGGTTTTTTGAGAAAATTATTACTTTTTATCAAATTTATTTATCTTAATATATATTATTTTTCTATAAATTATAAAATAGAAAAAAAATGTGGTCTGACTTAATAAGTATTAATATTATTGCACAATAACTGGGAAGAAATATGAAATTTGTTTTAGCCTTTTATGTTAGTATATTATTTTATTTAACAAATTAACCGACAATTTACAAGCTTTTTAGGTTTTAGATTTATTGAGATATTTAAATTAATATTACTATTTTTACTTAAATAGTACATATATATACTGTATATAAATATTGTTTATTAAATACAGTATTTTTGTTGTTATTTAAATATAATTTAGGTATAAGTCGTTTAACCAATAAAGAAAAAAAGTATCAGAAAAAGTCATTTACATGAATTATTGATATATATTTATATTGTATATTAGTTTTATTTTTATCGTCAATTAAGAAACTGTTAAATGATAACCCAATTAATTAATATCTTATATATTTGTTTACTTATGTCCACAATTTTATTTTATTACTTTTTTAAGTTATGCTTTTGTTTTTAAGCAATAATTTATTTTACATTAGTTTATTGCGTTAATTTATTAAAAAAAAAATTATAAAAAATATTAATATATTATGAATTAATATAAAATATTATTATAAATATAGATTTCTTATACTGAAACTTCTATATTGAAATGTTTGATATAATTAAAACACGCCTTTTGTATATTTTTTTAATGATGATGGATTGGACGGCGATATACTGTATTAGATATTTATTTTTATATTTGCTTTTATTTTATTTATATGTTTAATACGTAATGTTAGAAATGTTTCTTATATTAACTTATTGTTTAAAAAATATTTTTATAATTGATATAATCATTATAAATGAGTGATGAGATTTATATATATATATATATATATATATATTAAATTTGCTTTAAATTATTAGTTAATTTCTATTTTATTAAAAATAGCACTACACTTAATTAAACTATTATATATTCAAATTATATTAACATTGATTTAGATTTCAAAGTTTAATTTGATTGTAAACTGTGGTTGTGGTATAAAGTTATATAAAGTTTATACTATAACTATTAAACATTATTTAAATCTAATTATTTTTTGTACTTTTCGACTTCGATTATACACTAAAGTATATTTAATACAATACATGACTTTTTATTATATCAGATACAAAACTTTTTTTTTGTATGATAATGCAAATATATTGATGTAGAGCAGGGAAAATAGTTAATAAATATTATATTAGAAATGACAAATTATTGAATTAATATATATATATATATATATAATTTACTGCAAATACTGTAAATATAATCTAAAATTAAAATTGTCATTTTTATTAACTAAAAAATAATTAAAATAAAAATGGTTTTAATCAATTGCTTAACTAATATTACAGTACTTTAATAATATATTTTATACCCCCTGTGCTCTGATTACCCATTCTTTATATTTTATAATAAATGCAATAAAAACATAAAATATAAAGTTTTAAAATAGAAATTATTTTTTCTCAAAATAAAATATGAATAAATATGTACATCAATGAGCTCTATCCTCATCCCGTGCATAGCACAGGTCCAAAGCATACATATATAAGTTTGTGATAAAATGCTAATCGCAGTCACGGATCACATCAAAGTCGTGATCAGATCTCAGAGAAATTTATGTAAAGAGCGGGTGAGGTCTTTACAAAACCAAAAGCGCAAACACATAGCTATGTAGTCATTGGGATGGCATACACACCACGAGTTCACTGAGCGCACAGCCATATATATCCTGAGTGTGTTGAGAGAGAATCGGGTGGAGTGAGAAATACTGGTCCTCTAACTCTCCGCAAACACTGTATGACTGTTTGATAAGAGTTTGAGAGCACAACCATTTGGACGATGTGTGTCCCTTCTCTACCCTAAATAAAGGAAGACTAGTACAGTATTATAGAGAATGAGTGCCTCCTATGATGTGGTGGATCAACATTTTCATAGTGTAGACCCTGTGCTCGTTCTCCCTGTGCGTGCCTCTCAGTCTATTGATTGCAGTGCAACAGTTAAGAGGCGCAGTGATGGCAAACACAGACACATGTATGTGAGTGACTGCAGTCACTGCACACTCCACTCTTTGTCCAAAACAAACCCATACCCACTCTCAATACACACGCAAACCGAAAAAATCACTCACAGATCTGTATTTGTGTGCTCAGCCTGTAGTCTACTTCCACCTGCCATTCAAGACAGTCAATATCCAGCTCTCTCTTTAAGCTATTCACTCATACACTTCAACTATCAGTGCTTTATTTTTCGACAATCTTAGACCAGACCTATGACTTATACATCATTGTAAATGATGTTCAGTTTGTTTTTAATATATAAACTATATTAACGTGAATTTTGTGTCAATTTTTTAAAAAATATTTCCTTTTATACAATTTATAAATAAAGTGAAAATTAATTATATTTATATTTTTTAATTAAAAAAAATATTAATAAATTTTATTACTTTTTTGCTGGTGTTATATAAATATTGTATAGAAATTTTTATTTTTGTGATTTTTTATTTGATATCAATTTTACTGATATAGACGTCTTTCACAGCACTGAGAATGTATTGAGTTTTGATACCAAAAAAGTTTTCCCCATATTTACTCTCATATGAGAAAATATTTTATGTGTTAATTGAATTTAACAAAAAATATTAATATAATATTTTTTATTTGATTTTATTTTATTGACACAATTATTGTTTATTATGTTGTACTAACCATTTTTGAAACATAGATTTGTTAGGTAACGACGCTTTTAAGAGTAGATTTGATATAATGACAATAATTTATAAATTATTCAACACTTTTTGATTGAATAATATCTGAATAATAATCAGCTGTTGAGTTGCAGTCAGATCTCAACATTCAAATATATTTACAATATTTTTAAATAAGTGTTTTGTTAGACATTTGAAGGATATATAATATTTGTTTAGATTTGATTTATTCAATCAGTGTTTTATACTCAACAAAAAATTGGATATATAATAACAACAAAATCTGATGAATATAATTTTTAATAATTTTTGTAATAATTACATGATTTTTATAATGACAATAAATCCATAAAAATATTCACTTTTTTGATGATCAATTTTATTGAATTTAATGGCTATTTTATATTAGAAAAATATAAGATTGTGATAAAATTGTGCCATATTTTAAGGGTAAGTGTTATTTTATAAAATATTTTTATTTAGTTAATATCATTATATATATAGAAAATGAAATGTATTGAAGAGTTTTATAGTTTATCATTATATTTATTGTGTTAAACCAGTATATCTAAAAATATCTAGTTTTAAATTGAAACTTTCAATATTGAACTATCTTTTAATATCATAAATACACAGTAAAGTACTGTTTGGAATTTACCCAAACTAACTGATCATTTATCAAATACTTATATGATTTGAACCATTTTTTTAAATGAGATGATTTTTAAACAATTTAATAATTAATAAATAAATAATAATAATAATAAAATAAATATATTAAAGATATAAAATAAATAATTTGTTTTTTCAAGTTGAGTCTTATGACTTACACTATGTGAATATATAAATAAGTTGTTATCATATCAGTCATAATGAATTATCGACAATATGTGAGTGTGTGAGTGATAAGTGGTTGCATAACGAGGACACCTCCCAATCTGTGATGACATCCAAGGTTATTGTCCACAGATTGTATGATTTTATATATTTTTATTATTATATTAATATCTGGTTAATGTGATCTTGTATTTCATCTTTTTTACATTTTAATTTTCAAATTATATTTGTAATCAGATTTGTTAAAATATTTATTATTTTAGTTTTTCATTATTTTTTCCTTGAACATATGATAAAATATTGAGTTTTAAATTTTTAGTTTTACCAAATGTTTTTTTATATTGTAAATGAATTATTTATAATGTTGATATATTTCAGTTATAATTGTTTATAAAATATTTTTACATAAATATGTAAATAAACATTAACAATAAAATACTTATAGGTGTTATACATTAATTAGTTTTATAAATCAAAAATACAGATTTGAGTTTTGTGTTAGAAACTGATTGATAAATATAAATGTTTTGATGAGTTAGTTGCATATATTGTATATATATATAGTAAGTGATACATATTATATTAATTAACAAACTTAAACATTTAGTTCAGAACTTTGATTAATAGCTACAAATAAAAAAAAATTAAAAAAATAAAAAATGTTTATTTTTAAGATTTTTGTACAATTGTTTCTGAAGATAAAAACTTTTTATTTGCTTTCATTTAATGTGTTAAATCAATTTTGTACACACAATACATTTACAAATGTTATAACAATCTATTTAATATCTCTTCACTAAAAAAATCAAATCTAAAATACTATTTTATTTTTGTTTTTATTAGTTGCACACGTTTTTTACTGTTCAATGAATTTGTTTTACTTGATTACTATTTTATTACTCATACTATTTATTACACACACTTTATATAGTGTAGAGAATTAGAAACAATGCATTAATAATAATTTAATGCCATATAATATTCGGTATACTATAATTGATTTTAACAGTTATTGTCTATGTATTTATCATTAAAATACATTTTAGATATATAGCTTAATTTGCTGTTATATAAGTGATGGCTCATTACGATTAACCTGTGCTTAAACTTTGTATAATTGAATGTGTATTTTACTTAAAATTGCTAATAATTGCATTACAATTTAAGCAATGAGCCAACACTATGAACTAAATAATATACAGTACACACCCAAAACTTATGTACAAAACTAATTTTTTACAAAAGCTATTTGAGATAATCATTATACAGTAAATAAATAGTCAATAATGTAAATTACAGTAGCGTAATTGAAATTATAAACATTTGCTCAATTTAATTAATTTTTTAATGTTATAATTTGCAACTAATAAATTAAAGAATTAAAATGAACTAGTACATTTTTGAAAAAAATTGTATTTTTTCTGACAAATCATTTATTAAAAATTTATAAGAGTTTGTTTGGTTCCATTAAAATACCATAAATTACATTAATGTATATAATATAATTAGATAACTTAATAATTAATAAATACTATAATAAATGTATTGTAAATTAACACAATTATATTTTGTTAATTTACACTATTTTTTATTAGAAAATATAATAACTAAAATTAAAGAATTCAAATTTATTACTACAGAATTTTATAGTTTTTTATATTAACTTCACATACCTGTCCTAATATCCCTGTGCTTAACGACATTAAAAATAATTCAACTATATATTAATTTGTCAGAAATTCAAGTGAAATGTTTTAGTTGGTTCACTCAAATGGTTGATACCCTGTTAACAAACAGTCTGATTCATGTTTTATATAATAAAAGGTAGAATAGTATTATATTATAGTATGTTTACCCCTCCTATGATGTGGTGGATCAAGATTTTCATAGTGTAGAGTCTACTGTAGACCCTATGCTCATTCTCCCGGTGCGTGCCTCTCAATCTGCACATAGTTTTGAACAATCGTATGTAACTAACAGATGGCAAAGACATACACATTGACACTGAATGTGATTCACTACACACTCCACTCTTTGTCTAAACCAAACCCCACTCTCAATACAAACCGAGAAAATCACTCACAGATGTTGCAGAGCCTGTAGTCTACTTCCACCTGCCATTCAAGACAGTCAATATCCAGTCCTCTCGTCTACAGTAGCTATATATACAGTGTTATAGTATTATACACTAAAAACTACCAGTGCTTTATTCCTCGACAATTTCAGACCCAGACTCAGCACTAATATGTCATTGTAAATGATGTTCAGTTGCTTTCTATATAAATATATATACAGTATATATACCGCTATATTCTTTTGTGAATATTTTCATCAAATTTATAAGTATTATATTATTTAAATTTATCTCATTTTTGTTATTTTGTTTGATGTGTTTTTTTTAAATAGTGAAATTGAAATTATTAAAGGTTAAGAAAATTGCAATATTGAAAATATTGATACTTATTTGTTGCACATAAATGTTATTTTTGCAATGTTTATAATTGCGCTACAATTAAATAGTTTAAAATCAAATGCATTTATATTAATTACAAATACATATTGAAATTTAATAAAGAAATAAATTTTATAACAAAAAATATATTGTTAAATACAGATTTGCATAATAGTGGTGAATGGCAGAGTTCACACTGAAGATGGCTGAATGTCCTCCGGTGCAGATGGAACCGGTAGATCTGTCAATGGGCAAGAAGTATAGTAAAACAGTGAACTGTCATCGTTTTCATAATCACCACAAGAAATCACTTAATGGTAGTTCTCAGTCAGCGGCGGCAGCAGCGGCCAGTCTTTTACACCGACATCATAACGGTTCCTTCACTAATGGATTATTAGCAGCCATTTATACACATAACAATTGTATACCGACATCACCCATATCACCATCAATAGCTGTTCCCATCTCACCCTTATTGGGATCGTCGCCATTGGTATATTGTGTTACATATTTAATAGTGATTAGCTCTAAAAATAATAAATTTTATTTTATTACAAATATATTAATAAAATAATTTAATTATAATATTGCACTTATATATAATAGGCAACATCAACAGTCATGTTAAATAGTAGTAATATTAACTCATTATCAATGGTCTCATCGGGAACCACATCGACACTGAACTCACAAACCAACAGTTCCTCACCCATTGATTATTATAAAGAAAGTTTAAGACGTCGTAAAGTTCATAGATGTGATTACGATGGCTGTGAAAAAGTCTATACTAAAAGCTCACACCTAAAGGCACATAAAAGAACCCATACAGGTATGAACAGTAATTTTTTTTGTATTAATATTACAACTAGTCGTCCAATATATAATAATTAACTAATTTATATCACTTATTCATTTATATTATTCAATGTAAACATTTTACATTCAATTAACAGAATATAAAACAATTTTTAAAATTTTTGTTTTTTATAGATCAATCACAAGTATAAAGTGATTAAATAGATAGATATCTTAAATTGAACCTAATTAAATATATAGATATTAGAAATTTCCAGAATCAGCCAGATAATCTATATTGGCCAACTAGAAAAATCAGCTAGATAAATTATATTATGTCTAAAATTGTTACATGTTATTGATATATAAATATGATGTTTTTAGCAAAATTTGTTAAATAAATTATAAAAAGAAAGTAAATCAAGTTTAATACCTATTACTCTATTTTTACTTATTATCTTAAGTAATAAGAAAAAATTAAATTTACATTTCTGATCGCTTAATACTGTAGACGTGTATTCAAATTACACGTAAACACACAATTGATAACTTAATAATGAATTACCGGTTCTTATAATATCGGTGTAAAATAATAAATTATAACTACTTGAATTGAATGTGTTAAAATTGTTTTAAATTTTTAATTAAATATAGTTTTGCATTTTTTACAATAGTGGGTTTAGATTAGGCTTTACAATTAAACCCATTTCTATGAATCAAAACTAAACCGAAACCATTAGTTATTACATAATAATTTATGTTTGTGTATTATTCAACATATCTTAAAGTTTAGTTTACAACAATATTTGTAATTCAAGTAATCATAATTAAACACTTTTAGGATATGTTATAAAATAGTATAATTTCAAAAATACTGTTACATATAATTACATATTTGATTAATAACTATTTAAATTAATATATAAAACTTGCTATAGTTTTAAGAAATAATATACTATACATTATGTGTCAAGTTTACTTAAAAAGTATATTTATTTGCAATTATATTTTTTATTTAATGATAATTTTTAATAGATTAATAAAGTATTTAATTTGATTATAATAAAGCTTTTATTATAAATATTAAATTGATTATTTTGGTCTTAAAATATACAAAAATGTGAATGCATTTAATTATAAATTTAATTAATTTTCGGATCTTTAGTTATTAAATTATATAGAGTTAACATTTTTAATATTAAATTAAAAATTTATTTTTAAATCTCTTTTTTAAAATTATTATTTAATCTGCTATAATTAAAAACAGTTTTAATTAACAATTATTAACTTCTGAAATAATTTAATTTAATTTTGTTTTTTATTTGGCGCATATTTTGTTAGTTAATTGAGTATTAATTGTATTAATATATGTATAGGTGAGAAGCCATACACGTGTACGTGGGAGGGTTGCACGTGGAAGTTTGCACGTTCTGATGAGTTGACCAGACATTTCCGCAAACACACGGGTCAGAAGCCATTCAAGTGTCAGTTATGTCAGCGGTCTTTCTCCCGATCGGATCACTTGTCGCTACATATGAAGAGACATTGACTTGAATTGGTATCTCTCAACCCATCTCTTTGTTTTAGTAATCAATACATTCCTAACTTTTGAAAACTATTTATTAAATGTTAACAAATTAAGAGTATATTATTATATAAAATTGTGGCAAATATTATTATTATTGATTATTATTTGAATAATTACTGCCCTAAAAGTACAACACAATTCACTAATTAAAATCTCAATCAATGGTTGTGTTTAAACATTATTTTGTTAAAAATTTTAATATATTATTATTGAATTTTTATTTTGGATTATATATATATATATATATATATATATTATCTATGGTATTTTATAGTATTGTATATTATTGATATATTATTTATTTGTAAATTGATTATATTAAATACTTATATAATTCTCAATTAGCATAATTTTAAATTGTTTGTACAGTAAATAAACACAAATCAAATAATTATTTAAATAAAAATTTATTATTTTTATTATTTTTGTTAAATACAACATTCCTATTACAATAAATTTTAGACCAAAAAATAATTTATTAATTTAAGATACTATCGATATTTTAATTAAAGAGTTATAATAAAGATAAATCACAAAATAAGTTTTAATATTTTTTGCTCTAATATTATTGAAGTTTTATTAATATTAAATTTTATTAACTTTTAAAAAAATAATTTCGAAAACTAAATTAAAATAGCTGTTAAAACTTGAAAATTTTAATAGAAAATATACATATTTATAAGCAATTTATAATTATAAAAAAATTTAATTAATTAAGCAATGTATTTTATTAAGTTATAAATATAAATTGCTTAAAAATTTGTATAAATATTATTTTTATTAAACTTTTTTATATTTTAATTCTAGACAAAATATTAGGTTAATTTTAGATTACCAAAATTTATTTAATAGATGAAATACCGGTATATCAGTGTAATCATAATTGTATATAAATAAATAATAGATATCGTAAATTAATCAATCACTAAGTTTATAAATAAATTACATTTTATAAAATTTTGAATAAACTTCTCGAGATTTGATTACAGTGTTGTCATGTATAACAAAGTTGTTAATATAGCAAACATTTAATATAAAAGTCTCTCAATTGCCAAAAGTATTAATACAGTTGATGTCAAAACTGATTGAAAACTTTTTGCTAATTCTAAGATAATGTCATCTTCGACATCATTGACAACAAGTTTTGATGATTATTGCAAAAAGTCGTGGCCTTATTGTCCGCTTAAGGATTTATATGAGACTCATTTGGAAATGAATTTTGTTGACCACAGAAAGTCAAAATTGGATCAAACAATGCCATCGGGTGAAGAACTTCGAAGACAGTGGTGGACCAATCGATTCAAAGAGYTTATTCACACTGAACTTACTTCTCGAAAACTGTATGTTCCGGTATATGTGCCAAATGAGACATTATTTTTCAAACGATATCCTGATTTGCGATCCAAATGGGATCTCATCAAAACCAATATCCTTTTAAAGGAGTTATCACTCGACAACAGCTGTAGTGAAAGGATTATCTTCAATGACCAGTTGAAGCAGCAATGGATCAGTAAAATAAAAAACCAATTTATGATGAATTCATTGGGTTTAACCACTGATTGCAGCAAAAAACGAGAATTCAGAAAGAAATGTTTCGCCAAATACTCCAAATGTTTGCTTTGGTGTCGACATCCCAAGTGCTGGAAGATTAGGATCAAGTATTTGCCAGCTCTTCCTTTCATTTGGCTATCATTTCAATTATACGGCACTAGTAATCAACATATTTATGACATTGAAGTGACTGAAAAGTTATAGATATTATATTGAAAAGAAAATTTATTTGATATCCTTTATTTGTATCAATAAATTTGATAAATCAAATGCAATAAATGTTTATTATTTTTAAGTAAAATAATTTTCATAAATATTCAATATTTTGATTCAACATTTTATATACATAGTTCAGATTGAATGAAAATTATGTTATAAAACAATACACAATTCAATGTCTGTCACAAAATCATGTTTTAAATTTTTGAAATTAAATATCCAAATAAATATCATATAAGCATCTCTCTCTCTCTCTCTCTCTCTCTCTCTCTCTCTCTCTCTCTCTCTCTCTCCCTCCCTCCCTCCCTCCCTCTCTAATTTAGTATCAAACTTATTTTTATTTCAATTAATTTTTTAATTATACGTGATTTTTGTATGTTTATAGTTTATAGTTGCTGTTTGCAAGTATTTATTTAATTAATGGTTTACTTTAAAAAATATATAAATTAACATAATATAGTAAAATTGGATTTTATGAAAAATCTAAGAAAATTTTCTGATCAGTCATCGTTTTTAGACGATATGATAAAATATAATTATTGAAATTTAATAAAATTTAAAGTATAATCTTTTAAAATATTTACGAATATTTTCATTTAGTCAGATATTTTTTAAACATTTTTAGTTTTTTTGTTTTAGTTAAACAAATATATATATTATAAAATAGTTTAAATTACTTTAGGTATTTAACCAAAACTCATAATTTATTTTTTTAAACTGTTTACAGTAAAGAAAAAATTATTTATTTTTTAAATGTTTATCAAATATTGTAAATAATAAAAATAAGACCTAAAGATTCGATCATCTTTTACACAAAAAAATGTATTGTATATAAAAAAAATATCAAGAAATAACTAGAAATAAATTAAAATTACATATAAAACTGACAATAATAATAATTTTGACAATAAATATTGGAATTAAAAGCTAATGAATACAATAATAAATCTAAAAGTCAGTGTAATCATGATCTTGAGGGTCAATCTTTACCTCTACACCCACTCCTCCTCCTACTTGATTTACAATCAGATTAATTGACTTCTTTTTTTGACATTCAGTTCTGAGCACATCCATTGTGGCTTCTGTGCCACCAATTTTGGTGATGACATCACCTTCTTTTAGACTAATAGATGATAAGTAATGCAATAATAATTTGTAAACTATATGATAATATATTGTTCTTACGGATGGTTTCCCTTTGCAGTGATTGCCCAAACATAAAGACCTTTTTCAGAGGAAAGTTGTCTATTGCCTCCAATAGCAATAGCAGTCAACATTTGTTTGAATTGTTGGTCAATGTTGTACACCATAAAACCAAACTTAGATTTGTTTAAATCCTTATATTTATTGTTAACTTCATATTTTCTTTGTTCAACCATAGCGTTACCCTCGATGTAGTCTATGATAATCATCAAAATTATGTCATTTATTCATATTATATTATATAACTGTAGTTATTGGTTAAACCTTTAAATTGTGAGGTGTGAAGAGCAAAGTTAATATCACTGGTCGGGCCTTTCATAACAATTCCGTATACTTTTCCATTGTCTAGTTTGACCAGTGGTCCGCCTGAATTCAGTCTTTCAGTAGACGCTCCGTATTGTATTAATTTGAGGTTTTTATGCCACATCGGCTCATAATAGAAGATATTATTAGAGTAGTCATTAACAACACGTTCGGGACAACTGATTATACCATCGATAACGTTAAAAAAGGTGACGTTTCCCACAATAGCAATGGATTCTCCAACTTTTGGTTCTTCGGTAGTCATCTCAGCAGTGGTTAGATCTGCTGATGTATAAAGAAGTGCTATATTGCGTTTGGGGTCAACTTGAATGACATGAGCCGTTTTAGTGTGAGAGTGAGTTACACTACGACAACCGCCGAGTTTGTCCAATACGGTAATTAAATGGTGTGATCCCAATGCTATACCCGTAAAGTCTCCCATTACGTTATCGGGTATCAAACTTTGATGACTCTGTATTCTTAAGTAACGTTTATCACTAGTTTGAGAGATATGCTTGACTTTAGGTTGATTATCATCCATACGAGCCATTCTCATCACAATCACTGAACTCAATCTCCAATTCATTTGTGGTATTGACCACAACTTCTGCAAATGACTTTTCCTTTTGTGCCACACATGAGTGCCACCAACGATGGCAAAGGACGCCAATAAATGACTTGTTATGACACAAAAAACATATAATTGTTGTGTGATATATATGACAGATATTTCTGATAATACCTTTTGCTATTAAAAGCTGACAATTTTCTTAAATAATACATCTCTTGTAAATCAATCGCAAATATAATACTATAAATTAAGATATTTATGTTTAAAAATAAAAGAATTAAATGTTTTAATTGAGTTCAAGAAATAACTTCAACAGATATTCAAATTCTGTTGTAATTTTCAAAAATACATTGAATTCAAATATTTAGACATTTATTGAGTTTTTTATAGAATATTATTGTTATTTAATTTTATTAATTTAATTGCTTGAATATTTTTGTCGCGCGACATAAACTAATATAAACTAATTTATTCATAACTTTCTACAAACTTATAGTCATTTATACCTTAAATGTTTTTAATTGTTGTAATTTAAATTAAACGTATAATCAATAAAACCAATAAAACAATTTCAAACAATTAGACAAAAGATAAAATATATGAAAATATAGTACATCTGAGACAACAATACAGACTTATTCTAAACAACAGTTCATTTACTTACAGTTAATGCCATTTAGTGTTCTTCACGTGAAATCATTATTTGATTGAAATTCTAATTTATTTCATTTGATTTCCATTTCAATCGATATCTCACTTCTGTTTGCGAATTAAAGATCTTTTTTATTAATAATTTACTTAAATTAAGTGATTTATAGAGATGTGGCGTTTGAAGCAATTATTTGCAATTTACTATAAAAGGTCTGCTATTATTAAAAATTTATAGTTTTATATTAATTTATATATTATTCATAAAAAGATCACTAATGGCATCCGTAGCTATCATTGGCGGCACTAATGTGTGGCAAAAAAAGAAAGGCTATTTACTAGAGAAGTGGCCAACTGTTGGCTATCAATGGAGTTCAACTAAACTGTTGAGGAATGTATACCTTTCGGGACCAATTTATTCTGATCAATGGTTCAAAGCTTTTGTCACAATTAAGCCGTATTACGACAATGAAAACACTACTCTCGATAACACATTGGGTTCGGGATTCATAGTAGACAAATCAGGTCTGGTGCTAACAGGGCTTAAAACACTAAAGAGTTTTAATACGGTTTCAATTGAATTGAACGACACGACAAAATTGACCGGTCGTGTGGTATACACCAAATCGTCCCTTAATTTGGCACTAATTAAACTCGAAAGTGCCAACAATTTATCAGTAGTTGATTTTGATTTGACTCAAAATAATATCAAAGTGGGTACTCCAATGATCTCAATTGGAAATCCCCGGATCGGTATGAAAAACGCCATTACCGAAGGTGTGGTTAGTTTTCCTAAAAGAAAAGGACGGCAAGTCGTCGAAAGTGATGCGACAGTGGAGGTCGATAAAGATTACATCCAACACACAGCACCCGTCAAAACTCAAGATTACGGAAGTGCTATTGTCGATGCTGAAGGTCGTGTCATTGGTATGAATGCCTATCAACACACACTTCAAATTAACTCTGCCGTAAGAGCACCTGATTTGAAAGGTAAGGTAATATAAGATAATAGTTAAATCATTATTAATATAAATCTTAACATAAAATTGTTGTACTTATTGAAGATTTTGTCGATGAATATCTAAAAGTCAGCCGAAATAATAGCACACTCTCTCACACCGGTCTTGTGTTGCATTGGATCGATTCGTCGTCAAAGAAAGACTTTCATTTACCGAATCTTCCCGAAGACATGAGTAATAATAATAGAGAAAATGGTTTAATTGTTTCTGCCATTAGTGCTGAACAACAATTTAATCAAACATTGATGTATCAAAACTCTGTGCATAAGTCAGTATTCATTTTATTAACTGCCAGTCATTGTACAGTGTTTTCAAATTTATATATCTTTTTTAGCTCCTATGAGAAACTTCAAGTCAATGATTTGATTATTAAAATTAATGGCATCGCTATTAATTGTGTCGAAGATTTATATTTTATTATGAATTCCGATTGTAACCAATATTTGGTATCATTTATCAGAAGAGGTGTTCAAGAAAACGGTCGCAATTTAGTCAAACATACGGTCGTTCATAAACTTTTCAATAATACCTGTTCGGTCTAAAACACGTCTATCAATCATTTTATTCAAATATCAAAAATTTTTTATTTCTCTTTCTATTTAAATTTTTTGCATTAATCTATTTGATACTCTATTTTATGTTTAAATTTGAATTTTATCAAAACTACTTTAATTTTAGTTATTCAATGAAAAATTGTTTAATTAATTTTATTGAGATATAGTACATTGTATATTATTTTTTTATTTAATTAGTTTACTTCATATTTTATTTATAGTCACAAAAATTCATTTATTTAGAAATAAAACTAAATATATATTTCAATAAAAATAAAATAACATTTTTTTGAATTGTTGTGATTTTATGTTCAAATTTAGTGATAATGAAATAAAGTATTTCTTTGAGAACATCCCAACGTCTTACTGAACATCCATTATATTTCTGTTTGCAATTATTACTAGTTTTTCGGCCATAAATAGCTGCCAATTGATATTTAGACAAAACATTTGATGATTTGTTTTTGAAAACATTATCATATGGGAAGACACTTCTGAATAATAGACCGATAACTCCATATTTCTTTGGTTTATTGAATAATTCACAAACAGACCATTGAAAACAGTTTTGAACTTTTGTTTTAGCAAAATGTGGAAAATATTGTAATGACTTGTCATAAGAGTTAAGAACAGTCTCGAAAACAGCCTTTAGATTTGTTTCAAAGAAATAAAACATTGAATGTCTTTCATCTGAACTCATATACCGACCAATTGCTGACTCAGACATTAGGTTTAATTGATTTTCAAGAAAATTATTAATGAAATCGACATTCATTGGACTTTCGAGACTTCTTCGACGTTCTTCTGGAAAGATTATCGGAGAAACCAATGCTATTCCGGCCAAAATAAATAAGGCCTGAATTATAGGATAACCTGATTTTAATAAATAAATAAATATAATGACAATATTATTAATATTTGCAAATTGCATTCAAACAGTATTTAACAAATTTTATAATTGATTACTAATATAAAAGCATAAATATAATCTAAATATAGTATTACAGTATAAACAGTATATACTGCAAATTATATGAAATTAATGAAAAATCAAATAAAAATATTAATTTAAAAACTTAAATATGATTTATTTTTATTAATCTGTTATTACTGCAAAATACAAATACGTGATTAATATAAATAATTGTAATAATTGACTATAACTTACCTAACTTAACCTAAACAGTATCATATAATATAGATATTTAACATTTTCATTTGATTACACCATTTTGTTTTAATCAATAATTATCGTTTATATAAATTATAAGTAAAACAACAGACCTATTGAATAACCCATATTAGATGGTCTAACAGAGCCATCCCATTCCCTTTGAGGTAATGTCAAAGAAAAGAATGGGATCTGACAGACAAACGATGCGTTATAATAACGGCTCACATATATTGAGTCTTTATATTGTTTGTAGATATCAGAGGCCACTTCGTGTGGCAAACGGTTCAGTGGTCTCCGTTGGCGTTGACGTTGTCTCGAAAATTCAGAATTATCTTCAAATCCAATCCATGCCTTATGTGGTAATTTACATACAGTTTGCGTAATAAACATTAATACCATATATATTGTCATCAATTTTGATGACTTTATTGCCATCATTTTCAGATAAAAGTGATTTCACTTAAAATTATTGAATTATAGCATTTAACATGTATTAAAACAAAACTAATTTTAATTGTATAATGATTTTTTTTAAATATTAAATTTTAGTAATATATGGAATAGTCTATTGTTGAAACATTTTAATATTTATAAATACTTATATTCTGACAAAAGTAAAGTTTATTAATTTTGTTGTAAAACTACATGATATTACTTTTAATACTCTATCCATATTATCCATACAGTACTACAGTATTGTATGTAAATTTATAAATTATAATAAATTATTTCAATACATTTTAATCCTTATATTTATAGCTAATCTATTGTTATTTACTTTAGTGCTTATTAGTGACTTTAGAAGATCTAAACAATGGGATGTAAAATAGAGTAAAAATTTTATAATTATTTATTTTTTCAGGAATTATAGGAAAATTATAGTAAAATTTACTAATTGTCTAATTAATTGTTACTAATTAGCTTTAAAAATATTTTATAGTCTATTCAATACAATATTCCCTAAGATTTATCAACAAAATTTCACATATAATCTGAGCCAATACTACCCTAGAATCGAAAACATTACTCAATTCTTGATTTTAGGTTTCTGTATGGTTTGGTTATGGTTTGGGCAACTTTCAAAGGGAGGGAAATTCAATAATAAAATCACTCAATTTTTTCCGGAAAATATTTTATTTTATCAATACATTGTTAGAAATGAAAATTTATTATATATTTTTACAATAAATAGTACCAAAAATTAAATATTTTGCATAAAATTTCATTGAAATATTTAAAAATCAATTTGAAATCAAGATATATGTAGGGTTAGGATAAATTGATTTCTTCGATTAATTTTTTCCCACGGAATCTATTTCTTTTTACTTCCCATTGAAACCTAAATCAACACATTTTTAAGGTTTACAAAATCATTGTTATATTAAACTGTATTTTAAGTGGAATTCTTAAATAGTATTGATTGACTAAATTTATTTCAAATTTATTTTGAATATTTCAATGAAATTTTATGCAAAATATTAAAGTTTTGGTACTATTTATTGTAATATAAAATATTTTTTATCTTTTTTAACGATAACTGTTATCTATGACTCTATTATTAATTGTAAACGGATTTGAATTTTATTTTATACTCATTTTAATAATTCAAATGTTTTTAATAAAATATAAATTAAGAAAAAAGTATTAATACTTAAATGTTATTTATTATTAAAACTTATATTTTTATTTATCCGAAAAAAATTTATAAAAATATTATATTAATAGTTAAGACATAACTGTAATAACAGTGCAATGGATGGCATGAGAGGGCGTTCAGTAATGTAGTGCAGGTGTAGATCGCATACCAGTCCTGCAAACTATACAATCACTTGACATACAAGTGCTGCCAGTTTTTCAACAATGCTTTTAATAGACTGTATGAGCACTGGTTTTGTATGGTTTGAGGACAGGTATTGCACTACTAATTAATAGTCCATTTGTTTGACGACATCACAAGCAAAGTGTGTTTTCAATGACAACCACAACAATACCATTGATATGATATGTCTTTATAGTGATAATCATTGATTTATTTGATCCAATATTGCCATTAATATAATATCATAAATGATGTGTTGGTCGTTGAAGACCACCATTTCATCGACAGTTTGTCATAATATTGTTGTTTTGGTTACTTTAATGATTGCATTGAATGGTATGTTAAATGGTTTAACAATTGATTACTTTAAATATTAATTGATTTTAATTTGTTTGATATATTATATTATAAACATTACTTTGTATGTTGTCTTGTATGATGTCTTGTATGCGACGATTGATGTTAATTGGATAGTATTAGTAGTAGAGACTGGAGAGACATGTCGTCGCAAAGATATCAATGGTAACGATGAGGTGTTTGAATGTCCGCGACTTTTCGAGTCGAGTAAAAAGAGATTTTGCTGTGGATTTACACCACAAGACAAGTATTGCTGTGAATGGAGTAAAAAAAGTAAAGAATTGGTGACCAATCCGTCCGATTTGAAGTACTTGTTTGAAGGGGCCGTCGCTCTCATTATAATAGCATTACTCGTCATCGGCGGTCTTATTGTCTGTTGTTGTCTCTGTGCCTGTTGTCTGATGTCAAGAAAGAAACAACAAAGAGGTCGAGTCTTAGGCATGTATTTGCATTTATTATACAAATGTCTTCAAATATCAATAGTTTTTAGAGTTTAAACAAATTTTATTTCAATTTTGTCTATTCCTGGGAATTCTCAGGCAATTTATTTGCAAACTTTCCTACTTTTGATTGTTACTCTTATTTAATATAACTTATCAAATGTATTGAATTGTCTTTAAATTCAGTGATTAATCACTTTCAATGAATTATAAAATAATGAATTATTTCACTAATCGATTGACAAAATTATTTTGTTTTGAAGTTATTTTTTTGAAGGTTTTGTTAATAGTCTTAATAATTGTATTTAGTTTTTAGATAAAAATCCAGTTTAATTTTATATACAGTATAAAAACTATTAAATTACAAATAATTTTTTAAATGTAAATAGTTTTGTCATTTATTGAAATAACAACAAAATCAATGAACAAACACAACACGATTTAGTATTTAAATGTATTTTCTATGTTATAATTGTATGAAAAAAACGCTTAACTAAACATTTGAATTATCTAATTTTTATTAGTTTTTTATTATAAAATTAGTTGAATTAAAAATGTTTCATTTAATAATTTAATTTTAAACCAGTTTTAATTTATTTAAATAATCTTAAATCTTTGTTTTTTTAAATATTTTTTTCTGTACGAATAACTAATACTTTACTCATTATCACAATCAACACATTGATAGATAGGAAATAGATATGGGATATAATTAATGTTTGACTAATATTATGTTAATTTGCTTGTAATATAAATAGAATTTAATAGAATTTTGTAATAATTATAAATTATAACATTTATACATATAAAATAAATACAGTGTAATATTAGTTATCGTTTTTTATAAAACATTCAAAATTTAATACATTATTACAATTTATATGTAATATAATGTATTTACGGTAATTAATATTTTACTCATATTTACTTACCGGTAATAGTAAATGCTTAATTTGCTCATTTAGTATTTCTGTATAATTATTATTTAAAATAATTTTAATTTATTATTTTTTATCATGACATTTCTATCGTTATATAAAATCATTTATAATTAAAGTTAAGTATTTAATATATTTTTATATTATCTTTTAGGCCATAACTCGGCTGATGGTGGCACTAGTTTAACAACAGTTCCCAACTCATATCCTGTCCAAAATGCATATCCTATGCAAAATGTGACGGCTCCCTATCCATCTGATCAACCGCCCCCATACAACTACAGTCAAACACAACCAGCCTTTAATCCTAATTATCCTCCCTATCCAGTGGTCAAGTAATGAGATAATATACACCTCATGTTTGTGCTGTACGAGCTTATGAGTCAATATATAAGATACTGATTTCATTATCACTTTTCTTGAAGTGCTATTATTTTTGTTTGTTTCACATTTTGATTCTCAATTTTAGATCTGACTGAAAGTATTATTAATTTTATGAGATAATAATAATTGTGTTATCGTTTGATTTGACTCTAATTATATAATAGTAATATTGTTTTATTATTTTTTAACATTTATTTCTTAAAGAAAATTTATTATTTATAATACAGTATTAATTATATATAAAGACTGAATTTATGTTTTGTTTGTTTCTAGTATTAGTTATACTGTAATACAGTATTACATTAATCCATTAGATTCTCTATTATTAAGTATATATATATATATTTATATTTTTCTATTCTCTATATTTTATTTTTTTGACATTTGGATTGAATACTCGTTTATTTATTAAAAAAATTACTTTTAAATTACTTTTTCTTTTCGTAAAGCCTTGAATTGTGTCGCTTACATAAAGTATTTTTTTATAGTTAAGTTGTTTTATTTATAATATTTAAAAATTATTATTATTGCTAAATTATATTGCAGTAAGTACTTGAAATATTTAACACGTTTACTAAAAAATTTATTTAAAAAGCAATTATGTTGAAATAGTTTTATGAATTATATTTACCTATTACGATCAATTACCGTAAATGTTTCAAATAAGTTTAACGTCAATTATAATATCAGTATTTTGACCGATAAATTATAAGTCGTTTCATTGCATTTATATGTTTATGATTAACTGAAATGCAATTATTTTTATTAAGCATTTGTGCAAATCGACAAATAATTATTGTAGTAAAGCATTTTTGGTAAATAATGAAAATATTTGCAATAAAATAATTAAACTATGGTTTCATATATTTAACTATATATATATATAATGAAATTAATTTTTTTAATTACTACCGGTAATAATATCAATAGTTAATTTTAATATTATATATGTTTTCATTATTTACTCAATAAGTGCAATAAATTGTTCAATTTTTAAAGATTTGCAAATATTAATGTATAAAATTAAGTTTATTATTGATTTATTAATAATATACACGATATTTAAGTAATCTTGACTACATTTCTGTATAATTACTCCATTTGACTGTAAATTGTTTTGAAATGGATTATTAATAATATTATATAATTTAATAATAATAATGTACTTCCAATTGTAATAATTTATATATTATCTACAAATTTGTAATAAAGAAAATAATAAATTTTATAATTTTATATATTTGAGATGTGATTATTTTTTTAAAAGTTTAATTACTAATATATTAGTTAACTATAGTTAAGCAAAATATGTTCCCAATTCTGTAGAAATAATTAGATTTTTTGGTAAATTACTAATGAATGATAAGTCAATTGGTGTATAATCTGCTGAAAATTTTCTTTCGATGAAACCTAAGTAATGACTAAAAATAGTTTTCGGTTTACTTAATGCTAATAAAATTAACGCATTTATTGTTACAATTGTTATGTTTGGTCGACCATAAAAAGCAATAGACTCTATGTTAGGACAATGATATATGACATCACAAAAACCTGAATCTGTTACTAAAGGGAAACCAATGGTGCGATTGTGGTGAACATCAAGACTTAAGTATTGAAGACATTTAAGTTTCGAAAGACATTTCATGGCTTTATCGGTGATCTGTTCGACAGTTAGACACAGACTTCGTAATCGTATAAAATGGTGACCAATATCTTCAAAGAGCAAGTCATTGATTCCCGAATAATTCAGACGAAGTGATTCCAAGTGTTGGCAATTGACGATTGACTTTAATGTCAAATAATGGTTATTGGTTTTCAAACTATAAACTAACCGCAAGTCAAGATATTTAAGGGCCGGGAATGAGTTTATTGACTCAAACAATTTGATGACAATTGTTTGGTTAACTTTAGTTGTGGTCAACTTAAATGATTTTAGTTTACGACATTCACTACCAATTAGTCTAATATTTCTAATAAATTCCGAGTTTATATAAAGTAATCGAACCGATGACCAGATCTCAAGAATCTCCAAATTCTTAAATTTTGGTAATTCCTTAAGCAATTGATTTAAGTAATTACTGTTTAATTCAGAGTTAATTTTTATACACTTTAAGTTAGTCTTGTAATAGTTAACAAAGTTTACGACATGTTTGAGGTCAGTCTTGCCATAGAATAGATCCACTTCTAAGAGTTTTGGTACCATTTGTTGATTAGCTACTGTCAAACATTTCAATTTAACTTTATTAACACTATTCAAGTTTGGACACAACCGGAACAGTATATAATAGTTGTCCAGACATTTGATAGGATTTACAAACACAAAGCTTATATGCTTTAAATTAGCTCCAAATTTGAGACCAAATTCATAGATTGTTTTAGCAGTGATTTCATTGAAATCAAATAAAATATTTTTCAAATATCTGCAACATTTAGTAATTGTTTGAAGAACTTCTTCTTTGTTGTCAATAAAGTAACTTTTGATACGAATCTCATTACAAAATTTACATTTTCTAAGTAGACTTTCCAATGCCTTTATATCAATGCATTTTATGTTTGATTTTTGAACCAAACAATTATATAAAGTTATATTTTTACCATTATTTTGTTTGGCATTATTTCTTAATTCAATCACATGTTGTTTGCTATAAATACAGCGTTTAAATTGTTTGGAGACTGACTCGAGTCTGACTTTATCCTGAATCGATAAATAGCTTAAAATCACTTCACATAAATCATCACAAATACGATCACCAAATAAATTTAAGTTTACATTTATAACACAATTATCATTATTTAAATAATGATTGGTCACAGATTTATAATTATTATCATTATTATTATTATCGATACTATAAGACAATTTGAATGGTTTACGATGACTTGAATTAATGGTCAAATATTGTCTTAATATTGTTGAAGAATTCATTTTGTTACTAACTTAATGTCAATTAACTTATATTTAATTTACAAAAATGATAATATCAAACACTAAGTTTCTATTATATATAATTTAATATCAATTTTAATAGAACTGAAAATATTTTATTTACATTATTTAATATAATATTATAGTAACTTTTATGAAGGATAAGGCAATGAAAATAAAATACAGTAAGTTATATACTGTATACTATATAAAGCAAAAATTAATAGTTTATAAAGTTTTACATTTCAGACACATTTTATACACTAATATTTGTATTATTAATTTTTTATCATATAATTGAATTCAAAAATGAAAGTCATTTCTGTTATACTCTTTTAATCGTTTATTTTTATGAAGGATAAGGCAATGAAAGTAAGAGACTATAAGTTAAAATACTGCAAAACAGCTCAAAAAAGTTAAATATTTAACTTTATCTCTTACTAAATAATTTTTAACAAAATTTTTTTAATATTATTATAATTATTATTAAAAACTTATTTTCATTGAAATTGAAAGTTATTAGAAAATCAATGAAAACAATATGAGTTATACAATAAAATGAGAAAATATTTAAATTAAACAATTTATAATTTATATGCACAACATTTGCCTCAAACATTTTATAAAATTATTGATAATTAAAATCTGTCAAAAAATAACATAAGGCAAAGCACAGGTAGGAGAAAACTTGTGTCAATGTTATGTAAAGAGAAAATAGGAGAAAATGGTTATTGAGATTGGAGGTCATTAATATTAATTTATATATAAGTTGATAATTTTGTTACTATTGTATAATGCATTTATTATAATAGATGTGAATTTTTATATACAACTAATAAATTTATTAATTTATAGATATATAGTATTTACTGTATATTAAGTGTGGCTTATATGCCATATACAGTAAAAATTTGCTATTTTTATATCTGTAAATGGTATTGCTGTGAATGTTGTTGTTGTTGTAGTTGATATTGATGCTGATATTGTTGTTGTTGTTGGTGGTGTTGCTGTTGTTGTTGATGATGCTGTTGCTGGTGGTGTTGATTACTGGCCATCATTTGCTGATGAGTTTCGTCAATGGGGTGATTATGTTGTAGTATGACTTGAGGATAGGATGGAGGCTGTTGTTCATATTGTTGATACTGATTGTTGGGCATCATATTGATGTCTGTCCTAATAACGACCTCGATTTCATCGCCTACTTGTGTATTGATGATTCTGGACACTTCATCATGAGATATACCCGTCAATGGGATACCGTTCCACTCTATTACTTGCATTCCTGTATAAAATAAACAATTTTAACAAAACATTATTTTATTTGAATTGTTTCTCATCTAACTATCTTATATCATATATTTATTTTATATTATAATTACAAAAAAAAATGTCAATTTATAGTAAAACTGAAGTATATTTTTGCAGTGGCTGTTCATTATAACAGAAGGTCATCTAAATGGCAATGAATGGCTAGTTTGCAAACCTTCAATATAATAAATTATAACAAATTTAAAGTATCTATAATAATAATAATAATAATAATTTGGTTGCTATTGAAAATAATAAATTTTAACACAACTTAAATTATAGAAACAAATAGTGAAATTGATACCAATTAATTGAATCACATACTAAATTACTATTATAAATTATATATTTTTATTATAAATTATATATTTTTATTAAAAATATAACAAACTATACTTTAATAAAATTTTCAAATATAGTAATTAATTCATAATAAAAATAAAATATTACAAAACAATTGATTGAACAAACCTTCTCTAATCTCTCCCATCATTGTAAGACTTGGATGTATTTTTTGAATGTATGCTCCAATCATATTACTGCCGGGTATTTCCTGACCTCCGATTACCTTTAATCCCAATCCATTCCCTGTATCCACATATAAATATGACATTTCACATATTTCTTACAGTAATTTTAATCAAACAAAATCTACATGTCAAACAAATACAATATATTTATATATAGTATCATATATTATTTTAAATAACCATGATCATTGATTATTAATTGAATACATTGATAAATTAGATAAAATTATTTGTGTAATCAATGACCATAATTATTTTTATAAGGTTAGACACACAATCTACATAAAATTTATTAATTAAAAATAATAATAATAATTAATAATAAAATGAATGACAAATAACAGAAAATACCGGAGACACTCAATACTATTTAGATAAACATTTATGTGTCAAACGTCTAATGGACTATAAATATACACTAAATAAAAATATACACTAATTGATAGTGAAATAAGAGACAAATAGATAGATATATTTAGAGTATATATCAAGATTAAGACAAAATTGAGAGTCAAATACGGGTTCAACTTATAAAGTACTAAAGTCTAATTAATTGATTAATTGTTATAATAAATATTGAGATCATCATCGATCAGATTTATGATAATTGCTCTCATTTTCTCTTTTTAATGATATATTGAAGTAATGTTTGACTAATTTGTTTGTTTGTTTTCTAATAGGTTTTTATCATTGTTTGGTTTGTCATTTTAATATCACTTACCACTAACTGACCGTATCTTTGGATCTTGAGTTAGAAGTATTCGTTTTACTGGAAACGGGTATTTGGGATATTTCGTTGTGTTCGGTGCGAACTGTAAGACAGTTTGAAGACAACATACAGGTGCACACCATCAGATCAGGTGGTGGTGGTCACCCATACGAGTATGACATTAGATTATTACCATATATTCATTATTTATTTATTGAGTTAATTGTCAATTTTAGCAATTAGTTTATGTCATTTATATGATAGTCATTGCATTCATTGGTGTCTCACTGTATTTTTAAAATTACATTTTTATGACCTTATATTTGAATTATCATATTTTTATTACTGGCTATAAATCCAGTTTGATATAGAAATAAAATAATTTAATATTAAATAATAAAAATAATTATAAATAATTATATATAAGAATAATAATAATTATCAATTAACTAATAAAACTCAATAAATTAGTAGTAAATATAATTAATTTAAAAAAGTGTTGAGAAATATGTGCTTTTATTTGAAACTGTGTTCAGCTCTTACTTGTGTTTTCTTAGGCGATCCTCTCATCATATGGTGGTCTAAATGGCTATAAGCTGATCGATAACCTATTAAAGCAATAATATTAGTTATAAATAAATTAGGTTTAAATATTAAACAATAAATTGCAATTATTATACCTCTTTCATCTCTTGCTCCCTGTCCACCCATAATTGGAGAACTACCTAAATCTTCAATTAATTTTCGTGATCTGGTAGGCATATCTGGTAAAATAGGCATTGCAGGAGTGTTCAGCATAGGGTCTAAACACTCGCTGGGAGTGTCCGACTCTGACATCAAAGAAGCGATGTCTGGATGAGCAAAGTTTGGTCGTCGAAGAAGTGCTGCATTACGTGAATTCATATTTCTATTTTTAAAAGCATTTGTATTGACAAGTCTGGGGTCAATAAGTCTCGGGTCATAATTGGGATATCGATAATCTTCATATCTATCACTAGATATTTCATTTTAAAACAAAAAATTTTACTAATTATTAAATGGGATTAAATAGTTATTTATTAAATAAGTTTAAGTTATGTTAATTACAAAAGTAAAATATAATTGTTTTTATCAATACCTTGAATGAAGAGATGGTTGCGAGTAATTAGGTCTAAGCCTTCCATTATAATAGTCTTTTGGTGTTGAATGGACAGTCGGATTATAGTTGTAATAATCATCTATAAAAGCATTTGGACCATAAATGTCATCTACTTGTCCATAATCGAGTCCACTTCCATCAAATGAGTGGCGAAAAAGTCTACCAGAATCAGCCATTTGTTGTCTTCTGCGCTTAATTTCAGCCCTAACTTTGGCTGCTTTTTCTTCACGAGTCAAGTGGTCGTCTTCATCCTCAGATACATATGGCGATGGATTCCATGAACGAGTGCCACCTCTTAAGCCAACTCTTCTTCTCTGTTCTATCATATCATCGTAATAATACTTAGAAGTACTTCTTCCATAAGGATCTAATCCATAGCCTATACGCGATAGCATTTCCGCCGAACCTTCACTTCTTCTTCGACCAAATCTTGAACCCAACTGTTGAGACAAAAATTAATTAATTTAAAATAATTTAAAAACGAGTTTTAAAAAATGATACCATATTTGAAGCCAAATATATGTTATTATCGTTGACATCCATCATATTAGGTATAACTGATTCTCTGAGACCAAAATCTGTATCTGAATAGAGACCCATTGATGACAATGCTCTCTGAGGTCTATTGTTTAGATCAAAACCACTTCTTGTTGGATGTAATGACTCAAATTCATATGACTTGAACGGCATATTTTGTCGCCACGTCGGCGAAACTGATCTATAAATACGAGATTCTGAAGCAGTTCTTGTCTTATATCTACCTCGTCTTCGACGGACAGGCGATGAATAAATATCAAAGAGATGTTGCAAATCAGTTTCAGAGCGGCGGTAAAAGTCCTTATCTCTGTCTCGAAGACTCATTAATCGTTGTTTCTCTTCGGAAGCCATCTTCAACTCGTCATATAACTGTTGTTTCAGTGATTTTACATATGAAGGGAATCGTGTTGGAGATGTTAACGAAGAAGCTGAAGCAGATGTTTGCAATTGATGACCAATCTGTGATTCTCCGGGAGGTATTGGTGATGGTGCTGGAGATCTAATATTGCCAATAGTACTCTTGAGCACTGATTGACCATAAGTTGAAGCTAAAAATTGGGTTATATCTGACGTGGAAGAGAAAGGCGATTGAGGCCTATGTGATGTCGTCAGGTTAACAACGGCTCCATCGAGTGATGACGAGGGCCGCAGTGGTGGTATGCGTTTCGTTGATACAGATGTGGAAGAGATTGCTGCTCGACCTACACATCAATATAATAATCTGTAGTACAGATACTACTACAACATCTACAACATCTACAGCTATTACTACTAATGTCTTACCGGCCAATCTTTCTTTAATAAGTTTTCTCGTTGCCATTACAGGAGAGACAGGCTCTTCATCAAAGGGAACGGACGGTAACTTTCTTCGTTTGCCTCTATCTCCAGACGGATCGCTTTGAGAGTCTGACACTTCGATTGCCGATGAGATAGGAGTATGCGATCGCAATACCGTTTGTGTTCCCAAACTATAAGGCGATGGACTAATGCGATCATACAATGAAGTGGACGGCAATACAGCCGATGATACCAATGTTGTTGTCGCTGTCGTCGGCACTGTTGCTGTCGACAGGTTTGTTCGTCTTGTGCTCGGATTTAGTATTATCTGTCAATTTAATTAATAATTTATTTAATGCTAATTACTTATTATTTAATTTATAGTATTATAAATAAATTAATTATTAAATGTTAATAATGTACAGCACTGTTGTATATTATCTGTAAATTTATATAACAATCGTATTGAAAATATGATGATTTTTATTTGTTGCTTGTTTAATTACTACAATAGTAATTATAGTGTTATTATTTATTTAACTATTTTAAAATTTAATTGATCCAGTAAATTTTTATATTTACTTTTTTATAAAATGAAATTATAAAATTTTAGGTAACTTTGGAAATACGCTAAAACACGTGTTAAGTATAATTTAAATTTTGTATAATTATATCTTTCAAATACTGTCTGAGACTATAATACTAATTATTAATTTAGTTATTAAATAAACTTTATATTAGTTCAACGAAACTCTTGTAATACTTTTAATATTAATATGTAATTCAAATTAATTTTATTCAAATATTTAAAAAATAAGTAAATAATATGATATATCAAACCTGTGATGATATAACACTAGATTGTGTTTTACGAGGCATTAGTGGTGAAACTGGTCGTTGTATTGACACCATCGCTGTTGATGAGACAGCCGGCGATGGACGGGAGTGGGCATTATGTGCGGCGGCCAATGTTTGGACAGCCGATTGCATCTCTTCAGTCGTTGGATGTGGTAATCGTCGGTGTAATGCCTTTCGTGTATTAGCTGCACCACCACTACCACCAATAATATTATTTGTCGGCAATGTATTAATATTTCTTGTAATGACGACAGTGGCTGTAGTGACCATTTGTTTATTAGGTCCCGATGTGGGAGTTGACGAAACTGAAGGTGGAGTAGAAGTGGACACTTGCTTGTCTTGTTTAATGACTTCCTGTTTATAATTAAAGGGAACCGATGGTGGAGTTGACTGAACTGCTACTTCTTTTTGCATTTTGTGTTGTTTTTCAATTTGTTGTTGTGTTTGATGCTGTTGTTGTTGTCTTAATGACAACTGTTCTGTCATTTGTTTTTGTAGTTTTTGTTGTTCAATCTGTATCTGAAGAAACTGCTGTTGTTGTTGTATAAGAGTTTGTTGTTGTTGTAGCTGTTGTTCTACTTGAGGACTTGGAAGAAGAGCTTGATTTGTGAGCATTGCTTGAGGATTCAATTGTAACTGTAAAGGAATTGTCGATTGGTTTGGTCCGGAAGTCATTACTATTATAGGCTGCGGACCCGATGTGTTGTCCATTGATTTCTTTTGAAAAGAATTCTGTAATTTATCGCTTGTCTGTTGTTTGGGAACTTTTGGAACTGAGCTCTGATTTTGTTGTCTTTTAAGATCCAACTGCTTTCCAACAGATGATGTCTGGTAGTCATCAGTAGGTGACTCCGTTCCTAACGCTTCCATAGCTTTGTTAAAATCGGCAATTATTTCAGTTATGGTACCACTTGTGGCGCGAGGAATGTTTGGCATAATTGATGATAACTTTATAAATAAGAATTATTTTAATTAATATTTACTTAAATTAATAATTTAATGCATAGATTATACCGATTCTTCATTTGATTTAATTTTTTCCATAATCTCTTGTTCTGCGGCCTCTATCGATGGCGAGACATCCATAATTGGTGACAAATCGGTGGGCGGAGACCAGCATTCGAGCACTTGCGGCGGTGTTTTCTTTGGTTGTAATGTTTGAGCGAATAATTGCTGTTGACTTGCAATTGGTTTATGTTTAGGAAATGAAGAACTGTTGGATGGCGGCGATGATGCCGATGAAGATGTAGCTAACTGTTGAGTTACTGTATGTAATGGCACTGTTCTTGGAATTTGAGCCATCGATGATGACGATGATGTTATTCCTCCAATTTTATGAGTAGGTGATCCCATGTCTTGATATCTCATATCTCTAAGACTGTTTGTGGCCATTGATGTCGGCGGCGTTGTAATAGAAGACGCATTTGATGACTGGTAATCTTGGTATCCATCGTAAGTCTGATTGCAACCACTTTTTAATTGTTTAGTATTTTGGTAGTCCTGATACTCCTTTTGACTAAAGTTTTGCTGTTGTTGTTGTGATATCTTTTGTTGCGGATATTGTTGATAATGTTGATCTGATTCGCATTCCCTCATATCCTGATGGCGTCCATAACCACTTGTGTCTTGTTGTTGGTGATACTTTTGTTGTTGTTGTTGCTGTAAAGTCTTGCTGTCTAATGAAGAATATTGTTGTTTAATCTCATTTGAAAATTCTTGTAAATTCTGCATTTGTTGATTCAAAGGATCGGGTCTTCTATTAGCTGTCATTAGTTGTCTGTTATTTTGATATATAGTATCTTTGTCTTGTCTAACGTCTTGTTGTTGCTGTTGATGTTTGATTTCTTGTCTGAAATCCTGTCTCATTTCACTTCTCAAATCTTGTGTCATTTCATGTCTTAAATCTGAATGAAATTGATTCTTGTTTTGCTCAGTAGGAAGCTGTGGTTGAATCCTATTTTGTTGAATAGGTTTAGACTTCGTATAGTTATCACTACTTTGATAACTTTGGGTAATATTTGGTGATTGATTATAACCACTAATTTGGTTATTATTTTGATAATTTTCATATTCTTGATAGTCTTCTTGACTTAAACTTTGTTGAAGTTTTGGTTGTTGTTGTGGTATATGTTGTTGTGATATCTGTTGTTGTGGTATCTGTTGTTGTGATATCTGTTGTTGTGGTATCTGTTGTTGTGGTATCTGTTGTTGTGGTATCTGTTGTTGTGATATCTGTTGTTGTGGTATCTGTTGTTGTGGTATCTGTTGTTGTGGTATCTGTTGTTGTGGTATCTGTTGTTGTGATATCTGTTGATGTGAATAATGTTGATATTGTTTATCTTTATCGTAATCACTTTGTCTAATATCTTGTTGAAGATATTGTTGTTGTGATTCTTGTATTAAAGGCTTGTTCTCTATTGATGGATAATGTTGTTGTAGTTGTTGACTAACTTGTTGTTCATTTTGTGTTTGTCTACTTAAGTAATCTGACTGTGAATTTGTAACCATTTGTTTTAAATCTTGATTGTGATAATTGATATTATTTGATGTATTTTGATTATATTCTAATGGTTGAAATTGTTGAATATCTTGTTGTCTATAGTCTAAGTCTAAATCATGTCTTAATTCTGGATTAAATTTATTCTTATTTTGTTCTACAGGTGGTTGTGGTTGAATTCTTCCGGTATTTTGTGAATAAAATTGATTTTGCGTTTGTTTTATTCCGGATTCTTGATTCAGCTGTCGTTGATATTCCTTTTCCAGTGATAGTTGTGATTGAAATGGTTTTTGTTGTTGTTGTTGGTATTGTTGTTGTTGTTGTTGTAACGATTGATTTTGTTGGAATTGTAGCTGTTGTTGTTGTTGAGGTTGTTGTTGCGGTTGTTGTTGAAGTGGTTGTTGAAGTGGTTGTTGAAGTGGTTGAGACATTTGAGGCATTTTGCGATTATTGATATCACGTGATTGAGATGTTTGCATGTTTTGTGGTGTCGATATCATTTGGTTTTGTTGCATAGTTGGTTGATTCCACTGTCCAGTCATTGATCCCATACCCGACTGGCCTGAAATCACTAAATTAAATATAGAAATTAAAAAATTATAACAAGTCTCATATTTTAATATTGATAAATTGATAAATTATTATCTATGTTATATGTTATACTGAAATTTAAAAAATAATAAATTAATTAAAATCTTAAAATTTATTTTTAGGAGATATATGTTATAAATATTAAGGCATATATTTTTGTATATTAGAATATTAGTTACTAATTAATTAATTAATTAATAATTATCATAGAGTCAATTTATATATATATATATTGAATTAATTTATTTCAAAATTACTTAATTCTATTTTTATTTAAATAAAAGAGTAATAAACTATAATATGAAATGCAATTATATTTTAAGTTAGATATTTATAGTCTATATATAATAAAGCATTTAGTAATTATTTTTAGGTTTGTTTCTAACTATAATTTGTATAATTAAAAATATACTTGGTAATTGTTGTTGTTGTTGAACCGATACCATTGTTGATGATACCGGTGCCGACGTGAATGGTTGTGTTGGTTTAGACTTTATGTCTTTCATTGGAGACATAGATATGGGTTCACCCGTTTCTTGTTGAGCTCTAGCCATTACTGATTGAATCATCATTTTTTCCTCTTCAGTTAGACCACTGAGATCAACATCAGGTAATGGAGGTCCCGGTCCACCACCCGGTGACATTGTATCAGATCCAGTTGGTCGTTTATTCACTACTGGTCCTGTACCAGGTTTACTAAATTGTGGCAATTTATTAACGGCACCGGGAAATGAATTAGATAGTGGACCCAATCCACTCATTCCACTCATTCCACTCATTGTTGAATTAGTTCTTGTATTGAGACTCGAAGACATTATAGGCTGATTAGCACTGAATTGACCGAATTCTCCACTTTGGCCAAGACTTTCTTCATTTCCCATAATAATAAACTACAACTAATTTATTAAATAATTTTACTCTAATATTGCTAATTAATATGTTTTAATTCACAACTTTAATAATAATAGTATTGCAATGATATTATGGTAGATAATAGTGATGTAATATATAAGACAAGTTTAAATTTAAAAATATGAGTTATTGTTATTTGATTTGATTATATAGAGATATGTTTAATGTTAAGCATATTTGGATGATTCAATAAAATTTACATTTACTAATATTTGTATAATTTGCAAATTACAAATAATTGAATTTTCACACAATTTGATAATTATGTTTCACATTGAAAATTATTTGTTTCGCATAACATAATTGTCGATCAATGAAATCACTGGTCTATAGAGGAAATGTAGTGTGATTTTCATTGAACCACTAAAACAGAATATTCTGTGAATAAGTTATTTATATACATATATTAGAAGCCACATAACTAGCAGTAATGGTAACTGCATTAGGAATAATGAATTATATTGATGATTATATTAATGAAATTATCACATTTGAATTTATATATATGACATAACATTGTCAATGTCCCGTTTAATACCAAATTTTACATTTATCTTAACATTAAATGTTGTGCCGCGAAGTATAGCCCAAAATATTAGAGAAAAATAGTCGGGCGTATAGTTATAGCCATTATCATCCATAGGCAGCCCGTGAAGCTCACACACTTAGACTGTCAGTGCATATAGACTGGCACTAACAGTGCTGGCATACTGTAAGCCATACCCATTTGTATAGCCAAAGGTATAATTGCTCTCTCATAGTCTCTCTTGATTTTATTGATCCAAATCTATTTACTTTCGAAATATTCTATTATATAATAGTCTCAATTACTACACAATATATATATATATATATATATAAATATATATGTAATCATTTTTCCACAATTTTCTCCTTAAATACATTTACCCCCCAATACTTTTTAAATACCTCTAAATCACATTAATAAAATTAAATACATATCAATTTAAATGTATTTATTAAATTTTTTTATTACACAATTTTTTCAATACAAACCTCTAGTAGTTAATTGAAATGTGGTTTATGTAGAAAACTAAATAAAAGATTGAATGTGTGGGTAAGTGATGAAGCAATTGAATGGATGAACACTTTGGCTATATATTAAATATAGCGAAACATTAATCTTATGTTTTGAGATAAAAAAATTAAAGAATAAAAGCAATTTGCTTGCAATCCAAGTAACTCATTGTTATATTTTTCTAAGAATAAATGCTATATTTAAATAATGGTTTTTATATTTGTTACTAAAATATTAAAAACTAGATTATATAATTATATTTTTTAATATTTTTATACGTTTATAAAAGCTGAAAATAAGTTAAATCAATATAAATATTTGAATTTCTAGTATCGATCTATTCATTTTGAAAATTCATACATTGAATACAGAAAATAACAAACAATTCAAAGCACTTTTACAATACATATGAAATTATTGTCACGTCCTTTAAGAAAATTGAATTCAATAAAAACTATAAACTATTGTAACCAAAAATGTCATATTTGATGAAAATATAAAATAAATTAAATATTTTATATGAAATACTTGATAAAAATATGCATCAATAAAAATTATGGTCTTATTTTTTATTTAAAAAACCTACTATCGGTAATATTATTTTTATACATTATTAATAATCAATTAATGAAATAAATATTTTATTAAATTACCGTAAGTACGGTACTACCAGTTATAATTACGGTAAAATATAAATATCCCAATTCAATTATCTTTTTATTAATTTTTAATTTTTAAATCTAACAATAATTTTGTAATTAAAACAAAATGTTGACATTATTCATTTTTGTAATGACAGACAATAATATCAATCCTAAACCAACTTATTTGAGATTAAAGTGCGGCCGCACCCGATATAATCTCAATGAGCTCTCGTGTAATAACGGACTGTCGCGTGCGATTAAATTGAAGGGTCAGTTTAGATATCATTTCACCTAAATATTAAAAAAAACATTATAAACATTTTGTATAAAAAAATCAAATAAAATTTATATAAAAAGTAAAAATAATGTCCAAACAAACCGGCATTTTTGCTGGCATTGTCCATAGCAGTCATACGAGCTGACTGTTCACTGCAAGCGTTTTCCTTCATTGCATAAAATATAAGAGATGCCAATGAGTACTCATAATATGATTTGAGTACTTCATCGTCAAGACTATCGTAAACATTGAGTTTTGGTGAACCACTGAGTGCTGACAGACTGAAGACAGGCATTTCGGTTGTTATGTATGAGACAACAGATCTAATTACCGGTAAAAGACAGTAAAAGTTAATAAAAACATATTAAATGAATAAAATAAATACTGAATTTACTTGAATTTATTATAGATTAGTATGCCTTCATTGAATTGAAGTCCACTTTCGAGTATAGCGTTGGCCACAATTGTCGCATCAGTGAATTGTGGCGGTCTTTTGCCGATATCATTGAACATCATAAGGATATTGTTTGGAAATTGTCTAAAACATTGCAAAATTAAAAATAACAAATTTTGTTAAATATTTTGTAAATTTAAATAAAATAACTATAAATTACTCAAAAACTAAAATACAATAAGATATCTAAACCTTGCGAGCATTGCTTTAGACTTTTCTCCGATACAAACAATTTTAATATTAGCCGCGTTTTCGTCGGTCTTCATTACGGCTCGAATTTTTTTGGCAACTGCTGAGTGAACACCACCGCAGAGGCCACGATCAGAGGTCATTGCTATTAAAAGAGTACCGACTTTTGGGGCCTCTTCTGCTTTAACTAAGTCTGTCTTCTCATAAAATGCTTTTAATTAAGAAATAAATTATATTATAATATATTATTAAGAAAATAATGAGATATTAATAGTCAAGTGTTGGTCATTGATTGATACTGACCTTGAGCTCCGTGTCCATAACTTCTGGCCGATTTGAGGTCACGCTCTGCCCGCGCATATTTAGCCGCAGACACCATCTTCATTGATTGGGTTATCTTTTGGATGTTTGTCACTGACTTTAGCCGTACTCTAACTATAGTTCACATCAATTACAAGACATTTAATTAGTTATAAAATAGCATTAAATTAAAAACATTAATTCATTACTGTCTTTAAGTGTAGCCATTCCTCGGGTTTGGACACTGAAGAAGACATATAAATCAAATAACAAATAATTAAATCATTTTCATTCAAGTGGTCAGAAATCACAGTATCGATCGGTAATCATATTTACCCGAAGACTACGGGAGTCGATGTTGTAATCAATTTAGAGGACAAACAATACATTTTGGTCTCAAATTTAATTCAATTTCTTAAAAAAATTAATATTAAATGTATTTTTAAATACAATTTATTTAATCAATCGATTGATTTGATATACAATTGATTTAATTCAATATCAACTCAATGGCAGTCAAACACAATACTCATATAAGACGTGCGAAGTCGTACTCAACAATAACTTTCATTCAATTTGTTTTTTAAACAATTTATTAAATAATTACTTAATTAATAATTTAAGTATAATTACTAATTAATTCACTATTAATTTACATTTTATTAATTTATTAATTAATAATTTTTATAAATATTTAATTTAATGTTAAATAAGATAAGGTTCTAAAATATTGAAATAATCGTAACGTTATAAGTGATCGTTAATATAAAGTAATGGACACAACATTTGACAAATGCATTGAATTGAATGCAAATAGCATTTAGTATGACATCTATTGACAGTATTTGTCATTCAGTTATTAAATGTATTACAACAACAAACTAATTATATTTAATATAACTTTTATCCCCTTTTTTGGTCCAATTGTTGTCTCAATTTATGCAGAGATGTCTCCAAACATATCAACTCATTATTGTTATGTTATATATGAATGACTTGTTTACTATAAATGACGAAATAATCGGTAATTACTGTAAATGAATGACTAATTGAGTGATGAGTTAGTGATTAAGTGATTGAATCAATCAATCAATCAATCAATCAATCAATTGGTTTATACAATGGATTTGCAGAGCATTAGCGCCGATGAGAGTGTAGTCAGTGATGAATACACGGATCCAGAAGTAGAGACCAGTAGTGGTGATGAAGTGGACAGTAATAATAGTGACAATACTTTGGGACTCAATATTTTGCAAAATCTTGAATGTCTTATCAATTCATCCGATGATAGTATCGATACTATCACTGAAAGGTAAGTCAATAACTGTTTGCAATCAATATTTGATTATTTAACCATTGATTGAATTTTGTTGATATAGGCGTCAGTGTTGGCTTTGTTTGGGTCAAGAAGATTTTGATCCAAGACCATCGACTTCATTAGACATGAATAATAGTCTTCTACATAATCATCACCAGTGGTTGAGTCCCTGTCGATGCAAAGGAACGGCCAAATGGATACACAATGAATGTCTTCAGTTATGGATCGATGAGAAGCAGAAGTTGGACACCAATGTTGGCGTAAAGTGCGCCCAATGCGGCACTCAATATGTTTTGATGTTTCCTCCAAATGGTGCGTCTTTTATGACTATTGAACTGAATTCAAATTTTATTGTATTTAAATTGAAATTATAGGCAAACTAATTGATGTGATTTTATGGTACGAATCCTTGATGAACAACGGTATGATTTCCAGTACTTTGCCATCATTTTTATCAATGCAAGTCTTGATTTTTAGTGTCAACCTATGCGATGGTGTTATGTGTTGCCGGCGCTGTCTATATGAGTGCATTTAGTTACGGTGTTCTCACTTGTCTTCAAATAATCGGTTATTAAATACTTTTGTTATAATAATAGTTGTAATAAATAATTGTTTTTATGCTCTGAAATAGGCTCTGAAAAGACAACACAACTAATTGAAGGATCAAACAAAACAATAGCACTGTTAGGTTTTCCGTCGATTCCATTTATTTTATGCGCCGGAAAGTTAATAAATTGGGAAAATTGGATTTTACGACTTTGGCGAAGACATTATCAAAGGATTCCTTTTCTGGCATTTTTTACCGGTCGTCCCGCAGAAGGCTTTAATAGAGTAAATATGGAACGAAGTCTTTTAGGATACGAAAATGCCGTTCAAATTGAGCGCAATAACGGTGTGATTAATCACATTGAGATTAATGTCAGCGGATCCTCAATTTGTCGGGCTTTTTGTGGTGCTCTTCTGTTACCCACTTTTGCCAAATATGTCGGACAATGTCTTTATGATAGCATCGAATCGGATGTTAACAAAACAATTTTGGTAATCTATTTGTTGTTATTTGAAATTATTAATCAATTATTTGTTGACTTTTAGGGCGGACTAACATTTATTGCGATAAAAGGCGGACTAAAGATATATTTAAGACAACAACAGTTTATTAGACAAACAAAACGACGGATTTTGAATTACAGAGAATATGCTGGAAGTGATTCAAGTGATAATAACTAAACAAATTTAATGTTGAGTCAACTTTTGGTATCGATTTTAATATTTTTGGATTTAATTTTCAATTGTAATTATTTAACTATTATCTGATATGTTATTGTTTTAATTATTGTTATATATTCTCAATACTGCTTTATTTATATTGACTAAAAATTAAACATGTTTATTTATAATTTTAGTTAAAATTTATTTTTAATTAACATACTTATACCAGTTTAATAACAAACTTTCATTTTATAAAATATTTAGTGATTTAAATTATTAATAAAAAACTAAACAAATTGAATGAATTATTTTATTTGAATTTAAATACCTAATAAATTAGGACACTAATTAGTTTTTATAATTGATGGCATCGGCATAGTTTGGCAATTGATTGATTTTGTTGACCACCTGATCATATGATGGCGGAGGTGTCTCAATAGGACGTATGGCTTCAACATTGATGTGATTTGATCTGTAATCACGATTTAACTGATTAGCTATTGTTCTGTTGTTAACAAAATTAAATGATTGTTGGTTTTGGTTGAATAATGTGTGAAACATTTCATAGCTATTAATATTAGGAAATCCTTGCAATGTATTGACTCTTCTATCAAATACTCTGTCCTGAGGATTGCCAATCAATGGATCAATGAGTCGATTGTTGGTTATGTAAAAAATGTCTAAATTATGTATTTTAGTCATCCTTTTGTTATAACTATCGAAAATTCTGTAAAAATAATAGATTATAATAAATGCAATCAATAGTAACGCCAGTCTCCAGAATGAATAACGAAGCGATCGAAAGGCATATCCCAGACATATAAATATTGCCAATAATATACCGATTATTGCTATTAATTTGCAAAAATTGTATTAATATTTAAAAACTGAATAAATTAAAAAATGATTTTCAATTACCTCCTGTATAGTCTACGATTATCTTTTTCCAATCTTTCATAATAAATAAAATAACAAAATTTCATACAAATTGATACTAATATTTAAATATTTTCTTTTAAGCTTAAAACCAGAATTTTTTTATAAAACACATAACATATCGATTAACTTTATAATGACATAATGTTTTGAATAATGGAATCATTAGACATAATAATAATAATTTAATATTCATTAATCTTTAGAAATATATTCACATTATCTTTCATTTATTGATATTTTTTGTAATAACAAAAAATTATATAATATTATACTAACATATTATTAGTTTGAAAAATTAATTTTAGTTATGGTTACCATAAAAACATTGCATAACTTAATAATAAAAAATACATTTATAAGAAAAAATATGAATTCAGATATATTGAGTGCTTTTAAAAAAGCTTGTAAAATGTAAACTATATTAATATTTTATAACTTACTGAAAATCATTAAGCTATATGAAATTGTCCAAGGTACAGCAAAATATAAATATCTAAATGGTATTTAATACAGTAATTTTTTATTTATAATATTTAAAATAAATTAAACTTTTGTTAATTAGAAATACAAAAAATTGATGATTAAATAGTAAATTATTTTAAAGTTAATCTAAAAATAGATTGAAATAATAAAAATCAATAGAAATTGTATTGTATTGTATTGTAAGTTGAATTGTTGTTGAGTTAAAAATTTGTTATTTAACTACTATATGGACTYTGTTTATAAACATTGTTAAATGCTGTCAATCTTATTGCAGATGTCTTGATGAAGCCATCGGCATTGTTTGGTGTAAACTGACCTTGGACATCCATACTAATCAAAACAGTAATTAATTAATTAATTATGTGTTTTATAAACCATATTAAATAGTAATTGATTGAATTGATAAAAACATAAATAATATACAGTATTATGATTATAGAAAAGTAGTAATACCTGACTAACTGTTGATCATAAAGTGATTTAATAGCTTTTCGTCCTCTAATATAAGCATTTCCTTTAAACAGTTGAAGAATGACATATCCATTGACCAATTTCTGGCTTAACTTAAGACAGGCTCTAATATAATGACATTCCGGTGAATACCAAAGTCCATAATAAACTTTTTCCGCAAACTTTTCTGCCAATTGAGTCCTAATTTGATTGACTTCCTAATCATTTAATAATTTTGTTTTATAAGTTATATATAATATAATTATTAAATGTATTACTCGATCCAAACAAAGCAATTCTAGATCTCTGACGGCATTCCAGATGATAGTACCTCCCGGTGTCTCATATACTCCACGAGATTTCATACCAATATATCTGTCCTCAACAATCTATAATAAATTAAATAAAAATTTATTAATCAATTTTTATAAAATCAATTATTACATCAATTCTGCCGATGCCATGCTTTCCGCCTAATTTGTTGAGATATTTCAAAATATCTATCGGTTTATCGATTTTCTCTTTTGTATTTAAATTCTCTACTAATCGAGGAATTCCTTCACTAAATGTTATTTTGATTTCTTCGGCTTCATTTGGCCATTGACTGGGATTAGCAGTCATTAAATACATGTCATCAATAGGCGGGTGCAGAGGATCTTCCAAAACACCCGATTCAAAGCTAATGTGCATTATATTTGCATCAGTACTATAAGGTTTGTCAGGAGTGGCCGTCACTTTAAAACCATTAGACTATAAAAATAAGTTATTTAATTGATTTAGTATTAAAATATGATTTATTAACTAACTTTTGCATATTCTATTAGATCGAGTCTACCTTCAAATCTATTATAAAACGATTCCATTCTCCAGGGAGTAATGCACTGTAATTTTAATTATGTTTATTCATTCATTCATTCATTCATTCATTTAATTGAAATTTGTTTTAATTTAATAAATACTTTAATATTAGAGTCCAATGAAATACAAGACAATTCAAATCTGATTTGATCGTTGCCTTTACCGGTGGCTCCGTGTGCTATGAACTCTGCTTTTTCCTCATTAGCCACTCTAGTAATACCTTTTGAAATACATGGTCTACATAGGGATGTTCCCAAAAGATACCGTCCCTGATATATGCCTCCATAAGCAAGAGATGGATAAACAAATTCTGTGACAAATTCTTCAATTCTGTTGTCGACAATCGCCTAAATGTATACAAAATTTGATTTTTCTTATATTTCACAATAATTGTTTAGTTTTGAAAAATACTTTAATAGCTCCAAGTTTTAAGGCTTGTTGTCTCACTTGATCCAAGTCCTCCTCCTGTCCCACATCTGCCTAGAATTTTATTATAGATTTTGCTGAGTTTTTCTCTATTAATAACAAACATTCAATAATTTTAAATCACTTACTGTATAACAAATCACTTGATATCCCTGTTCTTTGAGCCAAAACAGTATACAAGTTGTGTCCAGTCCTCCACTATAGGCTAACACCACTTTCTTTTGATTTTCAGACATTTTAAACTATAAATACTAAACTTATTTAAGTTTAATAAAATGTTTATAATTACACTATAAGTTAATTTCAAGCAATAATAAATATTTTATGAAAGTATCTTTAAATAGTTGTGCAAAACACTGATATTTAGTAAATGATATGATTTTTAAATTTTTTAATCACTTTTAAATGTCAGAAATCATAACTTAAACCGGATATACTATATCATTGGTAGACATTGGTATCATTACATATCATGTTTATCATATATTACAGTAATTATCTATATAATAGATAAAATTTGTCAAAATACAAGTTTCACAAAAATTATTTAATATATTTATAAAAATCTTATGTAAAATTAATACTTTGATGTTTAAGAAGAATGTATTTAATAAAATAATTTTTGTTATATATTTGATCGCAATATAAAGTTTAATATTAGTATATTATTATTAATATGAATGAAAATCTATAAATATTTATATTTTATTAATCACTGATTAATAATCAGTATTTCAAATGAATAATAAGTAAAATAATATCTTATTAAAAATATTCAGATAATACCAGATATTTATATAAAAGTACAAAAATTAAATCAATATAGAAATTATCAATATTTATAGAATCTGTAAACAATCTTAAATGAATCAATAGTCAAAAAAGTATAAATTTCTAAAAAATATACAATTTCTAGAAAGTTAAAAAAACGTTAATAATATGCCAGGTTATTTTTATTTTCTTGATATTTGTTAAAGTGTARTTAGTAACTATTAATAACAATTAAATCTTATTACTGTATTAGTAATTGAATTGATATTTTAACTTTAAAAATAAAGATCATTACAATAGAGTCTGTATAGCCCTTGACTAATAGCCCTTGAAAAATAAAATATATATTAATATATAAAAAGTGTCGATAACTACAAAAAACTTAATAAATTAATAATTTTAAATAAGTTGTTGTATTGAAAACATCACACAAAAAATGAAATTATTATTTACAAAATTAAATACAGATTTTGTCTTATTTTCTAAGCAGACTTAAAGCTACATAAATTTGTATTCAATACTTATATAATATAATTTTAGTGCTCAAACTGTTTGTATTGCAAGTATGTATATATAATATATACTATATATCATGGTATTATATAAAAAACTAGACCAAACTATATTATATTTAGAGTATAAATAAATTACATATACAGTAGAATATGTAGAATTAAGACAAATTTTAAATATAATTTTGAAAAATAAGTTATTATTTAAATATAATTTTTATGTATTTAATATATTATAATTATATGTAATATTAATATTGTTATTATTTATTATTTTTATATTACATGAAAATATACGAAAAAATATATAAAAACACTTTATTCCTTATTTTTTAAATTTTTGTTGACTACTATAAAATTTTTATTTCAATGTTATTCAGCAATCATTGACAGACCCATATGTGTAGTACTGTACTACTAGTACATTGTGTACTAATTGACTCTCCCCGCACCTACCCTTTTACCATATCCTCTATTGGAGACCAGTATTAATATGTATACCCATCCTTGCAATAGTCAAACAAGTCATATAAACATATGTATTACAGACTGTATTCACATTACATTCATAATTCAGTACAATATAATAATATTAGTATTTTTTTAGAACTTTTATTTACCGGTAATATATTTATTTGTCATCTAATCAATACAAATGAATAAATAAATAAATAAAATAACATAAAAGTTAAGATAGAAATAATAATTTAGTAAATATTATTTGAGATCAGAGTAAATAAAAAATATAGAAAATAAAATGAAAACATTATTACTAACAAAATATATAAACAATATTAATAATTATTAAATTTAGTTTTTTAATATTTTAAAATTTGGTTTCTCATAATTATTTATAAATTTAATATTATAATCTAAACATTTTTATTGGTTTATCATGGTCATTCAAAATTTAAGATTATGAACTATTAAAAATGTCTAACAATTAAAGTGATTGTTCCACAAAAAAGATAAAAGTTAAATAAAATATTTAGATTTAGTTATAAAGATATATACAAAAAAAATGTGAATTCAATTCAATATTTTTATTTAATAATTAAGAAAAAATAATGTTTACATTTCTTTAACGGTATAATTCAATGCAAGATCTTAAACATCCAAAAAACAACAATATTTTACAAACATTTCCACAGCTAATAGACTTTTAAATTTAATAATTGTGTTAATATGTCATTAACTGTATATCTAACAAAAACAATCAAAATTAAAGTCATTAACAAGATCATTTTTAATTAATTATTAACTTACCGTAATTGCTTTWAACGTAAATCAAAATAATACTGTATTTATCWAATACAAATTATATGTATAATGTATAAGATTTATTCAATTTGTTAATATCAACTTAATTGCAACAATTGGTCAGTTTTTGTCAGATTTTTAATGTTCAACACATGTTAACAAAGCTTGAAAAGTGATCCAAATAAGCTGTTGTTGCAAATTACTGTCAAAAATTCAATAACATTTGAATGTATGTGTTATTTACAAATTGTATTTTCAAATATTTTCTAATAAGATATCATGTTATAAAAAATTCAAACAAATTCAAAATAAATATATATATATATATATATTCTTTTAACATAACATTTTGAAAATTAATTTTAAAACAATTTGTTAATAATTCAAAAATGGATCAATTAATAGATGATTCATTATAACATTTTTAATGTTAAATAAATGAATAAAAATACACACTTATAACAAAAAGTTTTAGTTTTTATAACAAAGAGTAGTTTTAAAATCTTAAGATCTAATAAAAAGAATTAAAATTTTTGGTTTTTATTTTGTCTGTTATTTATATTGTTAAGCAACCACTTGAATGACTAGTCAAATAAGCAGTCAATGAAAAATTATGTCTTCATTACATTTTAATATTTATTAGATAATTAACAACTATAAGCAATGGCACGTCACCTAACTGGTCAATCACTTGAGTCAATCGTTAAAACTTAGTAATAATAATAATAATAATAATAATAATAATAAATTGCACAATTATGTAACGGTTCAATAAAAATGTGCATTTGGGTCCGAACCAAACGAGTCAAGTAATATACCCATTGGTGTCTTTAGAATACCCATGTTTTCCATGGTATTTGTCATCTTATTCTTCAAGTTTCTGGTTCTTAGGCTGGCGTGTAATAGCACCAGAAATAGAGGCAATAGTACGCCAAAGAGGAATACCAGTACAGCACTGAACAGGTATACAATGAGAGATCCGCCGCCAAAGATCAACATCAATGAGATGATGGGATGCGAACGCTTGAAGTCCATGAATTGAGGAGATTTGTTGTTCGCATATATGAAGATTGCTATCGCTATCAACAGAGCCAACAATCCCAACAACATTTGCGTCGGTTTTATTATACTGATTGAAATTATAAAAAATTATAATTCATTAAAATTAAAGTATTAAAAACATTAAATATATTTTATTATAAAAATTGTTTGTAATTTATGCTATTAATCGCTTTTAAAATATATTTTTAGAAAGAAAGYTAATTGTGATTATTGTATTAATAAAACTGTAGTAATAGTAAACAATTGCTACAAAAAGTACTTTTAAATTAATGATAGAAAAAATATTAAAATTTAGTGATTAATAAATAATAAAATGTTAGTGAAGTAATTGAGACCAATATTGCAATTTAGGTAATCTTCGCATAAATATCTATTAAATCATTAATCATTTTATGTCTTTTGATGTGTTTTTTAATGACTAAAAAATTTGAAAACTATATAAATATTTAATAAACTGTTAAACTATTTGTATTGGTTTTGATTCCTTTTACTGTTTATTATTATTAAATAATAAATTTCAAAAACTTTAGATATTATGTAAATTTCTAATAGTTTTATAATTGATTTTATATGATATGATATAATAAAATACAAACTAATAATATATAATATAAATGCAATAAATACCCGATGAGTGTAAATATGATGATTGCGGTCAAGAAATAGTTGGTTTGATAGTAAAGTAGATTATTGACGACCCGATGGTTCCATTTGTCTAAGTCTTTCAATTGCGGTAATTGGAAGCGATTCACACTTAACAAGTAGTCGTCCAGTGATCGGATCGGCGCTAATGTCATGTCCGATGCCATTGTCTCTTCGGGTGGCAAACAATCGACTGATGAGTAATGCGGATAATTGCGTGTTGTGGCCAACGTATGTCCACCGCCAACAGTCACCGAATTGCTAGTCGTCAACGGTCTATGTTTCACGGCTTTTCTGGTCAGCGATCGCGGCAACGATTTAGTCGAATAAGTGGTASCGTTTCGTGCGGTCACCAATTGGTCACTAAATTGTAACCGTTTGTTGTTATTATGAATATTATTATTATTATTAATAATTGTGTGATAGTTGTGGTCAGTCTTGTGATAATTATTAACACTTTTATCGACGAATCGATTGAATCGTTCATTCAATTTGTTTATTACATCTCTCATAATGTTTACGAATATATGTCACAAACAATACAATAATAACAACAATAATAACAATACGATTACACAATTCAAGCGATCAGTTATTACAGTATATTATGTGACGAATTCTATTCCAACTGATTGTGCGTTCGATTTGATTATCAGTATTACAGTTGACTTCAGTCATACAATATTGTCATTACTTTACTGTTCAAACATTTAACCCTTAAATGTAAATATTTTTCTACAAATATTTTATATCATATGTACTCTTAAAAAATGCATTTTTAAATTTCGTGTCCAATGCCTGTTGTAAATCATTCATAAATAACGTACATATTTGTGATATTATAATATAATATTCAATATAACAGTAAAAGTATTATTAATAGTTGTATTGTTTAACTAAAAGTATAGAAATTTAAAAATTGTGTCATTAATGTAACACAAATACAAATTTTAAAAATTAAAAACAATAATATCATAAATATATATAAATTAATATTTTTAATTAGAAATTTAAACGCATTTTATTTATTAAATTCAATAATAATTTTGTTTTACTAGAAACTGAAGTACAGACACATTATTTTAATTTTTCATTACTTTTTAAAATATAAAAATAATAACATATTTGTATAAAAGTTTATATATTTATCCAAACATTCAAAATGATTGACACATTTTGGATTCTTGGATAAACTTTTCTGAAAATTTTCTGTTCCGTCAGGTGTTGATAATGATGATGACGATGATGATGATGATGATGGTCAATTTATTGTCAATTAACCATGTTAAAACTAATCAATTTACATATAGGGCTTCAAAATATATGATATGACAAACTACCTGTTTATGTCATTTATTTATTTTGCAAAAAAAAAACATTTTATTCTAATGTTTTGCCATACATTCAAAATTTACATTTAATTTTAAATAATATTTATGCTATTTTTGAATTTTATTCTTTAATTTATTTTACAATAAATACACTTTTAAACAAATTTAAATAAAAATATATTAATTATTTGAAAGTTAATGAAAATAATTTGAGAAAATGTGTGAAAATAAATTAAACAACAATTTTTTTCATCGGTTGTTGTCTTAATGTCTCCTAAATTAAGAGGTTATGACCAGGGTCTTAAAAATGGCAGGCATAAACAATAGATGCCAATTTTGCCAAATGCCTGCCCTGTCTCTGCCATGCCCTGGGCATCTATTTTCAGGTGGTGACACCTATTATTTTAATTTTATATTAATTAATTTATAAAACATTGTTTTTATAATATATTTGTTTGTATTTTTGTTTTGTATACCTTTAATTAAAAGGTAATATCATTGGAAATAAATAAATTGTAAATTTAATTAACACGTTAAAACACTAAATTGCTTAATTGCTAATTGCTTTTAGCAATTTAAATTGGCAGACAAATAAAATAGATGCCTAAAATGCCAGGCATTTATGGCATCTATTTGGGCATTGCCAGGGCAGGCATTTATTTTCTTAAAACCCTGGTTATGACTAATCAACCATTAATTACAATTGAATAAAGTCATCATATATTTCAAACTTTATAATATTATATTGAATAAAAWTGATAAATAAATCACATTTGATTACTTAGTGTAAAATACTGTATCTATGAATATATGAAATAATTTTTATTTAACAAAACATTAGATAAAATAAATCGTTTATTAATTATAACTAAAATGATTTTTATGAGTCAGTTGTTGTATATGAAAGTCAATCACTCAATGAAAGTGTCGTACAATTAGTTTAGAAACAATTCATGAAAAAACAACATTTGTTTAAAAAAGTTTTATTTCAAGGCTATCATTGACTCAATAGTTACTATGATATAACATTTACATCACATTAACTATTATACTAACAACAAATCAACTAAATTTATAGTAATTTTATTAATTTGATAGTTAATACAGTATTAATTAATTAATGACAATCATATTATGATTTATTTCAACTATAAGTATATAAGATATACGAATATATACTAAATATCTTGTAATTTATGTTAATTTACATATTTTTCTAAATAAATTCCGAGTATTTAACATAACGTGACATTGAAAACGGAAAAAACAATTATTTCTAACTTATTATTAAAGTATCAAATTTTTATTATTATTCAAGTTATAAATAAATAATTTTTATAATTACAATCATTTTATTGCTAAATGAGGAGATTTTTGAAATTTTATAGACTATTATATATCTGTAAATATTTTGTACTTTTTTTGATTAAATTATCAAAAGTAATAATGTTTTATTAAATCTCATTTTCTCTACTCGAATGACATATTCAGCAATAGTTACTAATTTGTACTTTTTTTGGACAAATTTAAGATAAATTTAATTTCTGTCATAAAATATAATAATTATTACAAATTCAATAAATACTTGTTCACAATATCTCTACTAAATGTGTATTTTTGTACGATTTTTCTGTTTTTAGAGAACCTGAGATTACAATGTTTCCCATTTTGACCAAATTTATACCATATATTAAGCATAGAAAATAAAAAAACTATTTMAAAATTTTTTGTTAGATTGTGACGGGTTATTTTAAATAATGTTTTAAAATTATTGATATTGTACTACAGGTATAATACTGTATATAAATATAACTAAATATTGAATTTTATTTTTACAGTAAAACTATTTTTTCTTCAAAACTATAATGAGATGTGAARCTAATGTATTAATGGACTAATAAATCTAGTTATTATAATTCAATATAACTTATACTACATTTGATTACTATTTTGCAATTATATACTTTAGTACTAAAAACAATGTTTCCAACCAAACGGTAATCAATAAAATTAAATATTTTATATTAATTGCAAAAATTATTAATATTTGTTGATTTTTCGCAATCAGACATTGAAAGTGAAATATCTCTTAAAATAAAGGATTGTATTATTGATGACTTTTGATTGATTGAAAACATATTAATAACAAATAAAACATTAAACATGTGTTAATTCACTAAATGACTAAACAATTTGTTTACTTTTTAAATGTATTAATACTTTATAATACCTAATGATTTGTTTCTAAACGGCTTATCATATGTTGACTCATAAGACAAATATTTGTTTGATTATTAAATACTAAGAAACGAATTTCCATTAGTATTACTAATAATTTATTAACAAAACTAATGATAATATATTTTATGTTTTTTACTACGGAATTGTATTATTCATTCATTAAAAATTTGATTTAAAAGTAATAGCCTCAGGTATTATAATACTAGAAAATAATATTTTCATAAAAATTTTATTTGTTTATTAAGTTAATCGACAAAAAGACATTTAAGATAATTATTGTAATTAATATATCAATAATAAACAGTATAAAWCTGTATGTATTGATTCATAATAATATATTTTATGAATTAATCGTTAATTGATTTATTCATTGATAATTTAATCCACATATTGGCTGATAATTAATTAAAGTTTACAAATTGTTAGCATATTTTTCTTATAAATTATAATAAAATGATTTTTATAAAAACGCTATTTGACTGATAACAAGAAAAATGTTTAAAATAAAGTAATAATAATATATTTAAAATAATTATGTTTACAATCAATGCATTAAAGAAGATATAAATTAGTTATTAAATTATTAAATATTAAAGTCAGTCTACAGTATATAATGTAATAATTATTAATTTGTATATAGAGTTGAAGGACAGATATTTTATAGATAATGACTAAAACTAATTGAATTTAAATTTATTAATTTCTTAAACTTAGACAAAAGTATTATATTKTATTTTAATTTACATAAAATTTTCTTTAAATTATATGAACAGAAATGAAATACAATTAAAATAAATTAACTTCAATATAGACTAAAATAATAAATAAAATGATATAAATATTAATGTAATTATTTAAATCAAATATCGTTTTATTATTCAAAACATTTACTTCTTGTATAAGTTCTTCTTTAAACACAGATATAAGATATTAAAACTTTTTTTTATATATAATTTGCATAAATTGTTATAAATATATAATAATATAGTCTCTAAATCATAATAATGTTGTAAATTCTAAACAAATAAAACAATTTTTACAATTTTTAAAATTACTTTTATAGGAATAAAATTAATAAATTTGGTTTATTATTGCTATAATTTCATTTTTGATATGTTTTATAAAATTCTTGATTGTTATAAAATTACTGTATTTAACATTGAATATGAAATAAATTACATTTTAATCAAATTAGTTTTAGTATAAAATAATCAAAATAAAGTTTATTCACACATTTAAATCAATCTTGTCTATTTATAGATATAACATATTAATTAAATATTTTAAAAACCAATATAAATATGGTATAATTAAATTGTATTCAATACTAATTTTAAGTTACTTTTACATTATATAATATAAACAAATATTTTCTAAATAAATCAAATAAATAATTACATTAATAAAATCATAATTTTATAAAAAAGAGAAATAAAAGATTTGATTAATTTTAAAGATAAAACTACAATAAAAATACTTAATTATAGCAATAATAACAACACTAATAAAATATATAATTGTTATATTAATGAAATAATAATAAAATCGGTGAATACTAAAGAAGGCTATGATTTTGTTAATTATATAAACACTTTATGATTGACGCAAACAAAGTGGAGAATTTTGTTGTTATTTTTCCACTTAAATAAAAACTGAAATATAATAGCTATTATCGTAAGTGATTTTCGATAAGACATTGGAGACATTGTTTTAATATAACAGTAGTAAAAATTGATAGCATTTACTGCACTTTTGTATTTTAGTTTCCAATTATAGAGTATTAAATACATTGAATTATTATATGATTTGTAAACTAGAATTGTGTGTTAAATGTATGATAATTGTAATCAAATGGATGTGTTTCATGGATTATGCCCTCAATTAATAAATAAATGTTATTTTTCTTCGAGTATTTATACTGTAGTCATATCTATGTTTATATATACAGTATTTATGCAGAAACGACACTCAATAATAAGCATTTATGATAAATACTATTTAAATATTTATAAAAATGTTTGTTTGCATTTAATTTTGATGCAAAACACACTCTATTATTCAATAAATGTATAATTAAAACAACATTTATTAATAAACCTCATTATAGTGAGAATTTCAACTAAATTCTAGAATATTTTCATCAAATCATTAATTTTTAAATAAAACTAGATTTTATTTTCAATAAATAAATAGTAAAATRTTTATCGATAAAGCAATTAATTTAATTATAAGTTAACTTAATTATATAAAAATAAAACAATTCTGAATTGTTTTGTCCAATAATTATATAAATTTTATATAAAAATAAAGTTCACTATATATGAGGCAAACATTTCTTACTTATAATACATTTAACATCATTTGACTCTCTTTTTAAGTCAAATTCAATAAATAGAGAAAATTAAAAAATCTTTTGTCAGTTAAAAAAATAATTAAAAGTATATCTTGTTATTCATTGATTTGAATTAAAGCTAACGATAAATATCTTAATGTTTGTTATAATCATTGCTAAGAATTAGTGGTATTGTTGGCCAACAATTAATTTGTTTGTTTGTACTCCAGATATGGATAATGAATGTTGTTGTGGATGAAAGTGGTTTTGATGTTGAAGCAGTTGTTGTTGTTGTTGTTGTGCTGTTTATACGGTCTACGACCGGCCCGACCCCGACGGGGCAACAGTAGATCATAGTTGAGACCTTCGGGAAACTCTTTTCTGTGAACTTTCAAGTGTTTTGCCAAATGATCGCTTCGTGAGAACCGTTTGGTACAAATGGGACATTCGTATGGCTTGTCGTTAGTATGCGATCGTTTGTGTCGCGAGAGTTCATCGGAACGGGAGAAACGCCAACCACATCCCGGCCACAAACATGCAAATGGTTTTTCGCCGGTGTGTCGCCGCAGATGAGCCTTCAGATGAGATGACTTGGAGTAAACTTTATTACAGTTTTCATAATTGCAAATAAACTGCTTTTCCAGCTGTTCCTGAGCCACAACACTCTTGCGCTGTCTCTTTGTCGGTGTTTTTTTGGAAGGTGTGGTCTGACCTACCAGTGCCGACATTAGCGGCAAATCTTTGTATAAATTGTTAGAATTGTTTGCAAATAATTGATTGCAATTCTGATGAAAACTGTTTAAGAAGTTTGACGCGAATTGTGTGTTAATCGGCGGTAATTTCGTGTTCGGACAGTAATTGTTTGCATTTGTGTTGAAATTGTCGGAAAAGTTCTCAAAGTTGTTGTCTATGGACACAACACATCCGTCATCAGAGGTCAGAGTGTCTAATCCGACTCCGAGTACAACAAAGTCGTTCTTTGGTGTCATTTGTAAGTCACAGTCGGATGCGTTCGGAGAAGACATCGGCGATAATGACTCCCATGAACTCAATGGAGATGGCGATGATATTGAGCGCAACAGATCTTCAGCCGAAGCACCGCTAAAAGCATCGGTTGTGTCGATGAAAGATCCGCTATTGCTTGAGGTTTGACTGAAATAGTCGATGAAATTCTTGTCGAGAAAGTTGTTCTCCAGGTCTGACAGATCATCCCAATGAGCAAACCCTGAGTCCAGTGATGTCTGGTCTTCGTCTTCGTCAAAGAGATTGTCGTTAAGCATCTGAAGAGTCAATAATTCCCTTTCAATCGATGAACTCAACGAGTCTTCCATTGTTTCGATTGTTTTCTTCAATATTTGCTAACAATTTGTAATAAAACAATACTTTCTTTTGATTAGTCGTTGAAAAGCACTTAAAAAACTTTATAATTTCATATCATATACTACTGTCTGCTCTTATTTGATAATTAAAACAATTTTCTAGTTTTATAATAATGTTTTCATTTTATAAAATTAATTTTATTTATTATATATTTAATGACAATAATGACAGACAATTGATGAACGGTTTCAATGAATCGACAATTTTATAAATAATAAGATTTGATTTAAACGAGACTGAGATATGTTTTATGAATGGTTTCAATAAATTAATTGATATATACTTGCATTCAGAGAGTATTTTAGAAAATTGTTGGAAAATTTGTTGCAATTTTTCATCAATGAATACAAAACTATTAAACTGTTGACACAATTACTGTAATTTGAATCCAAGTAACCAATGAATGTCAATATTATTCACAGTATTTCAAACAGCATTTCAATTGTATTAATGATAATAAAGTACTGAAAACTTTATTTGTTTCAAAGCTGACTAACATTTGATAACTTTTTCATTGAATATACACTTAAATAGTATAAAATCCATAATACTATGGAATTGTTTAAAAAGTTTCAATAAATATAACGTTTATTATATAATAATGTTATAAATGGTTTAACTTTTATAATTACAAAATAACTGGCATTAGAGTCGTCTTTCATAACTTTATATATAAGTAGAGAGTTTGTAGATAACGGTGTTTTACAGCATATCATGAATCCCATGAACCACGTGATCTAATACCAGTGCAATACTGGCACTCAAACACATAATACCGTGTGATTAATGCAAACAATTTGTTGAACAGTCAGTCAGTCATTCATTCAGTCATACAATTGATGCCAAACTTTAGGATACAATACAACGCCTATTGAGTACTACTATTGGCTCGACTTCTGGACAATTCATTTATTTTCCACTTTCCCGTTCCTCTCTCTCTCTCTCTCCTAACTGTCGGCTATTTTAATGATTTAATTAATTCAATTGGTTTTCATTTTTTGGTGTAAAATATAATTCACATGAATTGAAATCTGATTTATGAAAACAGGTTTCATATTATTTTGAAACTAATGATGAAAACTGGATTATAATAACATTAGTTTCAATGTTTTCGCTATAATATTACACATAATTAATGAATTATTTATTTTCTGTATTAAATATTTTGTAACATTTAATATCTTTATTTTAAAAATGAATAATTGCTTTATTTTGACAAAAAGTCTAAACATATCTATTTTCATAAATTTAAAAAATGCTTTGATTTGTTAATTGTTTTTCTAAACATTCAATGAATTGTCAATAAAGTGATGAAAACCAAAAGCAAACGATAATTCATTTAAAAATAATGTTTTTATTAATAAATTAGTAATAAATGTATTGAAGGAGAGGTGATGTCAAGGCAATTGATATTACAATCAAAAGCTCTTAATTGATGGCAATATAGACTGTTTTAAGCTGTATATTGACTCAGATTGGATACAGTATTGTCTGCAGCCGTCTATTAATACAAATAATGTGTGTGTTATTTGTCATAAATTATTGTAATATTGAATTACATATGAATAACACAATTATTACTACAAATGACAGGAAATGGCAATTATAGTCAAACGTGTAATRGCTATGGATTTTGACCCACAGTTTGTTGCCTTTAATGTCAAATCAACTGTTAATCTCTAAATCTTATCAATTGTTTATTATATTCCCAGCATTTCATTGTTTTCATACAATTTAAAAACACTAATAATAGGAATTGAATTCATTTAATCTCAATTTTAATTCAATTAATTGTTTTAATTAATTAAAACCATTTCTACTATTTTTATAAATTCAATGACTAAACAAATAATTAGTAAATACAATACAATATACCGAATGTCCAATACTTTTGCAATTTAACACATTTTTTAGTAAACAAATACCAAAAGTATGAAAATTATTGAAAGTTTCATACAATAAATACAATTATAAATCAATAAATACTGCAATTGTATAATGTTTTTTGCATTTTAATTGTGAGGTCATAATTGAACTTTGACCTTTAATAACTTGTTTGAATTGTATATATTGTTAGTCTATAAGCCATTGTTAGGATCAAAGCATTGTATTTTGAATTAAATTTTACGATAACTTAATTTTTATCGATTATAATGTTATTTATCTATTATTAACAAAACGTATAATTATTTGACAAATCGTTGAATTGTTTTATGGATTTGTGTTTTCAGCTTAATTTGCATACAATGTCTGTATTTGTCGTCTAATCAGACATTTATTTAAACAATTAGTATTAATAWATAATTGTGATTAACATCAGTAACACTATTGTCATTGAAAATCAATTCAAATATTTAATTATAATATTTTAAATTCTTATTAAACATGAAATTTCACTAATTATTAAATACTAATGAATTGATTTAGTTTTTAATGATTAACAAAATTTAATGTCTTTAAGTGCTTCATAATTGATACTTAAAAATAAATATTAATACTATTATTATAAATAATCTTTAAATAAATTTAAGATAAATGAGTCTTATTTTTAATGATAAAAATATGATTAAATAGTTTTATTGATTACAAACACGTTTACAATTAAGAAATCACGTAAATATCATATATTTTAATGATTTTATTAAATAATTCAATATTTATATGAATTAGAAAATAAATTCATGTCAAAAACGTTTCCAATATTTTCATAATTATTACTATATATTWATTAATTCATTGAATTAACAATAATTTGACAAAACATAAAACAATACTAATATCTAAACAAACTATTATTGAAATATTTGTTCAAATCATTAAAACTATTAATTCATTCGTTAGAAACTTCTTTTCTTAGAAAATGTCCAAAAGTTATACACAATTATAACACGTCTTGAAAAATATTGAAAATTAGATAAAATAAAAATTATCGTTAATTCATATATTAATCGTCATTATTCTCAATATATATATAAATAATTGTAAAATAATATAAATAATTAATAAATTGGTTTAAAGTCGCAAAACAGGTCTCAATCCTAAGCGCTATGAATTAGGACTACAGATACTAACTGTACTTAATATATGAGTACTTTTAGGACACAAGTATTCAATTTATTAGTTTTTATTTTACATCACAAATCAATAATCCAATAAAAAAATTATGACGCTTATAATTTGACCGAAGTTGACCAACGCTATTTCCGAAATTTTATTATAAATAAATAACTATTAGAAACTATAAAAACTTATAAATAATTATTTCATTGATTTTGAAAAATATAAGCATTAATTTGTAAAATATTGCACAAATATATGTAAAAACAAAAAGTAATAGTTATATAAATTATAAAATCTGTAAACTGTTATCAACTCATCTTACTTTTTTAACATGCTGAAAACAAGTGAATTATATATCTGTTGAAATATTTATAAGATAATAAATAACTATTTCAATAACTATCAATTATATACAACTATTTAATACAGTTTAAATAACTATTTTCAACTATTTAATTAATGTATAAAAAATTATTAATCAATACACTACAAATCAATCAATAATTTGAAAAAATTTAATGAATAAAATTAAACCTATTTTTACAGCTTTTTATATTAAGTGAATATCTATTTGTGTATAAAATCCTTGACTTAGATTTATATTTATGATAAAGTAGACTACCTTTCCTTTACATAATTAAATAGTATTAAAGATGACATACAGTATATGTAATGTAAGGTATTTTATGATATTATATCATAAATAGCATAAAAATTATTAATTTTCATTAATTTAAAAGTACTTTAAACTCAATATATTGTTATATTTATTATCAAAAGTCTATAAATTCCTAAATTAAAGCATTTATGAACAAAGAATTTAAAATAGATTTGTTTTCTTAAATTTATTTATTAATTAAAATCATTTAATATTTAAATCAAATTAGTTTTTAAGTAAAATATTATTTTGTTTTTATTTCAATTCAAAGTTAATTGCAATTAATATACAATTTATTCCGTTTTTAAACAATTTCTGTTAATTTCAACAGAAAAATAAGGATTTGTCACAAAATAACAAATCCTTTCACTACTTATGTCTTAATTATTTTATCATTTATTCAAAGCATTTATAATCTATTTTATGAGTAGTTTTTACACTTAGAAAGAAATTAATAATAATAATGAATATTTCAATCATTTTTTSAGTTTATTTCTAAAAATTTAAACTTTATTTGAATTCAATGCCAATAAATACTAAATTTCATTGAAATAATTATATATTTTGTAAATAAAATAATTAAAGAAATGTTTGTCAACTGATAAGCGATCAAAAAATTGTGATTAAAATGCAAAACAAATGTATAACTAATAAATAAATCGCCAAAAGGTGTCGGAAATCGTTATTTTTAAATAATATTTTCTTAAAATGAATTTTTTTAATTTCCTGTTTTGAATAAAAGATGAATTAATAGCAAAATGTAAAGAACGACAAAAATTCTTTGACAACAAGCGATGCTTTTTGTTTAATTTATTTCAATCAAAATAGACGTAAAAAACATTAGAAATGAGTTTTTGTTAGATTTGACTGACCTTTGGTTASGGTGTTTGAAACCAGTTGTGATCGAGAATCTGTTGAATAGTGAGTCTGTCTAAAGCCAAAGGAGAGACCATTCGAGAGATGAGATCTTTGATTTCGTCACTCAATCGATATTTATTGATGAACGGTCCGTATCTGTGGGGATGAAGTATAAGATCAGCCATAGTTTTATGACAATTAGGTCCTCCCAAAGACTCACATAAAGCTAATCCCAGAGAATAGATATCTGTGGGTTTCGGTTGAAAAGGAGCTCCGAAACTCATTTCCGGTGCCATATATGAAGGCGTTCCTCTCGGATGCGATTCATGAATGCTGTGTTGGACTATTGGATAAACCTTTGCCAAACCGTAATCCGAGAGTTTCCAGTTGAGTGAAGGCGGGAAGTTGGGGTCGGGATTCGGGATCTCTTTGTACAGAATGTTCTGGACTTTGATGTCGAAGTGAACGACGTTTTTGTCGTGCAAATACTTGAGTCCACAACTGATTCCTCGCATCCAGTCTTTGGCGAGACTTTCGTTGAGTTTTTTGCTTCTCTGACAACAAATCCAATGCAAGAGAGTTCCGGAACAGAGTTCCATGAAATGCAGAAATCGGATGTAAGGAAAGCCTGTTTGCGGATCGTGAACTCCGAACATCTCTTCGCATAACACTATGTTCTCGTGTTTCAGACTGTTGTGCAGTTCGAACTCTTCCTTCAGTTTTCTGACCGCTTCGGCAACTGGTCTTCCATGAGAAGTGAATTTAGACAACGACAGGATCTTAACGGCCAGTTCGACGTCTGGATTCGTGTAATCCCTGATTCGGTTCGAATTGTTGGACAACAACTCATTGCAYCGAACTCTCCAAACGGTTCCGAATCCTCCTTCGCCTAACTTTCCCAGAAAAGTGATTCCGTGAGCGTCGGTAAAAGCCTTTTCGTTTGGAGGCAAGGGTTGTCCTCTTGGAATCGGAGCCTTGAATTGCGGTCCGAGATTTCGATAATCTTGAAAATACTGTTCCCATTCAGAGACGCCATGAATAGGTCTTCCTTTATAAAAGCCATAAACACCTCTTTGTCCATCCAAATGCGGTAACCAGGCTTCGCTGTTGCGCAGTCGATAGCCTTTCTCTCCGAAACCCTGTCCTCCGAAGTCGTATTTCGGATCATAATGTTTGTGCGTTCCCTTCGGTTGTGGAGGATATCCTTCGTACAAATCCAATCTTCCGGTTCTTTTTGCAATATAATTCAAATAATCGATATCAATGACCGGAATCGGAACAAAACTGTCCGGCGGTTCGGCCGCAGACTCGTTCTCTCTTTTGCCTCTCAAACGACTCAATCGTTTCCGAATATAATTCATCGTTCGATTCATAACTCCTTTTCGAGGTTCAATCGGATTTCCACGTCCACCACCTCCTGACCCTCCCTGTCCTCCCTGTCCTCCTCCCTGAGCTCTAAACATGTTTTTTGTGATAAAAAGCAATCAATGTTTCAAATTGTTTGACAACAATATCTCTTTTAATTTGTTTTAAATTTGTTTTAAAATTTAAAGAAATTTTTGTTTTCCCAAAGATTTCATTCAAATTGACATAAATTTTGTCTTTTTTGGAATAATTTTGTTTTCTTTTGTTGTTTTATAACTTATTTTATATTTAGTTTTGATATTATCTATAGTTTTGTGTATTATTTGTCAAAAGAATAAATATTTTCTAATTTTAAAGATTTTATAGTTTAATAAAAACATAATATTTTGAAATGTCTTTCATTTGTTTTTAATAACAGTTTTAATAACATCTGGTTTTCGGATTTGATTAATGCGTTAAACATGAAAATAATGCTTAAAATTGTTTTATTTGTGGTTTTTTTCGGTAATTCTTTGTCTGAAATCATAATATTTTAATAATTGTTATTTCATTGAAGAAAATTCAAATCAAATATTCGACACTTTGAGAGAAAAACTGTTTAATTATACGGAAAAAATTGAAGACATTTTCGACGGACCGGCAGTTGTTTTGACGAAAATTCAAAACAATTTAATCAAAAGTATGAAATCGTTTGCAATTATAGAACCGACCGAAAGAGAGACCCGATTGGTTGATGAGGACATGAACTACCTGTTCTCCATTGGAACCGATAAACTCATTGATTCTAATACTAAAATGGACTTCTTTTGCAGGCATTTATACCAAAAATAATAATTTCTGATAAACTAATTGTTTTGTTTAGCGAAAGAAACAACTTTTTGGAGGAATTGAAAACTTGGATAACAAGGAAATACACATTTCATTACAGATTGAGATTTATAGTCATTCTTATGATTCACAAAATCAAAACCAAAAACAACGACTTTTGCGCTGACAATAAATCCAAAGAAGATTTCCTCAAATTTACGCAATTATTGGTTCCAATGAATCCCACATTAATGACAATTAGATTCCGATTTATAGACACTTTGGTTGCGATAAAGAAATCGCATTTCGGTATTACAAGAGTCGGAAAGATTTGTTGGCAAGTCTTGAGTATTAATCCAATAATAATAATACTTTTAGTTGTTTTCCAACAGCGCTTATTGGCGTTTCAAACACCAAACGTTGGACACAATTGATTCAATAGAACTCAAAGAGTTTGTCTCACAAATGATGAATTCATACTTTTCTGGAGGTCTTCACTACTTTTGTCTCATCTATCAGGAGAACTGGCAAACCTGTGCTTCACATAAACCTGATCCTCCCGTTCCCCATCAATACGACTCTATGCTTATGAATCTGATGGACGCGTTGGCAAAAATTGATAACATTTTCCTWAAAAGATGAAACGTTTCTTATTTTTATTTAATTTTTTTGAAATTTCTCTTAATTTATGAGAATTTCGATTAAAAGTAAATTTGAAATAAAATATTTTCTTTTTGTCACAAATTTCTGTTAATTTATGAGAATTTTATTGAAATTTTATTTTAAATTCAGTCAAAAATATCTCAAAAATAACTTTMTTTCACTTTTAAACTGCTATTCCTTGAGTTAGAAATGTTTGAAATTTTAAGAAAAGTTTTCGCAAATAAAATACAAAACTCTCTCTAATCAAGATAACACTTTAAGATAATAGTTCTGTTTATTAAAGTTTTTTATAGATGTTTTTAACCTAAACTGAATTTTACATATATTATAACTACATTATAGCAAAAAATAAAACATATTTAACTGAACTTTTATACARACGTTTTTCTGAAGAAATTAGATATCCTTCAGTAAAACTAATCATTTATAACCAGACTTTCAATTGACTATTGTATATGAATAGCGATTAAAATGCATTTTGTTGATAAATCTTGGATTGAATTGCAAACAAATTGAAATAAATTTTAAATATTTTACATAAATATAAAAAAGATATTTTAAAATTAGAATACATGTTACGCGGGCTAAACTAGTTGTTAAAATATTATGATTTTTTTCACGAGCTTTTTAGCGAACAATTAATTGATTATATTTTAATGGAATCTTAAAAACGCTTAAAATAGAGAAAATTTAGAAATCAATACATTTATGAAAAAAAGTGTTTTTATATGAAATTCTGTTATTTTTGCATTTTTTCAAACATTAATAATCAATTAAAATATCGAATATTTGGAAAAAGTGTATGAAATCAGCGTTTTTTCAGAGAATTCAACGAATGTTTGAAACGATTTTCTGWACAAACGATTGGAATATGTCTTTGAATTTGAACGGATCCAATGTCTTTGTGGCCGTAAATCAAGTAATCTTCTGACTAATGACTTGGGATTCAAGTAATTCGTGTTTCTTGCAGCAGAACCCGCCCTATATGTCCATTGAGTTGGACTCCGATAAATGGCAAATAACGGGCGGAACTGAATTCAATTTGTTGACAACTTTTAGCAAACATTTGAACTTCACTTACACTGCAATCAATTGTAACAACGAATGGGGAACTCAGTTGACGGACAACCAGTCGTGGAACGGCATTATCGGCGAATTGCAGTCCAAAGTAAGTCCAAAAATGAAATCAACGATTGATTGATTGGTGTTTCAGAGAGCGGATCTCGGGATGTCTGAGGTCTCGATGTCGTCTGAGAGGACACAAGTGGTCAACTTTTCGTATCCATTTTCTGTCACTTCAATGACTTTCATGACTTCTTTGCCCAAAACAAAGACCAACTTTGAACTCGTGTTCAATGTTTTCGACGCTTGGATTTGGATCTCTATTTTGGGATCTCTTTTCCTGATTTTGCTTTTCATAAGACTTTTGAGTCGAGAAAAGCCGGAAATGAGAAAAATTCATTTGAGTTGGAACTGTATTTCCACTCTTTTCAAACAACCAATGATTCACTATTTGCCGCCATTTTTGTCTCTAAGAAATGTGTTTTTCTTTTGGATTCTTTCGTCTTTCGTCTTGACTTCGAGTTATAGTCAATGTCTTTACTCATTAATGGCGATTCCTCTTAAAGAACAGACAATAGAAACCATCGAAGAATTGGCGGTCGCTTTAAAATCGCGTAAAATTCGTGTTCAAACCGAACGAAGTTCCGATGCTTTGCAATCATTTAAAGTAAAATCAATTGAATTATTGTTTTTTAATTTAGTTTTCCATTAAATAGAACTCAGAGTTCAGTCTTTACAAAGAAATTGCAGAATATATTGAAGTTATTCTAAACGACGAAAAACTCATTCAAACAGTCATTGAATCTCAAGAATCGGTGGCTTTTATTACAACCAAAGAAAATCTCAGATTCATTGGTCTTGTCTATGGAGAGCAGTTGTTCCACGTCTCGCATTTGACCGAAGAATCAACTTTTTTTCTCGATTTCCTTTCCATTGCTTTTCGAAACGATTTCCCATTTATTAAGGAATTCAACAAAATGTAAACATTTCTTGTCTTAAAACTGGATTTAATTGTTTTATTCAATTGTTTTAGAATAACTTCTCTAAAAGAAAGTGGATTTTTCGATCACTGGATGTTAAAAGAGAGCAGATTTGAGGCAAAAATGAGAAAAAGGCCGGAAATGGAAGACAAGAAGGAAAACAAACCGTTGAGTTCGGATCAAATGCAAAGTTTCTTTTATCTTTTAATTGTCGGACAAATCATTGCTTTTGTTGTATTAGTCGTTGAAATTGTAAACTTTGTATACATTAATGAAATTGAGTTTAATTTAGAGAAAATATTTGATAAAATGTTGAAAGAAATACTCGATTGAAATACGAGTCAATTAATGGTCTTTTATTTGTGAGAATAAACATATCATTTGATAACTAATTTCGTATAAATATATAATTAATATTACATTTGTTTTTAACTAAAAGTTTAATTAAAATGTGAGTCAAATGTCGGCAAAACTTGAAAACAAATTGTATTTTAAAACAAATACTTTTGAACTTTTGAACACTTTTTCATTTAGTATTTCTTATTAATGAGTGATTGAATTAAAGCGTGAATCTTGAGTGAAGGTCCGACTTTCATGAGAGTCAGTTCAAGGATTTCCTCCCGATTTAGAGACAAAAACTTTTTTCCGTCGATTTTCTGCAAAAAAACCGAATTAAATGTCAATTAATTGAAGAATAAATTAAATGTGAATTACATTCAAGAGAAAAGAATCGCAATAAGAAGAACAATCGTTTTGTCTGAGAAACTGAACCACTTCTTGAATTGTCCAAACTCGCGGATCTGATCCCAAATCAGATGCATCGGATGACGTCTTTATGATTGGCGACGGYTTWATAATAACCGCACTGTTGGACGAAACAGACAATGAAGAAGATGAGGAAATGGTGTCGTCTTGGTTGTGAATCCACGATTCGGATGCAAATGAAGTGTTGATGTCTTCGGGTTCTTCGAATTTAAAGTCATTTCCGGCAATAGAAGGCGATAAACGCTTTTTGCCTACAAATCAATGATTAAAAAGAGAGAAAATGTTTGAATATTTCATACGTTTTTGATTTCGATTTCTGCAGAGATTTCTTCGTCTTTTGTTTGACTCGTTTGGAGTCATGTTTTGAATTCCCGTTAAATCGTCTTCTTTTGGTGATTCCAGAGGATAATTCACTAATTGACACCAACCAATCGGAAACAGATCCGGAGATTCACAATCACACCACTGATCGTACGATTCGTCCCAACCCACAAAATGCACGCGGAGAAGCCGTCCGACCACTTTAGTGATGGTGGCCACGCAAATAAGACGCGGTTCCATGAGATCGACGGCTTCGACAAACATTCCCTCTTTGAAGCCGTGTTTTGGAATATCCTTTTTGAAGAGAGGAACGGGAGCCGCCGTAGCCTTGGTTTCCTTGAGATATTGAAACCAATTGAATTCGGTTTTATAGCCACGTGGTGGAGTCAACTGGATGTCGTTGAGTCCGCAGAAGCCGACGGGGAAAATGCAAGGACTGGTCGCGTGATAGCAGAACCAATCGGATCCGTTGGGAGACATCATTCCGTCGATTCCTATCATTAGATAATTGTTGCGCAGAACCTTGGTGACGGTTGCCACGCAGATTGTCGACAAATTCAACGGATCTATGGCTTCGAGTTTCATTCCTAAGACATTACAAGACATTAAAGACTTTCAAGACTTTTGAATCAAACCTTCTCTGAATCGAAGTTCAGTACTAATGGCGGACAATGGCATCTGGAAGAGACTCCAGGCGCAGTCCGAGTCTTCGAATTGTTTGCTGAGAGACTTCTGGAGAGAACTCTTTGCGTATTCGGGAGTCGCGCGCAACTCGTGACCCACGACTTGAGCCCAACCGACCGGATGAATCAGATTGGATCTCTGGTGACACCAGAACCCTTCGTCCACGTCTTCCGATCCCTCGTAAGTCACATGAAGTCTTCCGCCGACTATTTCGTCGATTAAGGCCACTCTTACGGCCGAAATGCGGTTCTTGTCGACCACTTCTAAGCGCATTCCGAACCGGAATCGCGTCTTAAGACTGTCTTTGACTTGATCCCCGAAGTTCTCGGGCAGAGTGCGCGATCCGGTCAGTCTTTTGACGAGAAATCCCTTCCAATCGGAGTTTTTGTCTTCAATGGTTTTGGGGGGAATCAGTGCTTTTCCCTGAGAAGCGCACCAACCGACGGGATGGACTTGAGTCGTGAAGATATTGATCCAAAAGTCTTGACTCGAATCGTTTCCGAATCCCTCGTATCGCAATTGCACCATGTAACCTTGGATTAACGAGGATTAGGATTAACACGGATTAGGATTAACACGGATTAGGATTAAGAGATTAGAGATTAAGGAGATTACCGGCGATTCTGACGACACTTGCGATCCAATGGAACTCCTGATTGGGTTTTGCGGTCGAAAAGTCGCGGTTTTTGACTTCGAGTTTGAGTCCAATTGTGACCAAAGATTCCCAAGTTTCGCAAAGCGGCGCGTGGGGGAAGGAACTGATGGGAACGCCCCTCACACTCGGATCGTGCAAAATGTTGGTCCAATCGAAACCATTGGAACAATTGTGCGCACTTTTGGTCTGAGTTTTGTTTGTCTTCTTCGCAAAAGATGAAGAAGAAGAAGAAGACAATTGTTGTAATTTAACAAAAGGTCTTTTCTTTTGCGTCTGAGTTTGCGGCTGAAGAGGTTGAGGACCGGTTGAGACGGTGTGAATTGGCGTCGAAGACACCGAAGAAGTTTTGGACACGAGTTTGGGTTTATTGGATGGAAGAGTGACGATCTTGAAAAGAGGCGTTTGTTGTGGTTGTGGAGGAAGTCCGCGAACACAACTCGCGCTGCAGTATTGTTTGCCTTTTCCATAGAAGGTGTCTTTGACGCCAACATTTCCACAACGAATACAAACACCCATTCCTTCGTTAGAAATGGGAACGTGAGGTACGATTCGGTTCTTTCCGATCGTAGACACGATATTCGCGTTCTTTAGTTCTGTCAATCAAATCATTCTATTATTCTATTTATTATTGCAAATCAAATCAAAAGACAAACTGTTGGCAATCATTTGCGGCGACGAAACCATGGATCCGCTGGATGTGCGCTGAATTGCATTCGCCATCGTTTTCGGTGGCATTTGAACCACAGATTTCGTATCAATGGATGGATTGGAAAAACCGATTTTGTTGTCTTCCATTATTCGGCTAAAGATTTGTCTTAACTTTGTTTTGCATTTCAACAGTTGTCGTGAATTCTTTGGATTCACTGATTGTTGTAATCAATGGTCACTTCAATCACTTCAATGATCTGACGTCTCATTCATTGATTGATTGACACAAAAGGCCGTTCACTACATATCCCTCTCAAACATCACAACACAAACACATTTCATATTTTATTTGTGGATCGCATTCATAATCAATACATTCATTCATGTCTTCAATCATTTCACACCAATTGTACTCATATTCAAACACTCTTTTGTAGACATATTCTATAGATTGCAATACAAAGTGTCAACAAAACTAGAGTCACAATCGAATCCATTCAATTAAATTCATATTTTATTTCTCGTCCATTAATTACGTCTACATTTATACAATAACTTTGTAATGAATTTGAAAGCATTTGTGACAAACCCTTTGCGCCGATATTTATGCCAAACAGTAAACATATGTTTATAATTAATAGTTGAATACAGTTTGAGTGTAGAGTTTGTAGACAAATAACATTGAATTTGATGGAAACGATCGACAAAATGGTTTGCAAATATATGATTCAACTTTTGATGTGAACTTTAATCAGACTTTTGATACTTTCGGTACTTTTGGTGACCATTGAAGACATGGACAGTGAGTGGACATCATCTGCGGATGTGTTGCCGATTGAATTGATTGAACGGATCCTTCATTACTGTACGGGCCGTTCATTTGCATTGTCGTCCAGAGTTTCCAAACGATGGCTTTCGGCGGTTCAGAACATCGAAAGAACTTCAAGACATTTCTGGCGGAAGTGTTGTTATGAAGAAATCGAAAATTCAATTCTCGAAGACTTGAATCCATTGGACAATCAATTAGTGGACGAATTGAATGACAAGAAGTGTAAAGAAGTTTATAAGCGTTGGATTCGAAACCAATTTCTCGATTCAAAGAAAAACTCTTTTCATAAATCGAATCATTCTTTTGGATCAAAAGCCAATCGTTTCGACAATATTTCGACCGTCGGAGTCACCGGTCAGTCCACTTGAAGGTGTCTTTTGATAATTGGAATGATTTTAAACTGATTTCAGGGACTCTTGTGGTAACTGGTCATCGATCGGGAAAAGTCCTGATTCACGACATTCTGAACGGTATTCCTGCCGTCAAAGTCGCCCAACACTCGGACGCCGTCACTGACATTGCGTTCGTCAATATCTGTGGCAAAGGTTTGAATAGTTGTTGACTTTTGACGAGTTTTTGACACTTTTTTTACAGAGATTTACGAATTGTTTGAAACAAATGTTGAAATGAATGAAATGTCTTTCGCTAATCATCATCACATCATTTCTGTGGCCAAAGATCACCGAATTCTAATTTCTTTACTCACATCCGAACGTCCGGAATGTCAGTTCCAGATCTGTCCGCTAACTGATCGCAAATTTGCGAAAATTCGCGTAAACTATGAATTGTTTGCGGTTTCGACTCAACAATCGGTTGATATCTCGCTGTTCCGACTCGTCGTCCCGGACGACGGCAAAGTGCCGTTAGAGAGTCCATTGCGCTCTCAATTAGTGACAACAATATCATTGCGCGATATCTTTGGAGAAACTCATCTCTGGAATGGAATCTTTTGTTTCGCGAATTTAAAGGTATTTTGAATTGAAATGAATTTTTGAATAATTTTCTCGTGATTTCAGTTGAATTGTTTGAGTGAAGACGACTCTCTCATAGCGAACAGCGATTGCGTTCTAAACATCGCTTTTATGTCAGAAAAAAACTCAACAAAAACTAATTGGCGTTGGAATCAAATCAATGCACTTCAGTTCGCACACGAATTGCGTTTCGCCAAAAARAGACGATCTTTTATCTACAAAAACAAAGAGTATTGTCTGAGCGATCCGGACGACGACGACGACGACGACGACTCGGTGTCCGCTAAGATCATGAAAGTCTTTGCTTTCGGAGAATCCGTTTTCTTCTTGATTAACAGTAATTCTTTGAATTTTTTTGTTTTTGAATTGATTTGACGTTTGAATTGTTTCCTAGAATTCAATCAAATTCTGTTTTCAACGGATTCCAAGACTTTCCGTTTGTGTCCATTGGATCATTGGATCGACAGAGGCGACCGCGTGACCACTATATTCTTATTCGCTTCGGTAGTGGTTTGCGGCACTTATGACGGCTTTGTTTACGTCCATTGCTGTCCTTCCTTTAAAAGACTGGAATACTTGTCTCATTATAAGCCGATGTTCTCTTCTAAAGTGACCTCTGACCCCATAACTGGTCTTTCTTGTGTCGACAATGGATTAGGACTAGTATTGGCCGTCACTACTGAACACCAAATCTTTCTTCTTAATTGGTTTTCTTCGACTCTGAAGACAATCATTGACTGATATTTTTGACACAAATTTCTATTTTTAAGATTTAAATTCTGTTTATATTTCATTGTTTTGTTTTTTTTTGTATTCAATTGTTTTCATATTTAATAAAACATTCATTTTTTGCATTTATTTCAGAAAATTTCGAAATTGTTTTGCAATTAAATTGATTTTTAATTAATTTAATTGAAGTTAAAAAATATTATAAATCAATGACTTTTCTGTTTTRCTTTTATTTAATTAAAAGTTGATAAAAATTCATTGTTTTGTCTAAAAATATACTTTAATTAGTTTTTTGTTCAATAATTAGTGAAATGTTCTACTTTTCAAACAAAACTTACAATAATTTCAAAAGAGTTTGAATTCAAGTTTTTTTTGCTCTCAATTTCTTTAAATATCATTTGAATAAAAGGTCAAAACTATTAAAGTTTTAATTTTTAGTTTAATTTAGACATTATTTTCAATTCAAACTCATTTTTATCTCATTTATGGTTAAAATCTATTTTAGTTTTAAATAAAAAATTTCTGACAAATGAACTAAAAGTGCACTTTTGTTTGAAACCGCTTTTTATTTCTATTATTACAGTATTTCTAGACTTTTTTGCACTTAAAACAGCAATTATTTGCTTATCTATTGATAGTTTAGTGCATTTATTATGTATTTTGCATTAAATATTAGCAAAAAATCTATATTTCTTATCAAAAGTTGTCTTAAATGTCATAAAATGTGTTTAAAAATGAGTTTGTGTTTAATTATTTGAATATTTTATAATAAAATAATTGATTTTCAGTCAAATAAAAGTTTTCGATAATTATATAAAATTAAAACAAAATATATGTTTAAAAACAGATTTAATATTAAAAGAGAATGAAATTTAATAACAATTGAATGCAAACTGTTTTTCACTTAAATAATACTTAAATAGACTTCAATGCCATTAATAGAATGAAATGAATGGGAAATCCGTTCCCGAAATTGCGTTCAAACAATGTTTTCGTGAATATTCGGGACAACTGTTGATTGAAATCCCGAAACATTGCGTCAGAGATTGCACTGAATTGTACTAAACGTCGACTAAATGTTAAGGAAATAGTGTTTTCGTTCAGCGATTGGTTGATTGCACGCACTCTCAGTTGACTCTCAATTGACTCTCAGATCAGTCTATGAGAGAGTGTTTGACAACTCATGTCATTTGAGTTGACGTTTCCATCGAATCATTGACTGATTAACTGATCCATCGATTCATTGAACAACTGTTTAAACAACTTTCGGTCAAATGGGCAGTAATTGTAGTAATAAGACAACGGATCCGTTAGATGTGATAAAAGCATTGAGACAACAGTCGAACGATATCTCAAATGCCGATCAACACAACGTCTTCTTCGTGTTCGGCGCTTCGGTAAGTCTTTTGCTATACTTTTGCAAAACATTTCAGACTTTGTTTCCAATGAAGAGACAAAAGAACGACATTTTGTCGTTGATTTGCATTCGAATCGATTCAATCACTCAATSACTCAACGAATCAACGAATCGTTCGATTCTATGCTTTAATGCAACGAATCGTTCGATTCATTGATTGACATCTGATCTCAAGGTTTCCAAAATTGTTGTCAAAAAAATGATTCGAAACAATATTTTCCCTAATTTTGCAAAAACACTATAATTAACGACAATTTCTCTCATAATTTAAACGACTATTAAACGGGAAATTCCTTTCATTTTTAATACAAAATTATTTAGAAATAAAGGGATTAAGAGTTTGGAAATTATTTTATATTAAGTTTTTATTAATATTTTTTAGAAAATGTTCTCAAATTATAATTACKTTTTTAATACAAAAATATTAATGAAAACATGACTTTTTGTTTTATAATTAATTTTCTTAATATTTCTATTATTTTCAATAAAAATGCAAAATATTYATCGATTTTTATAACAAATGCATTAAAACTGAAAATAAAATTCAGATTTCATTGAATTGAAAGAAAAAATGCAAAATTGAGACAAATTTTTGTAAATATTTTTTGAAAGCATTTCCTTTTGTTTGGAAAAGAGTTTTCCTTTTGTAACGACTTTTGTTTGACTGAAAACTAAATGAAAACTAAATGAAAACTAAATGTAATTTTAGGGCGATTTAGCAAAAAAGAAAATATATCCGACTCTATGGTAAGCAAAGAAGTGATTGAGTGTTGAATTGGCGCCAATTCTGTGTTTTGTGTGTTGTTTAGGGCTCTGTTCAGAGACCGACTGATTCCTCGAAGAACTGTTATTATTGGTTACGCGAGAACTAAACTAACGGTCGAAGACTTGAAGACAAATATTTCGAAATATATTCAAATCAAAGACGAAAACGAAAATCAAAAGTTCGAAAGATTTTTGAATCAAAATCATTATATAAATGGAAATTACGATAAAACACAAGATTTCTGTCGACTCAACGATTTTGCCGAACAATTCGAGACCACTTTCGCGACGGCTAACCGACTCTTCTATTTGGCTCTTCCGCCCAATGTGTTTGCACCCGTCACCAAACTGATCCGCGAGACTTGCATGTCAACAAAGTTAGTTTTTTTAATCAAATTCTTCGAGTTTTTAATTTGATTTATCAGAGGTTGGAATCGCGTGATAATAGAGAAGCCTTTTGGACACGATTTTGAGTCTTCGGCCGAATTGTCGCGTCATTTATCGGATTTGTTTAAAGAGAACGAAATCTATAGAATCGATCACTACTTGGGCAAAGAAATGGTTCAAAACCTCATGATTTTGAGATTCGGAAATCGCATTTTCAACCCGATTTGGAACCGCGATAACGTGGCCTCAATTCAGATCACTTTCAAAGAACCGTTCGGAACTCAAGGTCGCGGCGGATATTTCGACTCTTTTGGTATAATTCGAGATATAATGCAAAACCATTTGTTGCAAATCCTGTGTTTGGTTGCGATGGAAAAACCCGTTTCTTCCAAACCCGAAGACATTCGCGACGAAAAGGTATTATCACTAATCCATTAATCCATTGATCCACTAATCCTTGGATCCGAAGGTCAAAGTCCTGAAATGCACGCAAACTCTGACTTTGGATGACATTGTTTTGGGACAATATATTGGCGACAAAACGGCCGACGGCGACGCCAAATACGGCTATCTGGACGACCCGACCGTTCCTTCGGGATCAACAACACCGACATTTGCTTTGGCGTTGTGTCGAATTCGGAACGAGAGATGGGATGGGGTTCCCTTCTTCTTGAGATGCGGAAAAGCAACGAATGAACGAAAAGCCGAAATTCGGATTCAGTTTCGAGATGTGGCCGCAGATATCTTCAGCGGACAATGCAAACGCAACGAACTCGTGATTCGGGTTCAGCCCGGAGAAGCAGTTTACGTCAAGTTCATGACTAAAGCTCCGGGAATGTCATTCAAGTTGGAGGAAACGGAACTCGATTTGACCTATACTTCCAGATATAAGGTATTCCTCTCTCTTTTCACTCTTTCATTCACTCTTTCTTTCACTGATTCGTTCACTCATTCACTCAGAGCTCAGAAACACTTCAAAACTCAAACGTAAACTCTTTTTCTTTGCTTTCATTGCTTTTGACACTAACTCTGGTCTCTCTCAGGAAGCCATTTTGCCGGATGCCTACGAACGCCTGATTATGGACGTGTTCGCCGGATCTCCGGCCAATTTCGTTCGTTCGGATGAATTGGCGGAGGCGTGGCGTGTCTTCACTCCAGTTTTACATCAAATAGAAAAAGAAAAAGTCCAACCCTTGCCTTACGTTTACGGTTCTCGATGTCCCAAACAAGCCGACGACTTTTGTATTGCTCATGGATTCAAGTTTTACGGGACTTACAAGTGGACAGATCCCAACGAAAAGACAACAAATAAATAAAGAGTTTTTGAAATTTGAAAAAAGAGTTTAAAGTCATTAATGAAGTGAAAGAAAAACATTTCTCTATTTCTCGCATATGTCTCGCTCCGCCCCATTTCGTGCCTAAATGTCGAACATCTTTGCACTTTTCTAATGGAATAATGGAACCAATCGGTGAGTTTAACGCCAATTCGTCGCCCAATTCTGACCGCTTTTCAGTCTTCATTGATTCTCTGGACAACATCTCAATCGTCAATCTGAATGTTCCGGCGCTGTCCGCATCGCCTCCGCCGACATTCGCCTCCGAGTCATCGACGGCTGCTTTTGATTTGTTGGAAAGCGAAAGAAACGCTTCTCTACTTTGCGACCATTTGGACGACGATCGACTGCAAAGAGCGCCGTTTGCGTCGTCCGAGTCGTCGTCAGTAATCGTCTCTTTGGCTGACGAACGACGCGGCGGACGACGAACGACCAGTTCGCTGGACAAAGTGCGGACGTGGAAGAAGTACAAGAACAAGAAGCATTTGAGTCAAACAGAATTGGACCGGAAGCGCGATTTGGCCAACAAACAGGAGCGCCGAAGAATGCATCGTTTGAACGACGCGTTGAACCGTTTGCGTCAGGTATTGAGACCCGAAATGCGTCCTTCATTTGAACGAATTGTATCATCACATCAGGTGATCCCCGCGGAACTGCAACATCCGCCTCCGAGACGATTATCGAAAATAAAAACTCTTCAGTCGGCGATTCGTTATATTCAAAGACTTCAAGAATTGCTTTCAAATCATTAGTTTTTTATTAAATAAATCGTTTCACCGGAGATGCGAATTGTCACGTGATTGCAGGAATGGGTCCACCACATCCAGGTAGACGGCCAGCGCCAACAGCGACCAAAGCGGGCGGCGGCGACGCGCGCGCAGAGCGACCGAAACGAGCAGTAAATCGAGAAGAAGTTTGTAATGCGAATTTGTGCGCGTTTTGAGGCACAGACGCGGCAATGGCCAGACCCGCGACATAACGGCCGCAACGGACGCCATGACTAGTTTGGGACGGATTCGGTCGGAGTCTTCGGTGTCTTTGGAATCAGTCTTTGAATCACTTCTTCAATAAATACTGTTTTCTCATAATAGTCTCCAACGCAGGACTCGCGCGCAGCGATTGGTTGACTGAGTGATGACGTCATTGAATGAGCAAAACAAAGACAAAATGAAAGAAGAGATCGAAAGCGCCGCTAATTTTTTGTCCGAATTTCTGACCAAAGATTTGCCGAATCTTCAGATCGCAGAACCGTTCAGACAACGCGTCATCGCAGCTCTCGAGTCGCACTATTCGGGCCACTGGTTCCCCGACCGTCCGGTCAAAGGGTCGGCCTTTCGTTGTCTTCGAATCAATCATAAAATGGATCCTTTGGTCTCAAAAGTCGGACAATTCGTTGGACTCAATGAACGACAACTCAAACAACTCTTTCCACACGAACTCACCCTTTGGATTGATCCCAGAGAAGTCTCGTATCGAATTGGCGAAAACGGATCCATTTGTGTCATTTATGGTGATCTTAAAGACTCTCAAGACAGACAATCACCGCAATCCCTCTCCTCCGCCTCCGCCACTTCCTCCGCCGCTTCTTCGCCATCACAATCCCCGCAAATGTACTTCCATTCCCGACAACTGTTGGATTCTCCGATAAAATCGCTTCGGGAGGCTTTCGGTGGACATTATTCGTGATTTAAAGTCAAAGAGATGTAAATATTCGCCGAAATATTTGTGTATTATTTATACATAAAAAAGACATCAATTTATTCATCAAATAATAAACTCTTTTATCTCTCTTTTAATTCTTTGTTTAATTCAAAAATCGGTTTAAATCTCGACTTTTTTAACGAATTTCAATCAAAACAAAGACTTTTAATGATTTCAACCAATCAGAGGAAGCCGTCATTCATTCAATTCTTTCATCCAATTTATTACTCTTTTGTCGCGATTTTCGGTCAAATTGTGTCCACAAATCGGCTTTAATTGTGATTAAATCCGAACTTCATTTTCCATACGATTTTCTGTTGATATTTTTGATGCGTTTTAACCAATGATTTCGACCGTCGGGTGTCTGAGTGGCCGTCGGTGTGAATGACGTCACAGTAAACAAGAGTACAGTTTTCGTGGATTTTTTGTAGACGTTTTGTTTGTTGAAAAAGTGATTATTCGTCACAAAACATGTGACACGTAATCAAAACAAATGGATTTACGCCTAATCTTCGCTTCTCTGGCCGTCGTCTATCTGTTGGTCGTTTGCGTCGTATTTTCGGCTCCGGTCGACCCGAAAGCGGACGTTTTGCCGACAAAAGAGACGGAAGACAAAGTGAACAAAGAAATCGATGATTTGGTTTGGATTTATTGTTGGATTAAATGTTGGATTAAATGTTGGATTAATTGTAAGTGTTTTTCAGGGCTTAGAATACGGAAGATATTTACAACAAGTGGTCGAAGCTCTGGAACAGGACAAGACTTTTGCCGCAAAACTAGAAAATGTTTCTCAAGAAGAGATCAAATCGGGAGCCGTTGCGCGAGAACTCGATTTCGTGGCGCATCACGTGCGCAATCGACTCGACGAACTGAAACGCGTCGAAATGGACAGATTGCGGGCTCTGACCAAGAAGGAGGCGCAGGCGGGTGAGGACGAGTCGGGCAGACGGTGGCGGACGCTGGGCGCGGACTCAGCGGCGATTGGTAAGCGAAAAACGGAGATTTGGACTAAAACCCAGTTTTCCTATAGAAGCGGATCACGTGGACGGAGGAAATCCTCATTCATTCGAAGCCGAAGATCTGCAGAAACTGATCCGCGCGGCGACAAAGGATCTGGAGGAATTGGACGCAAAAAGAAGAAACGATTTCAAGGAATACGAAATGGAAAAGCAATTGATTTACGAAGAAAACCTGAAGAATATGACGTCAGAAGAGCGGAAAGAAACCGAAAAAAAACACGAAGAAATGGAAAAACGACACAAAGAACACCCGAAAGTCCATCATCCCGGCTCTAAGCAGCAGTTGGAACAGGTCTGGGAGGAAAAGGACGGAATGCCGAAACAGGAGTTCAATCCGAAAGTCTTCTTCCAAATGCATGACATAAATAGCGACGGATTTCTTGATCCGCAAGAAATCGAGGTTTCGATGGATTTGATTGGTTTAGAATTGGTTTGAATTTTGAATTTGATTGGTTTGTAATTTCAGGCGATTTTGACTCTTGAAGTGAGAAAACTGTATTCCGAACGCAATTCAGACGACGATCCGAACGAAATGCAAGAGGAGTTCCACCGAATGCGGGAACACATCTACAAAGAGGCAGATGTCAACAGAGACGGTCTCATCTCGAAGAAGGAATTCTTGGAATTCACACGAAGAATGGAATTCGAAAGAGACGACGGATGGAAGGGTTTGGACGAAACAAAGGTCTATTCGGACGAAGAATTGGCGAATTATAGACAACACAGACGTCCTCACGAGCAGATGGACGCTTACGGCGCGTATCAGCAGTTTGTTCCGCAGTATTTGCCGCCAGAATATCAACACGTGAGTCAACAGAGGATTCAATTCTGTTTTATTATATAATTATAATTATAGCAAATGCAACAACAGTTCGGACATCAAAACGGACAACAGTTTGGTCAACAGTTCGGACAAAATGGTCAGTTCGGACAAAATGGTTCGGACAAAATGGTCAACAGTTCGGACAAAATGGTCAACAGTTCGGACAAAACGGACATCAATTCGGACAAAAAATTCGGACAAAATGGACAACAATTCGGACAAAATGGTCAACAATTCGGACAACAATTCGGACAACCGAACGCCCAATTGCATCAAAACGGACAGTTTGACCATCAAATGCAGCAACAGTTCCAACAACAACAACAACATCATCAACAACAATATCCTCAACCGATGCATCAAATGGCGCCTTCCGGTCACGTGCCACAGATTCCTCCGCAACAACACTTCCAAGCCGTCGGTCAACACCCGCCAGGACTTCCTCAACAGCCGGTGATTGGCCAACAACAACAACCAGCCGTCGGTCAACAGCCGTCGGGTCAGCAATCTCAAGGTCAAGTTCAAGGTCAACATCCACTTCAAGGACAAAATCATTAAATAATAAAAACTGTTTTTTATTCACAAAATCACGTCTTCGGCGCCGAAGAACCACTCGTTTGCGTCTGCGGCGAATGATCGCGAGACGGCAGCGATAAACCAGAATCCAGACTTCCCGAAGACGACTTGCGACGCGCTAAAGCGGGCGCGGGGGCGGGCGATGGTGTGGGGAGGGGCGCCTCCTTGAGTTGGAGGAGGGAGGTGCTTTTGTGTATTCGAATGGCGTCCATTTCTCTGGTTTCTGCGATGGATTCGCGTAAATCGTCGGCAAATCTCTTTTGATCCAATTCATTGCGAGCATTGAAAGAAGACAAAATGGCGCCGTTGTCGAGACGACGTCTTAAGTGAATTCCGAATCTGTGGTATTGCGTGGAGAAGAGTTGGACAATGAGTTGGTCCAAAGCGAGAGTCGATCTGAACTGATATTCTGGTAAATGGTTTTGTTGTTTGGCTTTTGGCGTGAGTTTTGTGACTAAAAGCAAATCATTGAATAAAAACAGTTCCCTTTGATGTCTGTCTTTCGGCTCTCTTTTGTTGACGTCTTTCACTTCATAGAGACGACAATAACACACCAGACGGCGCCACTCAACGCATAAATTCGGAACACTCTGACCACGTGAACCCACGAGAGCCGACTGCACTTTCAGCACTTGAGTCACGTGATCGGCTCCCGTCCGCAGTTCTTGGGCTTTAATGCGTTGATAGACTTGAAGTAATTGATCCTGGTCAGGGGCGTTATCATCGCCGAAAACTCCTCTCAAGTTCTGAAGCCATTGCGCGGCAGTCATTCGGTGTCTGGCGTTTGTCGGCGAATGAAGATCCGTATTGAGCATAATCACGGCGAAAGCCAGAATAAACACCGAATCGCGAGACCAAGAAGTCGGATTACAAACCGAAAAACGATCGGCAAAGGCGTCCACCATTCGCTCGATTTTCTGGGCCTCTCCTGAAAACCGATTAACGGATTAGTGAACGGATTAAAAGACACAATAAATACCCGGAAATCGAAAGAATGTCTGAAACTTTCGAAGAGCAGTGTCGACGGATAATCCGGTTAAATCGATTTCGCGGACAAAAGCGGACAAAACAAGACGATTGGTTGACGCGGGAGAAGAAAGGAATTCTCCGATCATTGCTTTCGAAAGACCTTTTCTCGTGAGAAGAAAACGAGAGATTACTGTCGATTGTTCGTCGTCCGAGACGACGGAATCAATAAAACCATTTGATATCAGATATTGAAGACCGCGTTCGGGAGGACTGAGAGAGAAACAGMAAAGGTTAAAGGTCAGACAGACAGAGAGAGAGGTCAAAWCACACTTTTTGTTAAAGAGATTCAGTCCGACGCGATACGACCGCTTTCGCTCGCATTCGAATTGTTGCGAAGTTGGTGTCGTAGAGGCCGCGGCCAGAAGTGATTCGGGAAGAAAAACAGTGGCGTTGGTGGCGCCCGAAGAGTCGTCAGAACGCGTGCTTTGAGTATCGCTTTGAGAAGTGTCTCGTCTTTGATCTGCGAGTCGTCTATCGTTTCGTCTGTCGGACGACGTCTCGGACGACGAAGTCTTTTGAGGCGTTTGTCTCAGAGCTTGAATTGCAATACTTTTGAAGCGTTTCTGAAGACGATATGTGCGGAAAGCGCGCTGAATACGAATGGCCGACTCCCGCGCCACAAGACCACCGTATTTCCGCTCGAGAGCGTCGACCCGTCGGTCAATGAGTTGTTGCGACAGTTCGTAGTGATTGTCGTGATTCACGTGACTTTGAGACGAAAGCGTCGTCTGAGACGACGTCGAAGTGCGAGCGACGTGTGCTTCAAAGCGACGCGAAAAGGCGTCGGACGACACACGAGAAGACACGAAGACGGCGTCGGCTGAACGCGAGTCGAGAGAAGAACCCCTAAAAAGAGATTTTGGAGTTTTGTTTGTTTGTTTGGATTGTGTTTTACCTTTTGGTTTCATGTCTTTGGTCTTTAGTTTCTGATAAACATTGCAATTGAAAGTGTAATCTTTCGTTTTCATCCAAAAGAGAGTCTCTTTCGAGCCGAAGAAGTGATACTAAAAGACAGACACAAGAGATGAATGCGTCGTTCGGAACGACGTCTCAAAACTTACTTTGATTTTCCAAACTTTCGATTTTTACGAATTGTCTTCTAATAAGAGAATTATGTTCGCAAACACCCGAAGACTGCGAGGATTTGGTCGAAGACGTCATCGTTGGCCGCGAATGACAGTTAAGACTCTTTTTCTGCCATTTTTTGGGCGTTTGTTTGCAAACTCTGAGCAACGGTTTGTTTGCATCGCTTTTACCGATAAATTGGACGACAGATGGCGTCAAAAGACATAACAAAACAGTTTTTATTAAACGAAAGACAAAACATATAATGACGTCACAAACGACTGACGGGACGAGTGTTGCGCCCGAAAGGACTCTTCACCGCATTGATCGCCGCCGACTTCATCAGAACCGACTYCATCTACAGTCGGACCGCAAGACCGCAAACACCAAACCATAAGAACTGAAGAAAACCAAAGACATTGTCATTGACTCCGCGAAGGATGAACTCATCTTCGGTGTCGTCGTTCGAGACGACGGAATACCCGACTTCGGTGTCGTCGTCGTCGTCCGAGACGACGGAAATAGCCGTTCAAGCAGTTGTGGCCGCCGTTGGAGTTTTGTTATCTGTTTTGACAATTGTTGGGAATGTTTTGGTTTTGATAGCCTTTAAGACAGATAAAGCTCTTCAAACGGCTCCCAACTGTTTCCTCCTTTCCCTGGCCTGTGCAGACTTCCTCATTGGTCTGGTTTCGATGCCATTATCTCTGGTCTATATCTTGGCCGCCGAGTGGCCGTTGGGTCCGTTGTTATGCGACGTGTGGTTAGCCGTCGATTATCTCAATTCCAACGCTTCGGTTCTCAATCTTCTTCTCATTTCATTCGATCGCTATTTCTCAGTCACGCGACCGCTCACWTACCGCGCCCGAAGAACAACTCGTCGTGCATGTGCTCTGATCGCCGCCGCATGGCTCGTGTCGGCTCTGCTTTGGCCGCCGTGGATCTTCGCGTGGCCGGCAATCGAAGGTCGTCGAACTGTTCCACGTGACCAGTGTTACATTCCGTTTCTCGAGTCGAACGCCGTGGTGACCGTGGCGACGGCTTTAGTGGCGTTTTGGCTTCCGGTTTCTCTCATGTGTTTTCTCTATTTCCGCATTTGGAGAGAAACCGAAAACCGATTCCGCGATTTGGCTCTTGTCCTGACTCCGCCCCCCTCAAGACCCGTCGCCTCCTGTTTCGGCCGAAAGACGGTTCCGCCCCCTTCCGACTCCATCTACACGATTGTCATTCATTTGGACGCCGCGTCTGATGGAAACGCGACGGTAACCATGTTGGGATCGGAAGACGAAGAACGCCCGCAGAGCTGTTCGCGTTTGCCTGCTTTGCAGCCGAAGAGCGAGCGAAAGGCGGCCAAAACGTTGTCAGCGATTTTGGCGGCTTTTGTGGTGACGTGGACGCCGTACAACGTGTTGGTGTTGATAAAGACGTTTTCGCCGACTTCCGTGGATTCGGACGGCGTTTGGTGGCAATTCGCTTACTCTCTTTGTTACATCAATTCCACTCTAAATCCGCTTCTTTACGCGCTCTGCAACCGATCGTTTCGCAACACTTATGTCCGAATCCTAACGTGTAGAACAAGAACTACGAGACGCACAACACATACGATGGGACGACACGCGGACGACGCACTCAAATGAAGACGACGTCCGCATCGCCAAACAGCGCTCCAAACTCCGCCTTCGACAGTCGCACGTATCCCGACGGCGCCACGTGGTCGCGTGGGGCAAAGTACGCGTGGAACACGTTTTCGGTGGCGTTATGCGCGTCCGCGCGGACGAACGCGTGTTCTCTGCGGACAAACAGTGATTAATAAACACTTTTTGCAAAACTTTGTTCTTTTATTACTCGTTTGTCGTTTCGGACGACAACATATCGGACGACGCATCGGACGACACATCGGACGACACACGCGATTGAGCCGTCGTCCGGTCGTCGTCCACATGTAACTCGACTTCAGGTTTAGGAATAAGTTTTTCGACGACTTGTCTGACATGAGATCCAAAAGATTCTTGTTTTTTCGGAGCGTTTTTCCAGTTATTAATAATGTGTTGACGAATACGAGAAATCTCTGTTTCCGACAACTCGTGTTCGGCATCCGTTTCTACGGCCACTGGAACTGTCAGAAAATGACTGTCAAGCGGGGCTTCGGCTGCACTGGGATTAGGGTTTGTCTTGAGTGGACGCCAACCGCCAAAAGACATACTAAAAGAGAGAAAAAGAGTTGAAATAATTGAATATCAGATGAAATGCTAACTCAATGGCGGAATTCGGAGAAACTCTTTTCGTCACAAAAGGAACGCAAAAACTATTTATAAAAAAATTTATTAAAAAAATCGCCGAAAAAGTGGTCAAAACTGAGACTGAATTCCAACTCATTTTTAATTCTTATAATTCGTGGCAAAACTCAAAAATCATTTCCGCATTCATTCGAAACCCGTTTTTCGACTTTTTTCGCATTTTTCGCGCGCTTTTCAAACGTCATGCGCGCGAATCCCGCACGCGCCCTCAAAGACGCACAAAATGGCGGAATCCATCTCTCAAACGGAGACTCCGACCGCAGTGACCACTGTGGGGTTGTCGACTGTGGCCGAACATGAACCTATAGTTTTGACACGTGAAATCGAAAGTGCGTTTGGAATAGTGCGTGTGCACGTGCAAGGTTAAGTCGTTTTAAGCTTTAATTCAAGATTTTTTGGATTTTTTGATTTATTTTTGATTTTTAGGTGAATTGAATGCAAAGTCTGGAATGAAAGCCGTTTTTCTTACGGTTCACGACATCGGAGCCAATCATTGGTCAGTATTTATAACCAAATAATCAACAATTAATAGACATTTCCCGCAGTTCTTGGCGTGAATTCGTTTCTTCCGATTCGAGTAAAAAGTCTTTCGTTTTTTCGTTGATTTAATTTCTATTCCTTTAAAAGTGACTGAAATCAGGAATCGTTCGCTTTTTTTGCATTTGGATGTCGTCGGACAACACGACGGCGCCGACGACGTCCCGGACGACGCATTTCCTACTATACAACAGATAAGCCTTTTCTGTCTTTCAAATAGTCTTTTCTAACAAATCCTATAAATGGGAGAACAAGTAATTCCACAGGTTTTGGATGCATTGGATGTTCCGTTAGTTGTGGGAGTGGGTGAGGGCGCGGGAGCCAATATGTTGGCCAGATTCGGGTTGGCGCACCCGCAGCGCGTTTTGGGTTTAGTTTTGGTTCATTTGGTTTCATCTGAAGTCGGATTTCTCGAGACATTGAAAGACCGTCTATTCGGACGACGAAATTCGCAACAAATGTCTTCTCTCGATATCGTCGCTCTTCATAAGGTTTTTCTATATATTTCTTATTCAATATTTATCTGACGTTTCGGACGACAGATCGGACGTCAAACGGACGACGAAAGCGCGCGACGACTACTCGAGTCATACGGAAAGCGCGTCCAAACTCTAAACGCTCGCAATTTGCAGAAATACGTCAAGACTTATATGAACCGCAAAGAGATCCTCGATCTGCGCGATCTGGACGTTCTGCTCGTGACGGGCGCGCGGTCGCCCTATTGCGCGGGCGTCGAAGCGATTCACGCGAAATGCAATAAAACAAAGACTTCGCTTCTCAAAGTGGACGACGCGGTAGACGTCCTCAGGTATGCGTCTATCGGGCAGACGGCCGGACGACACCCGAACGACACTAATTTTGCGTTAATTTTCAGCGAATTTCCCGAAAAATTGGCGCAAAATCTGTTGCTTTTCGTGAAAGGTCTTGGATTCCTCACCTCTTGTCCCGCAATGGCCGACAGTGAGTGTCTGTCTTTGACTCATTTTGAACCGATTTGACACTGTCTTTGTTAGGAAGCGACGCGACGACACTCAAGACTTTGGGATCAATCGGTCGTCGTCGTACTCTTTCAATGGAAGAATATGTAAGTGAATGGCCGTCGTTCGGGACGACGACTAGTAATTGAATTGTTTTTCAGGACATTCCGAGAATAAGAAGACTTTCACTCACGAAATGAGCGATCGATTCGAGTCTTAGAATAAAAGTTAATGTCGTCTGTGATTAGGTTTTGAAGAATCGGTGGTTTTTTAGCCTTGCATTCAGGTTTCAACGACAACGAACTCGACTTACGTTTCGACAGTTCGTTCGTCGACTCGAAACCCGAACTCAATGGCGTCCGTCGTCTCGAACGACGTCTCGAATCAACTGAAGGCTCAATGGTTTCTACAGTTTTATGCATTCTATGGCTCTCTCTCTCCGTCCGATCGATCGTCTCGACTCTTCAGAGACGCGATTCGCGCGCGCGTCGACTCTATCACTGCACGCATGCGTTTCACTGCAAAGATTGACAGCTCTTGAGATCGGAAAAGCTCTTCAACTGTTTGTTTGCTTTTATTTTTTGTCACATTTGTTGACAACACGTGTTCACGTGACACCTGTTGGCGGTCGTCGTTCGGCTGTCGTCCGCGCGTCGTCCGAGACGTCGGTCGTCACGCAATGCGAGAGTCGCGGCGCGAGTGCGCACATCTTTGGATCGTTTGTTTGGATTTTCGCCAAAAAAGAGTCAAAAATAGAGCGAAAGATGCGAACGACAGACGAGAGAGTGAACGACGCAAAGCTCAACAACGATGTCTCTCCTCAGCGCTCATCCCATACGCCGCTGACCCACTCATCTGTTGACCACAGACTTGCATTCCGCCATTTGGGCGACGAATGGCAGCAGATCTGTGCAACGCTTCTGTCGTGCGAACAGTTATTGACAGTAATGTCCGGCGATAGACATCCCATTGACGACGACTGCCCGGACGACGCCCTCGAACGACAACATTTGAGACAAATTATTCGTCAAATTGAACCACAAAAATACGTTAAAAGCGGTCACAGAAGACATCATTCGTGTTCTCGACGTTCTTCTTATCACAGACTCAAAGCCTTAACTCAACTCCTCATGACTTCCAGTCTTAAGGTTAGTCCAGTTGTCGTCCGTTCGTCGTCTCAGACGTCGCTCTCATTGCAGCGCTCGACGTCTCTCCAGTCGGTGGCCGTCGTCCCGAACGACGTAATGAACGACACCACTGCAACTCTTCCGAGATTCAGACGACGTCCACGTATTCAACGTGTGTTTCGATCGCTCGACGTCTCGGACGACAACAGCGACGAAACTAATCACAAAACAGCCGACAGAAGCGGACTTTCTCTTGTTTTGTCGCCGACGACGCGATCTCCGGACTCAGAGACATCTGACTGCAGCCGAACTAACCGTCATTCATGCGATGTAACAAGTCTTTTGTTGTCGCCCTCAACGCCATCACCGGCGACCGTCGCAGTGGCCAATGGACGACAAATTCTAAAATATTCGAAAAAACGTCTGAGAGGTGAGTCGTCGTCCGTGTGTCGTCTGTGTGTCGTCTTTTAACTGTTGTCACTGTTTAGGTCCGTACGGAGAAATGTTAGAATCGCGAATGAGTCGTTGCGCTCAAGAAGATCAAAAACATTTATCTTTCGTTCAAGAATTGCTTCGAGAAACTCAAGAACAAAGAATACAATTAGACAAAAACGCAAAGGAAACAACTGGAACCGCTAAGGAAGACCGCATTCAAACCCAATCGGATGCAATGGCAGCCGAACCGTCGATTACGGCAACCATTGGTCGCCATTTAGACACTCGAACTCATATCGTTGGCGAACTCTATGACACGGAAAAGAGTTTTTGCGAACAATTGAGACATCTTTTGGAGAAATATTCGAAACCTTTGACCGAATCCTTGATTATTGACGTCGTCTTTGTTGACGTCATTTTCGGTCGAATTCCCGCTATTCTGGCCATTCATTCGCGATTTCTGGAAGAACTTCGTCGCCGTATTGCCGACTGGACACCCGAAAGTCGAACGGTCGGCGATTTGTTTGGCCTTTTCGATGAACCCGTTTGTCGCGAAACGTATTTGTCTTTTGTGGACAATTGGACGCAAAGCAAGCAATTAGTGAAAAGTCTTTTGCGCGACAAACCGTCTTTCGGTCGGTTCCTGACCGACGCGTCTCGCGAACACCGATCGAAACTCAGTTTAGACGAACTCATGATTGCTGTCATTCAACGGATCCCTCGTTTCGAACTTCTTCTCAAACAACTCCTCAAAAATACTCAAGAATCACATCCCGACCACTGTCTCCTCGCGCAGGCGCTCTGTAAGACATTTCAAAACAATTGTTTTTATCTCTAATTCTTTTGCAATTCTTCAGCGAAAATCCATTCTCTCGTTCTTCACATAAACCGTGTTCGCGACGCCGATGCGACGTCCGGGACGACGGCCGGCCATCAGTTGGACGTTGGTTTTGGGACGACACTGTCGTTATCGCAATTGGAGTCCATTTGTGACGGTCTTCCGACAGCACTGTTATCTTCTGCCACTTTAGTTGACGCGGCGTTTGTTTGGATCCGAAAAAGAGAACGAATTGTTGTTTTGTTTTCTTCTCTTTTAGTCATTCTTTCAGTAAAAGGAAAGAAAAAGTCGCAAAAATTCGACGAAAATAAGTACAAAGTTCTCAATTATTTTGCCATTGAATCCATTGACGATTCGGCCGACGTTCGGGACGACGCAGATGAAGAAGGCGTCGATGCGCTCGAAAAAGACGCACAAATCTTGCGCTCCATTCAGACGTCTTTTGTGGCGCGTCTTTCATCTTATTCACGCAACTCTTTGGATGGATTCCTTCAAGACATGAGTCAGAGTTTGACTAAAAAAATGGCACAACTTAAGAATCAGGAGAAGAATCTCGAACTACTGGTGTCGGGACCGTCGTCCGGGACGACAACCGAAACGTCGTCCGGGACGACGACTCAGGGCGTAACGATTGTATTGACATTTGCGACGCAAGAAAAGAGACAACAATTCCAACAAATGCTTAGAGAAGTGAAGAGCGCTTCCAAACCGTCCAAATCAAGAGTTCCTCATTTCGCGTGTTTTCTACCGATTCGGTAATTAATATAAGAAATTGTTTTCGATTTTAAACTGTATTTCCAATAGTAAAACACGTGCCGGCCTTCAGTTTACGTGTGCGGCGCCGACGATCGGCACAAATGACGTTTGGATTTGTAATTCTGACGGATTTGTTGGTCAGATATCTGTTCTGTCTTTGACTTGTGATTCTCGCGAACCGACAGTTGTCTCGTGTAACGGCGTCTGTAATTCTCGCATAACTTGTTTGACTTGTGTTCCGTCTCTTATCTCTCAAACAACCGACGAATCAGATGTTTCCGATTCCGACGGAACCAACGATTCCGCAACACATCCCACCAATGCCTTGGCCTCGGCCACAATGTGGTTCGGAACAGACGACGCTTCCGTTCACATCTACTCGACTTCAGACGCCATTCGGTATTCAAATCTCGGTTTTAATCCAATATTTAATCCGTTTTTTCGCAGAATTAAGAAAAACAAAGTGAAAGTCGCTCTCAATTCGAAAGTCCTTTCGATTGCTTTTTTTGGCGAAAAAGTAATCGTTTCTCTCGATAACCATTCGATTGCAATCTTTAGCCGCGATCTAAACGGCTGTTGGATTACAGAACCAGAAATACGTCTTGGAATGCATTGCGAACACCTCTTAGTCGTTGATCTTCGGCTTTGGACGTCTGGACATTCACGACAACTCGTCGTCCGAGACGTCGATCTCAACTCTGTTGCAGAGCTTTTGGTCGACGTCTCGGACGACGACTTTGTGTCTGCAATGACGACATCCGCAGAATTGCGTCGTGTTTTCGTCTCAACTCATGAATCACTTCAAGTCCACGTATTCGACGCGTGCGAACCTTTTTCGCGCGTGCAAGTGGTGAACGTGCAGTGGGCGCTGCAGAGGGCGCTTCTCGTGTGTGAAGACATTATTCGCCAACACAAGAGCGCGTGTTTGCGTGTGTCGTGTCTTTTGGCCGCAAAAGTCAGTTCTGTTTTGCATTTTTTTGATTTAAAATTGAATTGTTTTTCAGGACTCGGTTTGGATCGGAACTTCTGCCGGAATTATATGTCTTCTGGACGGTCAGGACTGCGATCTGGAAATCGGTAAACAATTGTGTGTTTGTCCTAATATTGAATGTGTGTTTGTTTGTTTAGTCCCGAACGGCCACACTGGTCACGTTCGTTTCCTGACTTCGACGTGTATTTCTGGCCGACATCTCGTGATTTCTGGCGGCGATGGACTCGARACTTACGGTCGACTGAATTCGACAACAGATGGCGTTGTAATGAATGCAACGATCGGTGGAAACGAAGACTCGACGTCACACCTGTTGTTATGGGATTTGAGTCTCGAATAAAACGTTTAAACAATTCTCACACAAACTCTGTTCTCACACTCTGTTCTCTCATTCAATGACTGCTCTCTCACTCACTCACTGACTCACTCTAATGCTCTCCAACTCTGCACTCATTGACTCACTCTCTCATCAGTCGTTCTCACGCCAGATGTTTGGCTGTTGGCATGTCTTCCAACACTCCCTCCAATCCCACGCCTCTGATTGGCTCAAAGTTTTCACACAAAACCAGTCGACTCTTCTCTCAAACAAAAGACAACAGTTTTGTCCGAAAACTCGATTCCAAACCAAAAGAGTCGACAAAAAAACGACAAAATTTACGGAAATTTTATTGTCTTTTTTGTGACATTTTTCGGTCAAATTCACCGAATATTCAATTGAATCAACACTTAATCCGCAGTTAAGCCAAACATCTCATCAACAAGTGTCCAAAATCAGTGTCCAATGTCTTCAATGTCTTCCAATTGATCCCAAAAATGACCGTTTCTGTGGTCTTGTTCTTCCTGTGTGTTGTCATCACTTTATTTGATCCGTTGTTCGCTTTCCGCAATACAACCGAATGCGTGTCTTCGTCTGTTTGTCAGAACGGCGGACAATGCGTTGATTTCCGCTGCAAATGTCCGCTTCAATGGACAGGAAGTCGTTGTGAATTCGCGAATCCGTGTTTCGGAAACCGTTGTCTAAACGGCGGAACTTGTGTCTCATCTCTACCGCCGATAAACCCTCTAAACCATCCCATCTCATCGAGAGCTTCTCCGACCTTCCGGTGCGTTTGTCAACTCGGATATTCGGCGTCTTTGTGTGAAATTCAATTGCCGTCTGTTTGTGACCAAAACCCGTGTATTAATGGCGGAAAATGTCGTCTAAAGAACTCTTTGAATGAATGGCAATGTGAATGTGAAGACGGATGGACGGGAGCGAGATGTCAGCGTCGAGATCATTGTCACGAACATCAGTGCAGAAACGGAGCGCTTTGTGTCGCCCGAGACGACGCATATTCATGTGAGTGTCAAAAAGGATTTTCAGGACGTCTTTGCACTCAAGACGTCGACGAATGCGCTTTAGATCCCAATGTCTGTCACGGAAACGGCATTTGTGTCAATACTTTCGGGTCTTTGCGGTGCAATTGTCAGAAGGGATGGACGGGATCCCGATGTGAGTCCCGATACGTCCCGTGCGCGCATTCCGAGTGTCTGAACGGCGGACATTGTGTTCCGCATTATCAGGCCTTGTCCTTCTCATGCCAGTGTCCCGTCGGGTTTTCTGGCCAGAGATGCGAACACAATGTTGACGATTGCGGCGGAAATCTGTGTCAAAACGGCGCCACGTGTTTGGACGGCGTCAACACTTATACTTGCAAATGTCCGTCTCAGTGGACGGGACCCTATTGTTCGCGAGACGTCGACGAGTGCGCCGTTCGTCCGCATGTCTGCCAAAACGGCGCAACTTGTGTCAACACTTTGGGAGGATTTCAATGCGTTTGTGTTAACGGATGGACAGGAATCACGTGTCAAGACAATATCGACGATTGCGCGGCCGCAGCYTGCTTCAACGGGGCCACGTGCCACGATCGCGTCGGGTCTTTCTATTGCCAATGTCCGGCCGGGAAAACGGGTCTTCTCTGTCATTTGGACGACGCCTGTGCTTCCAATCCGTGTCACGGTATGTCTCTATAGTTGTATAGTTCTGATTGACCTCTGACCCTTTGACCCCTTAGACGGTGCCATTTGCGACACTTCCCCGATTGACGGCACTTATCTGTGTTCGTGTCCAACTGGTTATAAAGGCGTGGATTGCACGCAAGACGTGGACGAGTGCCGAGAGTCTGGATCTCCTTGCGAACACGGCGGGACTTGTGTCAATACTCCGGGTTCGTTCCGTTGCGACTGCGCAGTGGGGTTCGCGGGTCCGCGTTGTGAAGTCAATATCAATGAATGCGATTCTTCTCCGTGTCTGAACGACGGCACGTGTCTCGACGAACGCGGTTCCTATAGATGTGTTTGTATGCCAGGTCTGTATTATAGAACACTATACAGGACTATAGGTTCTGACTTTGACTCTCTTCAGGCTATTCCGGCTCTCATTGCGAACACGACGTCGACGAATGCGCTTCAAATCCCTGTCTCAATGGCGCCCTTTGTACGGATCTAATCAATGGTTTCCGCTGTCTGTGTCCGTCCGGATTCGACGGATCGCGTTGTGAGCGTGCCACTGACCACTGCGCGTCCAATCCATGTCTGAACGGCGGTCATTGCGCGTCTCTTTCCGACGGATTTCAATGTGAATGCAATCAAGGATTTGTTGGACAGAAATGTGAACTCAATGTCAATGATTGCGAATCCACTCCTTGTCATCGAGGAAGATGTCAGGACGAGGTCAACGGATTCAGATGCGTTTGCGATCCCGGATTCACGGGACTCCTGTGTCAACAACAGATCAATGAATGCGCTTCTCTTCCGTGTCAATTCGGCGGAACTTGTCGCGATCTCGTCAACGGATACTCATGCGACTGTCCCGACGGAACCACTGGTCAGAACTGCGAATTCAATGTCAACGAGTGTTGGAGCAATCCCTGTCGTCACGGCGGCACTTGTCGCGACCGAGTCGGGCATTATGTCTGCGACTGCGCAGACGGCTTCTCCGGCAAAGATTGCGAACAAGATTTGGACGAATGTCTGTCGAATCCGTGTTCGAATGGCGGCCAATGTGTGGATCGTCCGAACGGTTATAAGTGTTTGTGTCCGAAGGGATTCTTCGGTCCAAGATGTCTGTCAGACGTCGACGAATGCGCTTCCAATCCGTGTCTAAACGGCGCCACGTGTGAAGACGACTTGAACGCCTTTGTGTGTCATTGTGCGCGCGGATGGACGGGAAGACGTTGTGATCAACAAATCAATGAATGTCTTTCCAATCCGTGTCAAAATGGCGCCTTTTGTTTGGATAAACAAAACGGATTCGACTGTAAATGTCCTAAAGGTTTGTCCAAAATTTACCAATTAATCCAATCCTTAATCCAACCCTTAATCCTTAATCCAATCCCTAATCCAATGCAGGCTTCTCCGGGCGATTGTGCGAACTCAACGACAACGACTGTGTATCTGATCCGTGTCTTAACGGCGGATCTTGTATTGATTTAGTCAATCGATATACTTGTCGTTGCGCTTCTGGATTCGCTGGAAGACATTGCGAACAGGATTTAGACGAATGTCTGTCGAATCCGTGTTCGAACGGCGGTTCTTGTGTCGACCGTCCGAACGGTTATTCCTGTTTGTGTCCGAAAGGCTTTTTCGGTCCAAGATGTCTTTCCGATGTCGACGAATGCTCTTCCAATCCGTGTTTCAACGGCGGAACATGTGAGGACGACGTTGGTCGCTTCCAGTGTCATTGTCCACGTGGGTTCGGAGGTCGGCGTTGTGAACAGGAAGAGAATGAATGCAATTCTCATCCGTGTCTTAACGAAGGAAAATGTGTTGATTTGAGAGCAGATTTTCAATGCGTTTGTCCGCAAGGTTTGTCTCGAAACCAATCAAAACATTCCAATAATATAACAATCAATCGATTTATTCYAGGATTTTCCGGAAGATTCTGCGAACAAAACGTCAACGACTGCTCCCGAATCACGTGTCTAAACGGMGGAACCTGTGTCGACGGTCTCAACGCCTTCACGTGCGTTTGTTCCGCTTCTTTCACCGGTTTTTATTGCGAATCAGAAGTCAATCCATTCCGCGATAATCCGTGGCGTTTGTGTCCGTCTGCGGCCACGTGTTACGCCCGTTTTGGAGACGGGAAATGCGATGCGGAATGCGATTCTCGGGAATGTCTTTTCGACGGAATGGATTGTCGTCGTCCGGAGTCGTCGTCCTGTAATGAGATGTACGAAGCCTATTGTGAAGCCAATTATGCGAACGGAAGGTGTGATGCCGGCTGTAATAACGCCGAGTGTGCGTGGGATGGACTCGACTGCGAACCCGAAGCCATTGATCACGAACTCAAAGGCGATCTTCTTCTGCAAGTGGACGCGCCCTTCGCTCTGCTCACTCAGTCCACTGACGAATCACGTGTCACTTTAGTCGGACTTTTGCGTCAATTGTCGACAATTATCGGATCAGTTGTCAAATTAAGACAAATCAAGTCCAACGGAACCCATTCTACTCAACTCGTCCTGGCCGTCGATTCCCGTCGGTGTGCGGCCGGCGAGTGTTTCGCGTCTTCCCGAGACATCGCGTCCTTCTTGACTGCGGCCAAAACACGTGACCAGGATCGGTTTTCGCATTTATTGCATTCGGGATTTCGAATAACAGATATCGACGCAACAGATGGCGAAACAATCGGATTTCCCAACAATTCCCCGCACGGACTCACTTACGTCGCGGTCGCGGTGGTCATCCTTCTGGTGGGCGGTCTCATTGCCGGAGTTCTCGTTTCGTCCAATCGCAAGAAAGTGGCCAAAGGTATCACGTGGTTTCCCGAGGGATTYTTCAATACTTCCGGAGCAATGGTTTCCAGACATCAAAACGCTTCTTCGGCCGCTGCGGGCGGCGAATATGGACGAGCGAGACGACGAGTCGGCGGAAGAACGGGAAGACCCGACGGACAGGAAATGAGACAATTCAAGTCACGTGAGGACTTGACGGACGACAAGGCGGCGATGAGTGCCATCTATGAGGAACCAATGGAGTGTCGCGAATGGACGCACGCGCACTTCGACGCGTACAAAGCAGAGGCTATGACTCCGCCTCTAAACACGCCTTCCATCGACGCGATTGGTCCAAATGGAATGACACCTCTGATGGTTGCATCGGCCTTCCCGTCGCACGTGATCTCTGTGGACAACCCCGACACGTGTTTGAGTGAGATGGGGGCGGAGCGCGTGCACGACTTACTGATGAACGGCGCGAATGTTTCGCTGACTTGCGATCGAACGCATGAATCAAGTCTTCATTTAGCCGCGAGATACGCACGCGCAGATGCAGCCAAACGACTGCTGGACGCGGGAGCAGATTGTAATGCTCAGGACGCGACCGGAAGGACTCCTCTTCACGGCGCCATTGCTGCCGACGCACGTGGTGTCTTTGAAATACTATTACGAAATCGTTCGACGAATTTAAATGCGAGAACTCTGGACGGAACCACTCCTTTGATATTAACCGCGAGAATGAATTCCGAAGCAATGCTCGAACGCCTTGTGACCGCCGAATGCGATCTCAACGCCGCCGATGACGCCGGGAACACCGCTCTTCATTGGGCCGCTTCGGTCGACAATTTACACGCCGTTCGCGTTCTCATTCAAAATGGCGCCAATCGTGACGCTCAGAATAATCGCGAAGAGACGCCATTGTTTTTGGCGGCTCGTGAGGGAGCCTTCAATCCGGCGCACGAACTGTTGAAAGCGCATTCCAATCGAGACATAACTGATCACATGGACAGACTTCCACGTGACGTCGCTTTGGAACGAATGAACACAGATATCGTCGCCCTATTGGATGATTTCATTCCTCTGACTCCTCCCACTCCAATTGGTCCGACTTCTCCCAAAACGACTTCTCTTCGCCGCAAACGAACGCTTCCGCCGCCGCCTCCGCCGCGAAACATCATTTCTCATCAGACGTCTCTCTACTCGTCGTCTCTGTCGTCGCCTCCTCTCGTGTCCCCGCCCTCGCGTCCTCCTCCCACATACGAAGATGCGTTGATGAAGCCCCGCCCTCCGCGTCCCCCCGAGTCCTATTTGACGCCTTCCCCGGACTCGCCGTCGACTTGGGTTTCGTCGCCGTCCACTTCGTCGCCCCTTTCGGCGGACTGGTTGTCCCTGGCCCACTCGGACCCGTCGTCACTTCCCCCCGCCCTGCAGTCGCCGCCCACCCGTTTCGCCACTTCCTCCCAACAGGCGGTTTTCATTTAAATCTCGTTTTCTGTAAATATCTGTAAATAAACTCATTTTTTGACCCAATTTTGGTCCAAAAAAGACTTTTATTGAACGCACGCGCCAGAGTTCATCGCACGCGACCCACTTTCCGTTCATTCCTCGAGACGATGCCCTCCGATTCCGACGTTTTGTCCGCGCCTTCTCTATTGGTCGCTCACTTTTCGGCCGTTTCGTGTTCGGCCGCTTTGTTCGGTCTTTTAACCCTTTATTGTTCGCCAATTGTTCCCAAAGCTCTTCAGAGACTGTTTCGTTATGGAAAGACCGCCGAAACTCATAAATCGGTTCTTCAGGTTCCCAAACGGTGAGTCTTTAACTCATTTTCTCTCAAAACTAACTCTTAATCCACAGATGGTTCCAACACTTCTATGTCTTCGCTTCTCTTCTCTACGCTCTGCTCTTCCTTTCGCTTCTCCGTCTCTATGTCTTCCAACTGCCCGTTCCCCAACTCCTGGCTCTCCTTTTGGACACTTGCGTCGGTCAGAGTCGTCGTCCCGTTTGTAGCGCTGAATCCGTCGTCCTTTCGATGCTTTTAATGTGTCTTCAAGTGTGTCGTCGTCTCTACGAATGCACGCGACTCTCTGTCTTCTCTCAAGATGGCAAAATGGCGGCCGCGCATTACTTCTGCGGATTTTCCTTCTATTTAGGCGTCGGACTCGCTCTTCTCGCGGACGCACACGGATTTCCCGGCACCCCCGACTCGCTTCCGCCGCAACTGCAATGGACGGCCATTTTCCGCTTGAATCACATCATTGGAAGCGTTCTCTTCTTAATCGCAAATTTAATTCAATTCAAAAGTCATTCAATTCTCGCAAATCTTCGTAAAGACAGAAACGGTTTGTTTTTCTCCTTTAATCCAACAATTAATCCGCTAATCCTCCGCAGGTCGTGTGGTCACTTTCCAGCACTCGATTCCTCGCGGATCGCTCTTCGAATTGGTGTCTTGTCCGCACTATTTCGCCGAAATCGTTGTCTACTTCTCGCTGGCCGTCGTCCTCGCCTTCCAGTCGCCCAATTGGTGGCTGGTCTTTGCCTTCGTGACAACAAATCAATTAATTGTCGGTCTTTTCAATCATTACTGGTATTTAAAGCGTTTTCCCGATTATCCGTCGAAACGAAAAGCTGTAATTCCTTTTCTATTGTAATAAACATTTCAAACACCAGATGTCTCTCTCTCTCAATCAGTATATCAATTGTCACGCGCGACGACACGTGCCGTACAATCGAATCGATAATCCGTTAATCGATTTGTTTTCACTTTCGAATCAATTCTGGACACAAAACTCCGTCCACTTCTGGCCGTAAATTCACTGCTCTTTCCTTCGAAACTGTTTTCCAATTTCTTTCGTCCAATCAGTTGATGCGAAAGTGGCGCCCCTCTCGTTCCGTCGCTTCGTCCGACTCTTCGGCCGCCGCCGTGACCGCCGACGCCTTTCTCGATCCGTTCGTCGGTTCGATCGGTTCTTCGCCTAAAGACCGCTCTTTCCTAGTCATCGATCCTTCGGGACGTAATTTCAAATCTCTTTTTCTCGAAACTCATTGTCTTTTGCGCAGATCTTCACTACCGATGGCTGTTTCTCGTTTCTCTGGCCGTTCTCTACAATCTGGTCTTCATAATCGCCAGATCCACTTTCGCCGATCTCCAGAACGCCTTTCGCCTGCATTTCCTCGTTCTGGACATTGTCTGCGACTCGTTGTTCGCCATCGACTCTGTATTGTCTGCGAGAACTGCTTTCCTSGAYTCTGGACTTCCCGTTCGTGATTCGCGACGCCTTTTCTCGCATTACATGTCTTCTTCTGCTTTCCGTTTGGATGTGTTCTCTCTTTTGCCGACAGATGTCGTTCTGTTTGTCTCTCACTTGGAATGCAATCCAACAATACTTTTCCCGTGCGTTCCGATCGTTCGATTGAATCGTTTGTTTCGTTTTTATCGATTCAGAGAATTCTTCGAACGAACCGAAACGAGAACTCAATTTCCAAACGCTTTGAGAGTCGCGAAACTCGTTCTCTATATTGTAGTTCTAATCCATTGGAATGCATGTAAGTCTTCAATCCATTAATCCATTAATCAGTTAATCCTCTCTTCAGGCGCTTACTTCGCCATTTCCTTTTGGATCGGTTTCGACTCCGACCGATGGGTTTATAACCGCAGATCTTCTTCAGCCGACTCTTTGTCCAAACGTTTTGTTCAACAATACGTTTACTGTTTTTATTGGTCGACTCTCACTCTGACCACTATAGGCGAAGTCCCGCCGCCAGAAACCGACGCCGAATACGCTTTCGTTGTCCTCAACTTCTTAATCGGTTTATCTCTTAATCTCTAAACACTTTTCTAAAACCGTTTTCTCTTCAGGTGTTCTAATCTTCGCGACAATTGTCGGAAATGTCGGTTCAATGATCTCCAATATGAACGCCGCCCGCGCAGACTTTCAGGTCAATATCCCGACTCTGACCTCCSACTCTGACCTCTGACCCGTTCTCTGACTTTAGGCCCGTATGGATGCCGTCAAACAGTACATGGAGTTTCGTCACGTGACAAAACCTCTGGAAACACGAGTTATTCGTTGGTTTGACTATTTGTGGACTAATAAACAGTCTTTAGATGAAAGTGCGGTCACAGCTGTTCTTCCCGATCAACTGAAGGCCGAGATTGCAATCCACGCTCATCTGCAGACTCTGCGTCGGGTCCGTCTGTTCCAAGACTGCGAACCGGGACTTTTGGTTCAATTAGTTTTGAAACTTCGTCTTCAAGTGTTCTCCCCTGGTGACTTTATTTGTCGAAAAGGAGACGTCGGAAAAGAGGTTCGCAAAACACATTCAAACACAAAGTCATTCATCATTTAATCCCAATCCAGATGTATATCGTGAAACGCGGTCGTCTGGCCGTCGTTGCGGACGACGGAATCACTTCTTTGGCTAATCTGACAGATGGCGCCACTTTCGGCGAACTCGCGATTCTCAACATTTCCGGAGTCCGAACCGGAAACCGACGGACAGCTAATGTCCGATCAGTCGGTTATTCGGATTTGTTTTGTTTGTCTAAACAAGACTTATGGGATGTCCTCGAAGACTATCCCGAAGCACGAGCGGCTTTAGTCGAACGCGGAAAACAGATTCTGCGCAAAGACGGTCTTTTAGACGATTCGGCGCTTCTCCGCCACGAACTCGAACAACAAGACACAAGAGCGGCCGTCTCTCGGCTTGAAGTGTCTGTGGATCAATTGCAGACCCGATTGGCCCGTTTATTGGCTGAATTCGCTTCTTCGCAGAAAAGATTAAAACAACGAATCGCAGCTCTTGAATCGCGCGCTGATTCTGATTGACCACTCAGTGACCACTCAGTGACCACTCAGTGACCACTCAATGACCACTCAATCAATGCAAATGTTTGAAACTTTGCTTTTGTGACGAAACGCGAACTGAAATCCGGTTTTTCTCTCTTTTTATGATTTTTTCTGTTTTTTCCTCTTTTTTTCAGAAAAAACAAAATTATTTCCAATAAATCCTAAAATCTTTTTAAAACCCATTTTTGACGTCATTTCTCATAATTATTGCGAAATTCTTGAGTTTTCCGTTCTTTTGTCTCATTCTTGGTTCAAATGCTTTGTCAAACACCTCTCTTGTCTTCCATTCGTGTCCTCCGAGTGCTTCCTTCGCGCACTTTGGCCACTTTTACCACTTTTACCGCTGAATCGGTTGAAACCTGTTGCGAACCAAGTGTTCGACAAATTCGCGATGAATTCATGCGTTTTGGCGGCGGATCCGTTGAGTTGCGTCTTAACAATGCGACGGGAGTGGCCAGAATCGAATTGAGAAATTTCGGGCGGAAAAACGCTTTTTCGGGTCGAATGATGTCTGAATTTGCCGATACTTTGGATTCGCTGTCCAACTGGTCTCAGGTCTGTTGTCTTCAACTATACTTCTATTCTATTGTTTGTGTTTTTCAGGGAAAAGCAGTCGTTATTCACGGTTCGAACGGATTCTTCAGTTCCGGCGGTGATTTAGAAACCGTTAGACAAATCGCTAATCCTTTTGGCGGCCGAAAGATGTCGCTTCTGATGCACGACAATCTGACACGCCTTCAGTGTCTCCCTCTTGTGTCCGTTTCTCTAATCGACGGAATGGCAATCGGCGGCGGAGCAGAAGTCGCTTCTTCGACTGATTTCCGATTAATGACTCCAAACGCGCGCTTCGGCTTCGTTCACGTCAGACTCGGGATTGTGAGCGCGTGGGGCGGAGGACAGCGTTTGGTGGAAATTGTCGGCCAAAAGACGGCTTTAGATCTTATGTTAACCGCAAAACAAATTGATCCCAAAGAAGCTCTTCGACTCGGTCTTTGCGATGCAATTGTGGACGAAGAAGACGCCATCGAAGCGGCCGTGAAGTGGACTCAGAACAAAGTAATGGTAACTCAAGACTGCGTTCGAGCCGTAAAACAAGTGGTAAACGCGGGAAAACATCGAAACAGGGATTCCGCGCTCAAACACGAACTCGAAGAATCGGTTCAACTCTGGGGATCAACTGATCACTTGAAAGCCTTGAAAGCAAACATTAAACACAAATAAATTGAGAAAAAATGTCAAAAATTTCAAACAAATGATTATTAAAAACGAAAAATTGATTTCAAATCAGAAAAATCGAAACACTTTTTACTGAAAAATAAATTGAATATAATTTCGGATAAAATGAGTGAAAACTCGATTAAAACTAAGACTAGAATTAATTAATTCATAAATTCGATTGACTATTAAAGGCCCGAATCATCCGCTGGTCATTAGACAGCGTTCTTCGGATTTTCGGCGCCGACTTTTCGTCTAAATCTGTGACACAAACACTCGTCACGAATTGAGCCCCGGATTCGGGTTCTGTCAGCAAATGCGCTTCGGGCACTTCGGAGGGATTCTGGTCAGCGGATAATCTCTGAATCGCAATCATTATTGAAATGTCTTTTGCGGTCAAAGAAACCAAAAACTGAAAAACCTGTGAAAAAATCGTAAAAATTGTGAAAATTTTTTGTTTTGTTTTCAAACCTTTCTTTCAATTAATTCTTCTGTCGTTTCGTTTTTGACGGAAATATCGGAAACAAAAAGACGACTTTTTGGCGGCAAATCGTGTAAGAAATCAAAGTTATTGTTGTCTTTGAGCGACAACTGATCCAACATTTCGTTTGCAAACTCGGAGTCCAAAGAATCCAATTTTTGCATTCTTAAAACTGCTTCCAAAACACTTCCGGATCTCAATTCATGTCTTTCTTCTCCACAATCACAACGATGCAAACCATTCGCGTGAAGACTGCAGTTCTGACCTGCGGGAAGGGGAGGGGCGTCGGCGTGAAAGGCGGGGTCGACGGGAAGGGAGAGGGCGGCCGAAAGCAGACGACAGAAAGCGTCGGTTTTTCCGCAAAAGTCTTGGATTACGGCTTCGAAGTCTCGGTTCAAGTCATCGCCGAAAACGAGTTGAATGTCTCGAAAGACGCGGAAATTGTTTTGAGGATTCGCTACTAAAGAACGCAAAGAACAAAGAGTTCTTTGAGGACATCCCGAAAACAGATCTAAAGGACAATATTCAGATCTTCGAACAATTGATCCCTTCTTTAGCTGATTTAGAGATTATCAAGAGATTAAGAAATGGGATTAACTCGGATTAGAACTCACTTTATGAAACTGAGACAAACAATAGCGACAAATACTGGCCTTCGGAAGCATTTGTTGTGATAAAAGAGCGGCCAAAGGAAGGAATCCTTGCTTTGGTTTGATTTCAACCGCGAAAACGGATCCAATAGTCTTGAATCGACTCAAAGACGACGGAAGACAACAAAAATCGGGTAAAAGTAAAGCAAAAGCTTCGTTTCGCGCGATTTGTTTGTCGCGACGAAAACCTGAAACARAGATCTTTGAATTCACAGATTAATCGGATTAATTGGACTCACGAGGACGTTTGTCTCCTACAAGACCATCGATTCGCAGACTTTGATCGCGTGAAAGACGAACAATTTGCGGCCGAGAAAAGAAGGCTTCGGACAGAAAGCGCGGAACAACTGATTCGTAGAAAAGGAGTTGTCTTGAGACGCGGTCTATAGTCGGGTCGTCATTTCCATCTGAAGTCTTGAAAAGTCGAAGAACTTTTCGTTCCTTTGATTTGAAAGAAAATTCATTTCAAGGACTAAATCATAAAAACCAAAAAAAGCATTACTTCTTGAATGGCGACCACTAAACTCGAGTTTCCTTCTCCGCGATACACGACTTGTGAATCCCGAAGATTCAATCGTCTGATTGGTTCGCCAGCGACCGGTCCGCGCGGGTCCTCAGCCGAAAGGACTCGCGTTTCGGACAAAACCATTGCGTTTCGTCACTCGTTTGAAGAGCGCATGACTCTTATGACTCGCGCTTCAACTCATCGAAAGGTCGAAAGCATTGGTTGTTTTGGTCGTACTTTTGGTCCCTTTTTATAGACATTTGTTTCGAATAACAATTYCTTGTTTTCACTGAAAAGCAATTCATTTGAAGTGAATTTCAATTCAATAGACTTTTGTTTTGTTCGTCACATGACTTATGAAATGTCTATTCATTTGTCGATTAATTTATCGGTTCTTTCGTCCGAATCTTCGACCGAATCTTCGGTCCATTTTTCGTCCAAAACATCCAAACACTCGAAACTGACTTTCGATAATCGCTTTCAACTGGTCAGAGCCGCTCTTCACCCGACGGCTCCTTTGGTGGCCGTTGTCGACAAAGTGGGCGCTCTTTATATAATAGATCTGTTGTCGAATCGGTTCCGTTTGGCCAGAAGACTGTCTTCAGCCGTAACCGCCGTTTCGTTTGTGAATTCAGACTTGGATTGCAATTTAGTCATCGCTTCCGTCGATCGAAATTCCGTTCACTTCTTCCGTAAGATTCTTTCGATTTAATTCCGATTTAAATAATTGTTTTTAGATTTTTGTCCGCAATCTCTGGCCGTCCGTTCTTTGGCCGTCGTTGAGAGCGCTCACCGGACATCCATTGCTCACATTTCGTTTGACGGCCAGAACCGCATTATGACGTCTTCGGCCTTCGATTCAGCCGTCGTTTGGGACGTCAGATCTCTTCGGGAAATCAAACGCTTGTCGGACTCCAAAAGTCTTTTTTCGCGCTTTTGGATCAAAGACACGATTTTAACCATTTATCGCAATCGCGTCTTCATTATGGACGCAATGTCTTATCGAGTATTAGAACAGATCCAAAACACAAGACTTCTTCACGTTTTTGATGACATGTTTATCACTGAAAACCAAGAAAATCAAAAAGAAAGACATTTTCTGAACGAAAACCGTGAAATCGAAAGCCGTTTTGTCAACGATTCCGAAGATTCTTATTTTCCGCCGAAAAACACGACTTTTGTCGACAAAAACAATGATTTTTCTGTCGTTTTTGACTCAAAATCGCAATTAATTGTTAATTATTTGAATCAAAATTCACCGAAAAAAAAGAAAATTCGTGTAAAAGAAGAAAATATTGAGAAGAATGTCCGCGAATTGGCCCGAGTTTTGATCGCCAAATACTGGAAATTCCCGCAAAAGTACCGATTCTTCATTTGGACACAACTTCTCGGTCTTCCAGACGATAGAAAGCGATTCCAAAGACTCAATGAAATGTCAGTGGAATTGCGTTCTGAAGTTCGTTTTGCGGTCAATAGTCGTGAATTTGTGGATCCGTCGGTCGGTCGGTGTTTAGTGGAATTATTGGCGCAATTGATTCAGTGGAGACCCGAACTCTTGAGCGAGACTTCTGTCTCTGATTTATCTCTTTTTTGCTTTCCTTTTGTGAAGATTTTGAACTCAAAACCAGTCGTTCTTTTTGAAACAATGGCTTCTCTCGTGATTAACAACTTTCTGGTCGACAAAAGAGTCAGAGAAACGACTCTTTGGACGCTTTCCTCGAAACTCTTGAGACGTGAATCTCCTGCTCTCGACCGACATCTTCGTCAACTGGATGTCAGTGCAGACGATATGTTTGTGCCGTTATTGACGTCGCTTTTTTCGGAAGTGTTTTTACGGACGGATTGGTTCCAGATTTGCGATCTTTTGTTGACTTTTGGAACTCAACTTTTTGTTTACTTTTTGGTCGCTTTTAGTCTTCATTCGGAACCAAAACTCTTGAAACTCAAAACTCGACAACAAATCAAAACTCATTTCCGAACTCAACAATCGATTTCAGCCAAAGAAGTCATTTCTTCGGTTTTCATTCTTTCGCAAAGATATTTGCCTTTAAGTGAACATCACTTCCAACCCCTTCTCTATTGACGTCACGATCTCTATGGATATCATCACTTCATTTGCGACCGTTTTTCCAACATTTTTGTGACTTTTTATAACAATCTTTTGTATATATATTTAGAATGATTTTCAATACATTAAAAAGTCTTTTATTAAATGATGAGTTGTTTTCTTAACTAAACAACAGTTGTCTTCAATCGAACCGATGGGTGAGTATTGTCCGCAAATACCGACAATTTCTGACCGTTTTGTTGTCCACAGCGTCGATGTTCATCAACACTTTGACCCCCAAGTTTTACGTGGCTTTGACCGGAACGTCTTCTCTTATTTCGGGACTTATTTTGGTCTTTATTTCGGATAAATATTTGCCGTTTTCTAACCGTTTTTATCTTCAGATCTTCGAGTGGTGGTATTTCAGAAAGTATGGCACGTCTTTCATAGAACAGGTTTCACTCAATCATTTGAGTCCGTGGTTGGGCGGCGGTCAAGACGGCGGAGAAAACAATAATTCGAACCAAACMTCRAAYGGACAACAAATCTCTTTAGGTTTGAAACGAAAACAAAAAATGAATTTTCAATCAATTTTCGCGAATAGAATGCAAAGTCTGGAGAAATCCTTTGTCTTTATTTCGCGGATCTGAATATCAACGCTTCGGATGGACAACAAACAAGGAACCACTCACCTATTATGACATGAATCTCTCGGCTCAAGATCACCAAACATTCTTCACTTGTGAAGCAGATGTCGGAAAACCAGAGTTCGAGAGTCAGTCCATTAATCCGTTAATCCGATAATCCGTTAGTTCGTTAATCCGTTAATCCATGATTTAGTAATGCAAACGGCGTGGAGAGAACGCGATCCTATCGTTCGCATTAAAGCCGCCAAAGATGCCATCGAAAAGAACGCCGACTGCGCACCCGCTTACATACTGTTGGCCGAAGAAGAAGCGGCAACCATTTTGGAAGCGGAGAAACTGTTGCGAACGGGTCTGAAAGCGGCCGAATCTGCGTACCGAAAGAGTCAGCAAAACCAACATCAAACGGCACTTCTTGAAAGTCTTCATCGAAGAGATACTAATGTTTTGATTTATGTTCGACGAAGACTTGGGATGTGTTGGCGTAAACTCGGGAAATTGCGTGAATCGACGAAAATAATGAGAGATTTGATTAAAGAGTTTCCTCTAATGAATGTCTTTAATATTCACGAAAACCTTATCGAAGCTCTTCTCGAAATGCAAGCCTATGCAGACGTTCAGGCCGTTCTCGCCAAATACGACGGTAAATACCAAATAGATCTGATCCAATCTGATCCAWTCTTCTCTAGACATCAATCTTCCCAAATCGGCCACCATCTGCTACACGGCCGCTCTGTTGAAAGCGCGCGCCGTTTCCGACAAGTTTTCTCCAGACATCGCTTCAAGACGCGGATTATCGACGGCAGAGATGAACGCCGTCGAAGCCATTCATCGCGCCGTTGAGTTCAACCCTCATGTTCCCAAATATCTGTTGGAAACCAAAAGTCTGATCCTTCCTCCGGAACACATTCTCAAACGCGGCGATTCAGAGGCCGTCGCGTATTCTTTCTTTCATCTGAATCATTGGAAACGCGTTGATGGCGCTCTTAATCTTCTTCACTGCACGTGGGAGGGAAGTGAGTCTATTATTTCAATTATTAATCAACAATTAAAACTGTTATAACTGTTATAACTCCATAGCCTTCCGAATGATTCCATATCCGCTGGAAAAAGGCCATCTCTTCTATCCGTATCCCAATTGCACCGAAAACACAGACCGCGAACTTCTGCCGCTTTTCCACGACGTGTCTGTTTATCCCAAGAAAGAACTTCCGTTTTTCATCCTTTTTACGGCCGGTCTTTGTTCAGTAACGGCTTTATTGGCTCTTCTTACGCATCAATATCCCGAACCCATGGGATGGTTGGCCAAACTGGTACTTTCTAACTCTTTGCTTTTGCTTTTCATAACTGTTTTTCTCTTCAGATGGTCAGTTGGTTGTCTCTTCCGTTGGGTTTTGTTGTCGACAAAATGGAAGCATTACTTCCATCTTCGCTTTTGCAACAGTTGTCACGCATTTGACAACTCTTTGGCCAAAAAATCGTTTCGGATTTTGAATCAATTGATTTCAATATTAATTTATTATCAGATTTAGTGATTGAAAGAGATTTTGATTTCAAAATTCGGATTAAAAGCGAATAAAATATCAAAATCTTTGACTTTTCTTTCATTTTTGTCTAATTTCTTAACTTTTGGTCAAAACTGTTGACGTAATTGATGTACGATTTGAAGGCATTTGTCGTTTGAATCGTTCGTTCGTTTCGTTTGTTTTTAAAGTAAATGCGATTCAAATGATCTCTGATTTCAACCATTTGTCGGCCGTTTTGTCGGTCGAAGAGTTGGCCAATGTGTCCATCGATCTCAAGACCAAACTCGAGACACATCTGGAAATCGTCGGACAAAACAAACGACAATCGGCTCAAACAGTGGCCAACATTGAGAACAAGTGTTTGTCAGCCGAACGTCAACTCCAGAACTCTTTGTTCAGACTTCAGGCCAGCGAAGAGTTTGCCGAAAAACTAAAGAATCAGTTGAGAGAAACGGAAGAAGCGTTACATAAGTCTCGAAACGAATATTTCGAGGCTTTTGATTGTAAGTCTGTTTTGTTGTCTTTGATTTGATTTAACGATTGGTTTGTTTTTTAGGCAAACAATCGCTTTCTCTTGAATTGAATTTAACTAAAGAAAAATCGGATCGATTTGCGGCCGAAAAAARCGATTTAAACAAAGTTCTGGAGCGAAGACAGGAAGAGATCCAAGAATTGCAAAATGAATTGCAAACTCTTTGCTCTCGTTTTCAATCGGAAAGTGAAGGAAAAGTCGAAACTCTGACCAAAACGGGAGAACTGGAGCTCAAAATGTTGTCTTTGGAACACAAAGAGAAGCGTTTGGCTCAAGAAAAACAACTCTACGAACAACAGATCCAAACTCTTAACGAAGAACTCACGGATAAAGTCAATGAATTGTTGGCCATTCGTCGCGAACGCGCGCTTCAGATGTTTGAAATGCAAACGACTTTAGACCAGAAAAGCGATGAAAACTCCAAATATTTGGATGAAATTCGAGTTTTAAAGCAAATGATTGAGAAAAAGGATAAACATATCGAAGGATTAGCCGTAAGAATGGGTGAAATTCAACATTCAAGCGCTCAATTGGAAGAAGATTTTCACAACGAAATCACAGCACAAAAGAGTTTAATTGAATCACAAAAAGAAACGATTAATGAATTGAAAAAACGAAATCAAACTCTGATTCAAACCATAGAAGAAATGCAAAAAATGCTTCAAACGGCAAAAACGGCGCATTCGGACCTCGAAAACACCTTCAATGACACCCAAAGTCGATTGACTCAACAGTTGACTGAAGTCTTGACCGAAAGATCTTTTCTTCGCCAAGAATTGGAAGAAATTAAGAAGAATTTGGCCAAAAATATGGAATTGGCGTTCGAAAGACAATATCCTTTGGCGGCCAATGCCAAGAAGCTATTGGACAGAAGCACGAGTTTAACACAAATCTTCAGTGATATGGGATCCGCGCAAAAGGCTCTGGAAGACGAACGGCGCGAAAATGCAGTTCTRAAAGAGTATTTAAGTCAAGTGGCGAACGAATCGAATGAAAACGAACCGCTTCTTCAGCGCAAAATACAAGAACACCAGAGGGCGTGTCAAACAGTCGCTGATCTGCGGACTCAGTTGTCGGCAGTTTTGGTCGAGAAAGACCATTGGCTTCGCGAGAAAGACGCCATAATCAGAGTTAGCAAACAGTTTGAGCGCGAAATCGAAAGATACGAACGCGAAAACAAAGACTTATCGCGACAAATACGAGCTCTGATTAGGAGTGTTCAGGAGGCCAGAGGTTTCTCTGTTTGTCTAACTCAGGACTCGAATGTGTCTTCGTCTGACAGCAGAGATATTCCTCCAGAATTAGTCACATTCAAAGATATTGAAGAACTTCAGACCAAAAATCGAGAATTAATGAATGCTTTGCGTGAAAGCAATGAAAAGATGGAAAAAGTTATGAAAGAAAATGGATTTGTTTTGCAAAAGGAGTTGGAAGAAGCTCTGCAGCAATTGGAACAACTTAGACACGAAAGACAAGAACAAGTGGCAATGGTCGACGCGCTGATCCATCAAAGACATACTCAGGCGACGCCAGACACTAAAGACCAAAGATCTCCCGGTCCGACATCTGTTTGTTCGCCGTATAGTTTGAACCGAAATAATGGCGACGAATATAACGAATTGAAAATCAATTTCAATAAATTGACGAAAGAGTATGAAAACTATAGACAAGAAAACACTCTTAAACTCAAAGAATTGAACGAATCTTACGATAGAGTGAGAGAAGAGTTGTCGTCTTTTAAAGTGGATTCCGCAAAAATGGCGTCAGAACTGACTTTTACCATCGAAAGAATGGAAATGTTTAAAACGAATTGCGAACAGTTCCAGAAGGAAAACGTCTTTTTGAAAGAGAAAAACACTATTTTGAACGAAAACGTGAAAAAACACGAACAAACTTCAGTTCTTTTGCGAAATGATGTGTTGGCAGCCAATGAAAGGGCCAACAGAGTCGAGAAAACGGTCGAAAGTTTGAAATGCGAACGCGATTTGTATCGAAATAATGAGACAAAATTGGTTCAGGAAAAGGAGTTTTTGCTGAAAAGCAGTGAAAACCAAAACAAATTAATAAATACTTTACAAACGCTTCAAAACAGTTGGAAACAAATGGAAAGCGAATCAATCAATAGTTTAAAAGTTCAAAACAACAAACTTGAAAGCGAAAGACAATACTGGAGAAACAAATTCGATAAAGAAGTGGAACAGCATTTGCAGGCCATCAGAGTCTGGGAAAAGAGTTTCCAAGAAGTTCGCAATAAATTGGACGAAGAAATCGACAAACATTTAGAAACACATAAAGAGATGTCTGAATACCAGAAAAAGTCCAAGAATTTTGAGATTGAATTAAACCAATTGAAAGAAAGTGTAAATCAGGCGATGAATGTCCAAACATCGGCCACTAATGAAGCGCAGGCCAATCGAGCGCTTCAATCGCAACTCGTGGTTCAAAGGGAACAGTTTTTGTCGCAAATCGCAAACGCAAATCAAAACCTGGAAAAAGTGACGCAAGAACTCGAAAAGACTAAAAAACTTCGACAAAATGGCGAAAATCTGATGCAAAATCTGAGACAAGAAGTCGAGCTTAAGAACAATGAAGTGAAGAAACTGACGGAAGAATCGATTCAATTGCGAACTGAGAATCAAAATATTCAGATCACAATGAATCAGTTGAGGAAAGTCGGCAGAAAGTATAAACAACAATACGACGAACTGAAGATCCAATTCGATCAGTTGCAGACCGAATGTCAACAGTTGAAAGTCAACCAAACCATTAGTACAACAATTAGTGAACCAATGGATACACAAATCAATGAATTGACGCAAAAAAACGAGACATTAATGTCTGAAATTCAAGAAAACGAAAAACAAATTCAAAAACTAAACACAGATTTAGCGCAAGTGATTGACGAAAGAGATGTGGCCAAAGGTCAGGCCCAGGAAAAGGAGGAAAGGGCGAAGAAGATTGCATTTCAGGCCAAACAACGATTGTCTGCCATTTCTAGTGAAAAGAATATGATTTCCAAAGAAAAAGAAATACTGGAAAAAAGTGTCGAAGAATTGTCGGCAAAAGTGAAACAATTTGAGCAAAACTGCGAAGAAAACGATTTACGAATGGCGACAATGAAGAGTCAGTTCGAGGCAAAAGCGCGAAGAACTGAACGCGAACTCACGGAAGCGCTCAAACAAATGGAAGAACTCAAAAACAAACATCAAAACCAACCGACCATTGCTTCCAATGTTCAGACAGTTCAGAGCACTTCAGTTCATACGGCCGCACAAACCACAAATCCAGTCCGACATCAGGTTCTGCCGCAAGCGGCGACTGTTCAGCCGCTGAGTGTGAAGTCGACTCCAATGGCGAGTATTAGACCTCTAGCTGTGGCGCCAACTCTTAGAAACGGACGAAACCCGAGAACTGCAACCGTGGCAACTGTCCAGCCGACCACTGAAGACCAGAATTTGCATCAATCAGTTCCGCAAGCGACGGTTCATCCGACACAAGCATTCAATACGCCATTAGTTTCGACTCAAGAACCGGAAGTCATTGTTTCGCAAACCGAAGAACAAATGGAAACACAAGTCATCGAAGAAGCAGTGGTCACGAGTCAAGACAATGAACCAATTGTCGAAACGATTAATGTCGAAGAAGAACAGCAAAGAGAAGAACCACTTCCACCACCATCAACATCATCATCATCAAGGGCCATTGTTGCCAACATACGCARCGAACCGACGCTCTCAGAACCGACCACTTCAAAGGTCAGTATTAAGAGGACGCGCGTGACTTTTGACGAAACACTAAACACAAAGAAAGCAAAAACAGAAACCGAAGAAAGCATTGAATCCGAAGAAATTCAATCGAAAAAAGTCGAAGAAGAAGAAGACGATGACGTCATTATTCTAGAAAGCGATTCCGAAGAAGAACCAAAAGAAGATGTCAACGAATGCGAAGACAATATCGACGACGAAGAGGCAGACGATGAAGAGGAAGATGACGAAGAAGAAGATGAAGAATACGATGAAGAGAATGAAGAGAATGAAGAGAATGAAGAGAATGAAGATGAAAATCAAGACAAAAGTTTTCCCGAAGAAAACGAAGAATACGTTGTCGACGAAGAAGAGTCTCATTATGAAGATCAACCAATTGAAGAACATTCAGAAGCCGGCAGTGAAAATGAGAATCTGGAAGATGTCGGTGTATCTGATGACGTACCCGAAGGAGAGGTCAACGAAGATGTCGAACAACAACCGCAACAGACAGTTGTCAGCGAAACAATGAGTTCTTCAGAAACAGGTTTGTCATTGAATTCAATTGAAAGTTGTTTAATAGAACCAAACGTTTGTTGTTCAGAACCGACGGTTGATTCGACTTCAGTTCCATCTGTTGTCACAACGGAATCGAATCCATTCATTCAAATCCCGACTCCTATTCAGCGTCCGTTCGGTTCGACAAACAGACAGTCGTTTTTTCTAAATCAGACGCAACAGAACGCATACGACGAAGGAGACGGAATAGTTCCGAGTACTCCCACTCTGTTTGTTCCGCGTCGTGGCGACGGATTCATTGATTCCCTAAACTCTCCACGTGTTCCTCAGGCAAGGTTTGTCTTTAGTTCAAACATTCCCGAATCGGTTCCGGTCTCTCAATTGGCGACAGAGACCACTCTGGGTGTTGACGACACGCGAATGGATTTATCGCAATTCGACGACAATAACGGCCGAAGCCTTCCATTGACTAATTCCGGAGAAACTTCGGGAACTCGGAGTTTGGATATTGAAGTGGATTCGGATCCCAATTTCGCAATTGATTCCAATCTAACAGAAACTGTAATTCCGACCGAAACTGAAAGCGATTCCAGTGTTTTGGAAATTGAAAAAARTGCCGAAGATTTGAATGAATCGGAAAACAGTCAGAAATCGGAAGAATCGCAACAAATCGGCGGAAATCAGACTTTGAATCAATCAATGCCTTCCACTTCTTCTTCTTCTATAAGCTCAGTTCAGCCAAGTTCTTCAGCTCAAAGAGGTCATCCAATGGCTCGAAGAGGAGGTGTTATAGGATTGCAAAGAGGAGGTCTCTTAAGAAGACCTATTATGGCACCAAAAACGCCTCAATTTCCATCAGATGTCCCGCAAAACAGACCTTTGTTGCCGACTCCGGGTTCGCAGGACTTTCAACAACAACCTCAACAACAACAACAACAACCACAACAACAGCGCAATCAAAGACTGAACAAATTCGGAGGACGCGGCAACTTTAGAGGACGTCCGAGTCGAGGCACGGGTCGTGGCGGTCGTGGAAGTGGTTTTCATTACAATAACTGATGTTTTGATATATTTTTAGAGTATTTGTTGTCTTAAAAGTTGAATTAATTGAGTCTTTGATTAATTGAAATACAATTTTATGTAAAAAATAAAGTATTTATTCTTAATTCGTTACATAAGGAGAACAATAACCGGATTTGTTTAAATCATACCAAAGGCTATAATAGCGCTGTTCGGCGATCGACAACAGCGATCCTCTGTTGACTCCCTGGTCGGCCAGAAGTCGGCGWCCGGCCGGTGTTTCCGGAAGAAACGTCGGTTTGGGTAAAGGCAGACACTGTTGATTACAATCTCCCACTTCTTCGAAAGTGCTCAACAAGTTGCTTGTATTGCCGTTTTGGAATCCCGAGTAGTATTTGGCCACAATCCACGGCTGCATGCGTTGAATGGCTCGCGGCAACGGATCGGCCTGGCCTTTGCTGGCTCTGACAACTGGACGGACAACACTATCGGGAATAACACACAAATTGCCAAAACCTAACCAAAAGAGYTGTTTGATTGAAACGTCTGGAACTCCGGTCAGAGTATCGGTGTTGATGTCTGCCTGTTGAATGGCTCCCGTTTGCGGATCAAATCGGGTGTTCAATAGATTATAAGACAAAGGCGTGAGATTTTCTTGTTTAGATAATTGCCATTTAATGCCTCGAACTTCGGTTTCACACAAACTCTTCATATAAAACAAAACACTGCGAAATCAAAACCAATTAGTGATTGAATTGTTCTCTAAGTCTAAACTGTTTACTCATAGGGAGCGTCTTGTTTGGAGAACTGTCCTTCATATCCGCCGGCATTAATCAACGGCTGGTAATAGATTCCAATATAAGCCAAATAAAACAGTTCGTAAAGAGTTCCGTAATGCAACAGATTTGTGTCCAATTCAGGCGAAGCCCACGGATAGATGGTTCCACGCGGACTCCAATGCCGTTTCACACACGGAATCAAACCCCACGTGTTGTAAACGCCGTCTCCCACGCAATATCCACCCGGATAACTGCCATTGTGACCGAAAGTGTCCCAAACTATGGATCTTTCGGGATGCGCGGCTGCAGGCCACGGACACTGTCGCGAGAGACGATAAGTGATATATGTATTGTAGATTSATAACAAACCCAATAAGGAAGAATGACTCCTGGATCAATCTGTTGCATTGCACTCTCCAACTCGTAAGCCAACCATCTCTGCGCCAAAAACAGTTCTCCGGTCTCGTGCCAGGCCGCCCAATACCGGACGTAAGTGTCGGTCAAATTGGCAATGACTCCATTGGTGTAGAGCTGTTGGAAGTCGTTGACAATGCGATTCCTTTGAGCGACAGTCAAACACTTCCAATCGCGACGAACAGTAATGGCTGAACACAATTGCACCGAATTGTCCGGTTTTATGTCCGCCAAAGTCGTGTACGTTGTGTTCAAATAAGTCAGAACTGTATTCAAGTCATTAGCGCTGAACTGAGTCGGTTGGTTACAACGCCGGTAAATGTTTCGGTTGCATTCGGCGACACTCGGACCGGGAGGCGGAGTCGGCGTCGGCTCGGGAAACCACGGCTCTCCTCTGGCCTCACCTTCTTCTACGAAATTCAAGTTCAGTTCAAAAAACAAACAAATCTTAACAATAAATACCTAAATATGATTCGTTTGAAAATGTTTTTGAAATGAAAAATACTAAAAGACTTAATAAAAGACGAGAAATGGTTTTCGATAACATTTCTTGCTTTAGATCTCCTCTAAAGTCGAAAACAAATCAAACAAAATCTGTTAAACTATTTTTGGAAAATAAATCACAGATTTTTTTTTGTGCTAACCTTTTATACTGCAATCAAATGGTTGACCGAAAAAAGTGTGCAAAAATACATTAAAGTCTATTGACATCGACTTACAAATCGACTACAAATCTGCTAACTATTAATGCAATACWTTATTAGCTTAATATTCAACTCAAMTAAAGGTATAAATTCTAATTACTTTATCATTGTTTCTATTATTCATTTGACTCTCAATTCAAATGATATTTACTCTTATTTTTTTAAAAAAAGTTTATATAAATTGCTAAATATTAAGTATTTCTCTGTATTTTATCTAATGATATATAATTGCAAGAAATAATATATATTTTCGCATCATTTCTATCAAAGAGAACATTAATTTAAAAATAGTAAAAGTTATAAATTAAGATTCATTTAACTAAATAAATATAAATTTTTTGGAAAAATATTTTATTGTTTTAATGTAATTAACATTTAATAAGAATAAATAGTATTTATATCTAACTTAAAGTTATATTTAATTATTAGAATATAAGTAAACAAATGTTAATCAATGAATAATTAATTTGAATTTATGTCTCTTTAATTGCAAATTAAAGTATGAATTAAAATAAGTTCCAAATATATATAATATTATAATAAAAAAATGTGTTTTACAAAAATCTGTTATAAAAACAACTTTTAACACTTGCTTTAATGTTTAAAACTGTTGTTACCTTAACTACACGTCTGTTAACCCTTAACTACACATCTATAGACCTGTCGGGACTCAATATAACCCGATTTCTGTCGTGTTTTCTATTTATATGAAATATCTATTATTGAATCACAAAAACAATTGACTTTTTGTTACAATTTTCTATTCATAATTGTATTTAAAGAATAACTGAATCGACAGTCAAAGTGCTCAACAATAGACTAATATATTGTGCAAATCATTCATTGATTTCACATTTTTTTAAATATTAAAAAACACTTTCAATTCATTTATTCACTGTTTTTATTAAATTTTTAATAATAGAAATTCAGTGAWAATWAATTTTGGGAAAAATTCATTTATAATCACTTTAATCGCGTCGTCTTATATCGATTTCAGTTTGAACTTAAAAATATTATAAATTATTAGATTATTAAATAATTAGAATTTGATCATGCTCATTTAGATTTAAACAACATTTAGTATTTAAGACTATTTCTATAAAAACTAAAATTATGTATAATTTAATATGTTTTACTAATAAGTAATTTAAAACAAAACTATAGATTATTTAACTAAAATTGTTATTATTTTAATRAATGAAATCATAAAATTCATACATTTTCTGAAAACAATTTGTAATTTACAAAGAATTTTCAAWTTTTATTACAAATAATATTGAAATGAAATTTTAATGTTTTTTATAATAAATTTTGTATTAATTTATTCACTAATAATTCGTTAATTCATTAAAGTATTTAAATAATTCAAGATATTTGAGCTAAACTAGAGTCTAAGCATGATTATGCTTTATTAATACTGTTATAAAACTTATGTTTTATTTTATTTAGTATTTCAAAATCAAAATACAAAGTTATGGACAAAAACGATGACATTAATAACAACAGTATTGTTCGGCCGTTTGATTGCATTAAACCGATATYTGCTAAACAAAAATTGCGGTTAACTATTGATAGCAATGTTTGCGATCGTGTTTTGACATCTTTTTCTGAACCAATTATACAGACAAGTGATCCACAGTTTTCTCGAGTATTTTCTCTTACTTTAAGCCAAAACCAAATTTTTAAAATTTCAATATTTTATGACTAAAATTGCAGATTCTTAGAGATATTTCGGACGGAATTCGTTATGTTTTTCAGACTAGAAATCGGTATTCATTGGCCATCAATGGGTCGGGAGTGTCGGCAATGGAAACCATTGTCACAAACATAATGCAATCGAAACAAACATTACTAGTATTAGAACACGGAATACCTGTTCTCGATATGACCACAATTGGAGAAACTCATGGATTCAAAGTCATCGAATCAAACGTTAGACAATTTGGTCACGTCTTTGATTTAAGACATATCAAAGGTTTGTGTAAATTAAAAATATCAATAAATATCAATMAAATTGTTTTCAATTGATTTAAAGATGTCATCGAAACACATAAACCGAATGCGCTGTTTATAAGTCACGGAAACTCAAGTATTGGAACACTTCAACCGCTCGAAGGCATCGGACAGATATGTCATGAAAACGGGTGTCTTCTAGTAGTAGACGTCAGTTCATCGGTTTGTTGTTCATCACTTAATACGGATCAACTGGCAATTGATGTGATATTCAGTTCGTCTACAAAAGCACTGTCATTACCGCCGGGACTGTCTATCGTTAGTCTGAGTGACAGAGCTGTCAATTGTATGGAAAGTCGCAAATTTGGTTCAAATAATATGAATATTCTCTTAATGGCAAAGACTTGGGGTTTGACTGAACACAAAATCAAGAATAAAATGTATGACTTTTTGCCTCCATTTCCACTATTGAATGGACTGAAAGAGACTTTGACAATGATTGCTGAGGAAGGACTGTTGAATGTCATAGAAAGACATAAAATTATCAGTTTATCTCTTGAACATCACATCATTGCTTTGGGTCTCAAGTTTTTGGTAGAACTGAAGCAAAACAGGATTCCTGGGATCACATCTCTAGTTATTCCCAAAAATATCAACAGTGATCATCTGATTCGGTATATAAGCGATAAATATAATGTCGAAATATCGTCGACAACAGAGTCGAGAATCGGCCAAATTTGGACAATCGCTTTGTTCGGCAGTAATGCCGACCATTTGTGCGTCACTTTCTTATGTCAAGCCTTGAGAGAGACTTTCAATAAATTCATTGAAATTAATCAAAATTCAATTCACTCTTAAACTTATTTAAATAAAGAAAACAAAAAATTTACTTAATTTACAAGTTTTTTATTTCTTAATTTACTATAACTACAAAATTCTAAAAGTTTTTATGGCCCGTGAGGGGATCGAACCCGCGACTTCCGCGTTATTAGCACGGCGCTCTAACCAACTGAGCTAACGGGCCTATTGACTAATTGCAGATTAATTAGTAAATCACAGATTAAAATACTGTATATTGTTTCATAGAAATCAAATACTTTAAAAAAAGTGTCTGTGTGTCTGTGTGTCTGTGTGTCTGTGTGTCTGTGTGTCTGTGTGTCTGTGTGTCTGTGTGTCTGTGTGTCTGTGTGTCTGTGTCTGAGTGTCTGTAAATTTCTGTCTTTCAATTTGCGAATTTTGAAAATTCGAATTTCATATTCGGTTAGAACATCAAAAAATAATRTATAGAAAAATCTTACCAAAAATGAAATCTTTTCAGTAACGGACAAAATGGCGGCCAAAATATTAAAGTTTTCTATTTTTATTATGGATTCTTATATAAACTTCTAAACTATTTGATTATTTATTTTATTGATTATTAAATGACTTTGAATTTATGAACTGAAGGTTACCAGAAATGAATATATTTGTAATAATATGACGAATACTAACAAATATTATAAATTTAATCATTTATACGATTTATATGTATTCTTAACCGTTTTTAAGTAAACTATATTTCATTTTAGTAATGAATTTGTCATTTTATTATTTATACGAATAATTTACGCCATTAAAGCTTGTTTCTGGCAATGCTTTCTAGCATTCTCAACTTGTTTARTACTTTAATGTAATTTAAAATTTGTTTTTTAAAACTACAGTTTAAAAAATGAATTTAAAGTTATAAATAGTGTCTTTATATTACATTATGATAGACAATGACTAAAATTAATACAAAGTTACAGTTTATATGTTTGTAAAAACTATTTCTATTTCAACATATTTTATAGTAATTAACAATAAATATTAAACAATAACATGAATATTAAAAATATTTAATTTTGATAAACATTTCTATAAAAACGTTAACAAATTTTCAAAACTATTTACAGTATATATTAATTCAACCAAAACTATAATCAAAGAAATATATTTTTCAAACAATTTTTGTCAATACTGTGACTCCTTTTAAATGATTTCAATATTTTCTAATTATTTTCCTTTTATTAACAATAATTAAATACAAGTAATAAATAATTTTAATTAATTAAAAAATAATAAATATATGATTAATAAATACAAATCGATTGAATAGTAAATTAATAAATATTATACAAAACTATTAAATATACAGTTAATGTAATTTCAATATAAATACAGTATTTTTGTATTAAATTTGTTCAATAAATAAGTGATTAAAATATAAGCAAATATACAAAACGCAGTTTAGGCGCGTGACACGAGCTTAACATAAACGCCGTTTTTAGGCGAACATGTGATCAGTTTAAAGTCGCGTTCAATTTGTCCACTTTCGGTATGCGGACCAGCGGTCAGCGCATACTTGTGCAGAATATACGCCAAAATAAGCTTAACCTCCAGTAAACCGAATCTCTTTCCCGGACACACTCGAGGCCCGACACCAAACGGTTGGTAGACTATTGGGTCGATGTTAAGACTTTTGTCGAGAAAGCGGTTTGGATCAAATCGGTTCGGTTGTGACCAGTATTCTGGATCTCTGTGCAGTTGAACAGTTGGCACTCGGATATCGACGTCTTTCGGTATTACAATAGATTTGTATTTGTAATCAATTTTCGACATTCGACTCGTGAATATGGTATCCGTGGGATAAAGACGGAAACTCTCATTAATGACGGCATCCATCACTGGAAGACCAGTCATAACATTGAACCCAAAGTTGTCGTCTTTTTCATGCAATTCGCAGATCTCGTCGTAAACTTGTTGTTGAACTTCTGGATGATTCACCAGATTGTGAATAATGAATCCCAAGATATTTGCCGGACTTTCGTAGGCGGCCTCATGCAAGACCACTGTATTGGCGATGATCTCGATGTCGTTCAAAGTCTTATCGGTGTTTCCTTTGCTATTGTTTCTCACTTCTAACATCATTTCCAATAAGTCTTTGCGCTTCATATCCAACAGTTTGCAACTGTTTTTCAGATTATTGTTTTTGTCGACCATTTTCTTCTTGTTCTCCATAATTGCCAACCGATTTCTTACAATGGTTTCTCCGGCCCTCCACAGCAGTCCATGACTAGTACTTCCGAAATAATCCCAAATAGTTTCGCAGACGTCTCGTATGACATTAATAATGGGCGCAAACTCAGGCAAACATAGCAAAAGTGAGGCCAAGAAGTTATGTTTGGGACGAATGTTGAAGACTCCTCGGGTGGCCTCAAAAAACACATTGTCTTTGGGTTTGTCCTGTATATCAGTGGTTACACTAAAACCAGTTCTGTCGACAATATCAATGGTTGTGGTTTCCATTCTCTCATAAATATTGAATTCTTCATTTTTGTCGGCGTTTTCATCGATTTTTCTCATCATATCTTCGACACATAAGTTAATAACAGGTGTATTGGACTTTAGATGCATTGAACTAAACCACGGACTCAAAAGTGTTCTCATTTTTTTCCATCGTTTTGCGTCCACTCGAGTCACCTAATCATCAAAATTCAAAGATTCAAAGATTCAAAGATTCAAAGATTCAAAGATTCAAAGACTGAAATTGACTAAAAATAGCCAAAAAATAACTTACCATTTGATGATATTTCCAATTATGATAAATACCGCCGGGAATGACGTACGGTCTCTTTGTGAAGTACTGGAAGTCTTTTATTTGAATCAATTTCAACAGTTCGGGATCAGTGACCACAATAAACGGTTTTGCGCCCAAATAATAGCCAAATACGCGACCGTATTGTGATTTCCATTTMTCAAAGCATTCATTATATCCAAACTCATTATATTCAGTCATATTTCCAAACAATAGATTGGGTTTCGGTCCGGGAATGCCATGTCTTTCCAARTATGACATTCGCTTACAGCGCTGGTAATAAAATATTGCCAAAGCTATACATGTCAACCCTATTATCAATAACATTATCAATAATTAGATTTTATAATTGACTTATAGTTTAAGTTAAATGAAACTAAATTATAAAAAGTTTTCGTTGAGTTTATATAAGAAATTTCATTCAAACAACTTTGTACTAAAAGTTGTAATAATTTGTGATTACATTTGATAATTGTGTGAAATAACCGGCACTGATATGCCTGACAATCAAAAGAGTTTATGTTTTTTGATTCCGTGTATACTATAATAGATAATTGTGTAATGTTAGCAAGGTAGTTAATATCAAAATAATATTAATCAACTTTATTGAATTACTGATTAGTAAAAGTAGTGATAAGTGGTCTCAAAATAATTTAAAATAATTTAAAATAATTTTAAACTATTGTTAATTTTTCGTAGATTTGTTGGGTTATACTCTACTTGACCTTTGACTTTAACTAAATTATTATTATTATTATTATTATTATTATTATTATTATTATTATTATTATTAATTATTATTATTATTATTATTATTATTATTATTATTAATTATTATTATTATTAATTATTATTATTATTAATTATTATTATTATTAATTATTATTATTATTATTAATTATTATTATTATTAATTATTATTATTATTATTAATTATTATTATTATTATTAATTATTATTATTATTATTATATTTAATACAACAGATTTTATAAATAATTGAATGCATTGACAGCTAATCCTTTACTTTCTTAATTAAAACTATTATTGTATATATATTTACATTAATAATGATAAAAAAGTCTGTGATTTAATACATTTGTTACATAAAACCAATAACATTGATAACATATAAGGACTACAGTTTTGAAATTAAAGTTTTGTAACAGTCCTTTACAGAGCTTTATAATAATTTGTTTGAATGAATTTATACAGTAGTTATACCGTATGTTTTGATAAATTATATTTTGTTTTTATAAGATATGCCTATTTAGTTGATAAGCAATAGATAATAATTACTATAAAGACCTAATCAAACGTTTTCCTCAATAATTTAGAAATTTCTATATATTAGTGATATTTTAAAATATTCACATATTTTATAATTATTAAATTTATGAAATAAAAAATAGTTTTAAAATTTGTAGTGAAAGTCAATTATCAACAGATATAATAAAAGAACTAAAAAGTTGAAGGAATGGAAAACAAAAAAAGTTCAGAAAAACTATCAAAAGTTTTCATGAAAATAAATTAAAGAAATGTTAGACTTTTGATTCATTGACTATTAAATAACATTTGAAGACAAAAGATGTGTGTAATCTGTTTAAGGTTTATATAATTTCACTTAACAATGGGCTATAATAGGCTTAACTTCACAAATATGTCAAAATATGGTAATATTTTTTTTAATATTAAATTTTAACAAATTTATAAAATGGATTTAAAGAGTTAATGAACTATTATATTCATTCAATAATTATAGAAAATTTCAAAATTGTCCAGGGTAATCAAAAAGTCAAATTGTCACTATAATGCAATTCTCATTATATAATTAAAGTTACATTTAAACTAAAAAGTATATACAGTATAAACATTAAGACATAAATAAAAATACAATTAAACTTTTGTATAATATTTAATTTTTTAATAAAAATAATTAGTAAAAGTATTAATAAAGTTATAACATTTGTTTATTTACATAAATAATAATTAATTATAAAATCTTTATGAAAACCTTGAAATTGTTATAAAAATATTTATATATTTATCTAAATTATTAAGAAATTTTCCGAATGTTACAAAATATCAGTAAATTCTCGAATCTCTATTTGTTATGAATTAACAAACAATTATTACGAGAACTCTGTGAGGACTAAAGTCCTTAGTATTTAATGTATTAAAAAGTATCACTTATTTTGACAGTTAAGACAATATTTATATATTTTTAATTAGAAATGTTAGTCTTTTATAATTAGAAATCTTTATTATATTTTAATTTATTTGTTTCGTTAATTATAATGTGAAAGTAAAAAATAACTAAAAAACTACACAAAATATTATATTCAATAGTTGTCGAGATAACATTAATAAAGATTTTTAGTAATAATAAAATTAAGATATGTATTGATAATAGTTTTAATTRTAATATTGTAAATTTTCTTTTAGTTTAAATACAATAACTTTTTAAGAATAATTAATAATTAGTAAATATTTAAGATATAAAGTTTAAAATTATAGCATAAAATGATATACAGTATGATTATGTTTATCTATCYATGCATTTTGAAAAAACCATTGAAATGCATTGAAAATGCTTTTATTCAATGCATTTACAAATAAATATTATATAATATTTAAAACAATATAAGTAAATGAAAAATAACTCATTTTTAAAACTTATTTAACAGTTATTATTCTGAACTAAAGTTTGACTGAAAATAGTGTTTATATTACAACAAATGTTGTGTTATTCATATGTTTTATAAGAAATGAGTGAACTCTGTGGTGATATAAATCCTATTTCTGGTGGAATCGATGGCAAATCCAAAGGTAAAGGTTGTGGTAATAATGGATTCTTTGATATRCAATCATATGAAGTCTCACTCATATTAATGGCATCGGAAGGCAATAATATGTCATCAAATGAACACAATTTTTGTGGAAAGACATGATTTGGTTGGACATCTGGATCAGTGGTCAACTCAATCAAAGGTGATTCGCAATTATTATACTCTTGACTCTCGTTTCCTGAAATTTTGATGTTTAGCGGTGTTTGCAATACATGTTTGTAATAATGGATTGTCTGTAACGCCGTATTCAGTGATTCTTTGATTTCTTCGAGTGATTTCTCAATTAAACGGATTTTGTTGTTGACTTCAAAAGATTTGTATTTTATTGTTTTATTTAACTTTAACAACCATTGACTGGCATTTACCACATATTTTTGGTCGACAATGAATTTTTGTTTGCATTTATCTAAATAATGATCCATTTGTTGGATCCATTGTCTGACCATTGTTTCGGTATTGATATCATTTATCTCATGTTTGAATTCAATCTCAATCTCATTCGTTAATAACTCTATTCTTGTGGCAAAACTTTGTTGAATTTGTTTATTAATTATCTTAATATATGACTCTAAATGTGAATCATTAATCAATTGCATAATATTTTCATCCATAAGTCTTGAATGTGTTAAACGAAATAGCTTTTTCTTAAAAAATAGTGTGAATACAAAATATAAATTTGTATTAATTGCTGAAAATTTAAATTTGAAAATACGTTACATTAAACTGTAAGTAAACACTTAAATATTATTACGAATATCGTGAATATTTTTGAAAATTAATTTATTCTTTATTAATTTTAAAAAATTAAATTACAAATTACTGTGTATTTTGTTTATACAAATAAAACRAAAATTATATTATATTAATTAATAAATTATATATTCATATAATCAAATTATTTAATTACAATTATACTATACATTAATTATATACAATGGTTTAAAATTATGAATAATATACTTTTATATTTACAAATTGTTTTCATATAAAAATCATTTAATTCTGTTTTTGTTTTTTCAAATAATTTATAATTTTATAAATAAATAAATTAATAAAAACAAGAATCATTGCTTTTAATATATATAATATTTATTCTGTTATATAATCACAAATTATACTCTAGATTCTTGATTCTTAATGATAATAATAACTTATTGTTAAACAATTTAAATTACATTTTAATTTTTCAACTTTTAATTATCTAATAAAACAATAATTCGTTTCAATTTATATTTAAAATGTTATAAATTATTTTATTATACTTTACTGATCTAATTAATGTAAAATACCGTTACTTTTATTTAGTAAAATGAAGGCACAGATATTTAAAATTTAAGATATTATAATTTCAATCTTATGTCTAATTAATTAATTTTTATAATTATATATAGTATTTTGCATACTAATTAATAATTATTAGTAATTATTACAAATATGTAACTATTAATAGTAATTAATTGTAATTAAATTTCAATTTTAAGGCTTCAATAATTTAAACGAATTGTTGTTTTGTTTAACAAAGTTTCATATATTGCTAACTTATAATTATAATTCAAAAATTAAAAAAATTAATAAAAGTGTATTTAACATGACTTAAGTGAACAAATTATCAGATAATAAATACAAAATAAATTATTTAAATATTAAGTGATATGAAAAATAAAATTATGAAAAAATGATGAAACAATTAGGAATTCAATTCATTGTTATTTAACAATAAAACAATAAATATATAACACAATCAAACAAAACTTGTTATATGAAGTGTTTGTTTACTAAAACTTGTAATTTATAAGATTAGCAAACTTTTGAACGGATTGTTGTGTTTGCGGATCCCTTTGCAAAGCGTCCATAATTTCCGAGTTATATTTGACTGAATAAACAAATAGCTCTTTGAGGGCACAAATAATGTCAAACTCTCCCGTATGTGTCTATAATTAAATCATTTAATTAATAATTTTAATTCTAATATAATAAACAATAATAATTACCAGAGAAAGACATTGCATAACTGCGCCCAACTCCTGGTCAGTAACGGCTGGCATAAGAGAGACGTCAGAATAAAACTTACTGACCATTACTTTATAGTTTGGAATATCTTTGGCAAACAATAGTTTGTTTGATGGAGAGTCCTATCAAATAAAGTTTGTTTTATTGAATATCAAAGTTTACTAATAATATTTAACTCAATTATGACATACCTTTCCTAAACGGTGTTCTGTTGTCGAACAGGAGTCCATCAAAGTCTGTGCGATCACTGAAAGACTTGAATCAATTGTTGGCGTTTTGTTGATGTCAAGTATGAAATCGGGATTTTTAATAAAATTAACCCAAAATCTCAGAGGAAGACAATTAGATTTCCAGGCGTGAAGAACTTCGGGATCTGTGATCTGGTGTTTGACTGCCGCCGCGTCCAACAAATCGAAAACCCATTTAACGGCAGCTAAACAATTAAACAATTAAACAATTAAACAATTAAACAATTATAAAATAACTAAATCTCAAAATAACTCAAAAATCTAATGATAAATACCGGGAAGTGTTTCATTGGCCGACAAAATGGTTAAGAAGAAGTCGTCGACGTATTTCTGAACCGTTCCTTTTGTAGACAAAAGTCTCGTAAGGAATATCTCGGGTATGGCTTTGTGTAGAAGAGCCGTATCTTTGGTATCTAATGAGTCATCGTTGGGTTTCAATAGATGCCAATATCGATCGGTATCGATATCGGTGCTAATAAACGGACTTTTGTTGGTAATAATAGGCGACAATGAGTTCCGAGTACTGCAAGACATATAACTATCTGAAGACTGTTTCATCACCAAAGACATAACCCCCCAATTCTTGACTCCGTAATGTCTTAATGTGTTAATTCGCTGCCATCCGTGCTCTGATTTAGTGGTCAAATCTTCGTCTTGAAGAATAAGATGACCACCTCTTCCATGTCTCCATTCAAGATCCACGTCATGAATAGATGGTCTTAAAGAGAAGGGTGTGTTCTTATAGAGTGCGTCCAAAAGTTTGCCCTTTACTTGACTAATGCTATCACAATCATTAACCCGACACAAGATCTTGTCGTTTTCATTTTCCTGAAGATATCAATCAAATTAATATCAAATAATTGAAAACAAGACTAAAAGACAATTACCTGAAACACTTGAATAATGATCTGTTCGTAATCCGAATAATGTTCCCGAAGTAGTCTTTCCTCAGACAATGAATATCTGGCGTCGTGTGTGACGGCATCGATGGGTCCCTTCTCGACCTGTCTTTTAATAGCCGTAAACAGAAGAAACAGTTGAGAACCGGCCTGTTCTCGCACGTAGTCATACATCGATAGCGCCAACCAATTAGTCAACATTTTTTCAACGACCGATTCGGTACGTCTGAGCATTAGTTGCGGGTGTTTTGAGGACACACTCTTATCCACCAATTGATACAACAATGTCCTCAAGACATCAGTTGCGTAATCCATGCGTTCCATTAGTATTATCATTAAAAGTGAGGCAACGTTGACACTAAAAGACAAAAAGATATTAAAATAATTGAAATCTATATCAGAAGTACAATACATACCGATCTCTAATACTGAATGTCTTAGAGGTTTCCAATACATTAATAAATGTCAAAAGGAAAGTCTTGTTGTTAAGTAGTTGTTCGAACTGAGCCATTGCCAGCTCATAGATATTGTAGGCACCGTTGGTTCGGATACGAGTGCATTGAAATAAAGGGTGTTCAGTAAGACCCGGGAAAAAGACTTTCATTACATAAGTTCTGTGATCGAGAGTCGGTATACCCATTGATACCAAGTCATTGGTCAGGTCTGTCATATCGGTCTGAAGTTCGGCAAATGCTTGTTTGCATTCGGATCGGACACTGTTCTCCAGAGTATCCATTTGCATCTGAATCCGTTTGTATTCACGTTCAGCTTGAGATGATTTGTGTCTCATAATAGCCAACGAAATCAATACAAAGAGTATTAATGCAAGCGATGAAATAGTAATGACAACAATAGCGATTGGAGGCAATTCAGATGACTTGACCACTTCGTATTGCAGATAACCGATTTCGTAGCGCAAGTTTGTGCCAACCTTTACCACAACCAGTGGTAATGCAGTCGGTGTTCGGCGACCAATTTCATCAGTCCCATCGGGTTGAACCTCAGGAGGCAGACAAACCAATTGTGTTGCGGCCAATGATGTTAGGTTACACAGTTTAGACCCAATTGTGACGTTAACTTCGGACTCAGTGCTGGCCAATCGCAGGTTTTCGCCTTCAATCACCAGAGACTCTCCTTTATATAATTTGAGTCCTTCGTCAAAACCAAAGAACTTCGGGTCCTGAACGTAACCGAGGTCCGAATGAACGGTCGGGAAATTTGTGGCCAATTCTCTAACAGTATTGACCGCATCCATAATAAAACCAACTCTAAGTCTGATGTCATCCGACACTTCGTTTGTGTTCAAAGAGGACACCAAAGACGAGGCGTCCAATTGTTCTCTATTCAAGATATCGACCTTTTGTGTGTTAACCGGAGGCGACGGACAAACCATTTGAGAACCAGATATCACATCRCAGGCACTCTCGTTAAGAACATTGCCGTCGGTGCCAAAGATGGCGAGTCTTGGTTGTTGTATTGAATCCAAATTAGATCCAACAATAGTGACAGTTCTTCCTCCAGACATATAACTCTTAAGTGGATAAATACGTAAAATTGTGGGATCGGGTACATAACGGAATGGTCGGCCTAATGTTAGGGTTTGATTGTCTATTTTGACAATCAAATTGCGAACTAAATATTGACTGGATTTGGATGCAGTGGTTCGACAACTTATTTGTGTTGAACTGACTAACATTTTATCGACAATACATGGAAAGTAATCCAAATATATTTCCAAATTTGAACCAATATTCAAATTAGATCCAGTTATGTAGATTCTGGTGCCACCAGAATGTGGTCCAATATTTGGATGCGAACCCACCAGTTCCGGCACATCGTATCTGAATTTATCTTTAGCTACGGTCACACCGGCCTTATTGCCGACCACTACATCAGCTAATAAGGGTTGAGGCACTGCACTCGTCCTATAATTTAACACAAATTAATACAAAATCATGTGATGTCTAAATATATTACACAAAAAACAATGACAAACCTGCAGATAACTCTGACGGAGACATTATGATTGATGGGTACACACGGTTGTCCACCGACACTGATTTTATCCTTAATTTCATTCAAATCTGTACCCAAATTGCTTCCTTCAATAGTGATAAGTGTTCCGCCACCAACAGGTCCCGACAATGGATGTATCCAATCAATTCGTGGCGGCGGACAAATCTTTGACACTGGTTCTTGACATGACTTGGTATAAGTGCATTGATTGCTACAGAAGCCACACTCGAAGGCACTGTTTAATGTCAGACATAGCGAACAATCAGCTCTTCCGTTATGAGCGCCCAAGAGATTACATTTATATATAGTGACTGTTGTGTCGGTTATAAGATATATGAGAAACAGATATAAAAATAATTTTGATTAATGTTTCCGTTTACTAATTAACTGTTTGTCTATAATTTAATTACCATTTGCTCTATCAATAAATGTGTCGCCGTTCCACATGACAGTCACCGATGCCTCCATTGATCCCAACTCTGACCGATAGGAGTACTAAATCACATAAATATAAACACAATTTAATATAATTTATAGCAAATTACAAATAAAAAATTAACTAATTTTACAATCAATCACTTTTGATATATTTTTAGAGTTATAAAAAGATATATAAATTTTGATAATTTTCAATATTATTTTTTAAATATTAAATATAAAAGCATAATATTTATCTTTAATGAATTATTTATTAATGAAATTACTTACAGCCGTTTCCGAGCAAACAATCCTATTATCTTCAACCCGAGCGCTCACCACTTGCTTTGAATCTTCAATATTGATAACACAGCGAAAACTTGACTAAAAATATTCAAATTTGTTAGCTAATCCTTAGTATAGTATTATTATTATTATTATTAGATTTAAATAACTATTTCAATTATCTATTAAAATGATACAGTAGTAAAAATATAGAGTATATGTAAATAAAAACATTATTCAATAAAATACTATATAATTGAAAATACATTAAAAGAAAAACCAAAAGAATAATAGTTTTATAAATACAAAAACTAAAGATATATATTATGTATGAATTCCTTTAGAATTTAAAAAGTTTTATTTATCGATAATAAAAAGTTCTTTTAGATTATAGAGAGAAACATATAATGATTTGAAAAGTGGTTTCGGAAATACTTGTATTATATATAGATTTTGGGAGACAATAGTCATAGTTAAGTGTTTCAAAAAAAAGAGATAAAATGTCTTTTTTTTTTTGCTTAACGTTAAGTGAAATTTCAAAATTATTTTTTACGTTCAAAGATACAAAATTAATGGTTGTGTTGAGTAGTTTTGAAAGTCTTTTCTATCACTTCTATCTAACATAAATGACAGTAAAGGATAACTAAATCTCAATAGATTTCGATGAGATTTTAAGACTTTAAAAAAAAATTTTTGGTCGTATTTTAGCAAAAATTCAATAAACAAAATAACATATTCAGATAAAAAATAAAATTGTTTAATATTTATTGTAAATTAAAATAAAACTCATTTTAATATTAGATTCAAAGACAACATGAGAATTGATGTGATTTTTACATGTCTTACATAAAAAAATCAATTTTAAAACAGTTTTTTTGTTAAGTGAATTGATGTAAATAATAACAATAAAAGCAATTGATTTTGTTTTATAAAAACGAAAATAATTCCGTCATTTGCTTGAATGGCCCGCAGATAATAAATAGCCATAACATGGACTGAGTTTGTCTAACTGTTTAAATATAATGAGAGCTTTAGCTATAAAAAAGTCAAACCTAAGAGACTAAAGTGATTACCAATATATAGATAATAATAAAAAGTAAACAACAAATGCTAACGAAGGCATAAACAGTCAGACAAATAAAATCGTAAATTCATGACTGAATGAGAGACAGTTTTGTTAATAGTATAGTAATAGCATATATATATGCATTTGGTTGTCAATCCTATCAAATAAATATTGTTGTCTTCAATCGTTTAAACATAATGTGACTCTTATTATGACATTAAATGGCGGTTTCTATCGATTCTTTAAAGAAGTCAAACAACAAGTCTTTTGTTGTTTTATTGTCATCGACTGACAGACAGTCCATGCAATCAATTGATAATATATTGGAGAAAGCATTTAGATGTATGTATCGGATCGTAGAGTTACTACTGTATGACAACAATCCATATCAAGTGCACCAAAATATTCAATAAAGTGTTCAACAAAACAAATACTACTTATAAGTACAGTAATTACACAAAACATTATATACATGTATTTCATGTTTCAATTAACTAAAAATTATTTAGAAATAATATAAAAATGTATTAAATATTTGGTAAATTAAATATATTGTTAACACTTTGTCTCATAAATAGCTGCCAATATATATATATTAAATATGTTATTATTTTTTATTATATAATAAAATATTGATTTTCAATAACTTTGAAATTTTATTTCTAAAATTTATGTATCAATATCAATTTATCATTTTATTTGACAATTTTTTTGGAAAAAATCATAACTAAAAATAAACTATTCGTAATGTTATATATTCCCATAAGAAAACAAATATATTATAAATTACACGAATTTTCAATAAAAACATTATTCAATGAAAAAATTGGGTCAACATGTCTTTAAATTTATAATACTATATTTAATTTTAAGTTAATTCTTTAACTAACACATATCTAGTTATAAAATAACAAAAAAAAATCCAAACTAATATTATAAAATTATAAAACCTAATACTCGAAAATCTATCTAAAAATAACAAAATGAAAAAACATGTCATACAATGCAATCAATAGGTATATATATATATATATATTTCTAGCTTTATATCTCCAATGTATTGAGAGGAATATTACAGTTAATAAATATATAAAATATAACTTAAAATAGTCTAAATCTAAATAAGTTTTAAAATTGATGTTTTTATCAGATGTTTGACTAAATTTAATAGAAATTCTAATCTATTATATTCTAAGAAATTCAACTTAAACTGTCTTATCATTGAATGCATTCTCACTAATGGACTCTAAAATAATAGACTATTTTTATTCAAACCCTTAAACTGTAAATAAAATTAAAAAATTGTCACGAATTATAAATAATATATTATATATAAAATATATAATGTATAAAAATTATTTGATTTAATAAATAAATCAATATTTAATATTTATAATAATTACATATTTTTCAAATGATAGTTTTGTTAGCAGATTTATTAAACGTGTTTTATCAAAAATATAATTGCTGAGAAAATTATTGAAATTACTAAAATAAATAAAATATTAAAAAAAAAAAATTGAAAATCCTATTAAATCTGACTATAAATTCTAGTTTACTTCAAACGAGATTTTAATTTAGTTAATGTTTTGTCTGATCCGTTGTTTGTTTTTGTTGTTAAATAATAAAGTAAAGACTGATTAAATTATAATCACAAATATAGTGGTTTTAAATATAGTATATATCTCTGCAAAATGCAAAAAATGTTGTTTTCGCGTAATATACTTAACATTTTATTACTCTTTAGACAATTAGATAAACAGCAGTCAAAACATAATCAAGAAAACAATAATATAGATATAAAAGCATAAAAGGAGTAAAATGACAATAAAGTATTATTTATTTAATTACATTATATTCAAAAAATAAACAAAAAAATAATTAAATGATCAAATTTTGTTTATATAAAGATTAAATTAAACGAATTAAGTGTATTATGCAAAGTAGTGCTTAAATAAATATACTTAAAAAATGATCCAAACATTATAAAACATGTAAAATTAAATCCTAAACAAAAAATAATAAAAATAAAACTATACAATGTCTAAGAATATTAAATAAATAACCAAATGGTTTATAAATACATTACCAAATAAAAAGATATTTTAAACGATTACTATTTGTTTTTTAAATATTTCCTTAAAATGACATTTTATTTATGTGTCTGTGTTTTGTCTATCATTTTCACTCCAATGGTTGTAAACATTGTATTATTTATTGTATAGTTTTATTTTTAAAATGATTAAAAAGTTTAAAAAATTAGTGTAATTATAATAAATAAAAAATGAAAAACATTTTATTAATAATGTAAATTAAAAATTTGATTAACGATGTCATTAATTAATTAAATCATTAATCACTAAAATCAAAACACAAGCAGACAAACCATGAAATTAAGGCTAATTATAAAGTGTTAAAATATAAATATATTTACAATATTATTATACATATACTGTATAAGTGTTAGTCGAGTACTTACATTATAGTCGGGCATATTCTTCACCGGAAGTATTATCTCTTTGGGAATACCATTTGGCAGAAGAATATTTCGTTTGAGATCAAAACTGGGACACAATTTCTGGTCGGATATTGCACTCATTGGCTGAGATGACAGGGAGGCGCCAGCACTGGATGATAACATCTGTACCAATAGTAAAAGATAAGTAGTTTTTATTATAATTATTTTTAATTAATTTATTTTTATGTCAATCATAATGAAAGTCATTATTTTTTGTTTATGTATTTTATTTTTAAATACAAAAATATAAGTGCTGTCAAAATGTTGGTGAAGTCATACCTTGACACTCGTGAGGGAACAGTTGTGCTTATTATCACTGCATTTGTTGTCGTTTGAACACCAATTGCACTGCCATTCACTTTGAACGCAATCCATACAACTGTTATTATAATTAATGTTAGTTTAAAATTAACAGAAATAATAATTTTGGTTAAATTTTATGAAACTTGTCGTACGTTTTGTGTGAATTGCAATCAAAAAATGCAAACTTTCGTTGAAGAAAATCAGTCTTAGTTTCTGATGAACGGACGGATAAGTTCACCAAAATATGATCTAATCCTATAGGTGTTTGTGGTCTCCAAGATACAGGTGGAGTACGGCATATAAGACCCGATTTGGTAGTCTCGGCATCAATAGGAGGTCCTTCACCAAACACGCACTGGTATTTGGCATTATGAGGCAATTTTGGCAATTGGTTTATCACTAATTCAACCTAAATATCCATTTGTTCAGCATTTGTGTCAAATAAACATAAATAGTTAAATATATAGATAATGGATGAACACATAGTTTTGTTAGTATGTCTACGACTATGGCATGTATGACATGTTTGCAGATCTTAAGAGACCATACAATGAGTTAATGAGTCCAACAAAAGTCATTTAATAAATCAATTGATTTGTTTTTGCAATARTTTTTTACTTATGACAAACAAAATTATAATTAAAGAATTGATTGAAATTAAATTCTAATACAAAGACTATATAAAGACTTATTGTATATAATTGTCTGAATTTTGAGTAATAATAGAAAATAATAGTTTTGTGTTTTCAAGTGCTAGTGTTATGGTTTGTGAGATGCAAATGTGATTGAAATATATGAAGTGCAATATGTATGGATAGTGTGTTAGAGTGGAAGCACTGTTACCTTATCGATGGATGTGATGGGCAGTGATTCCGGTTTGATTGATTGAAAATCAATGCACTGCTGAGTGTCAAGAGATAACCATCGAGACGATGATGAAGTCTTGTGGTCACGACATTCACCTTTTAGAGTACAACTGATATCCACATAAAAGTAATTTCAGTGTTATTAACAATTAATAAATTATATAATAATTTAATTTATAAAAATAATATTTATTGAAGAATGAAATAGAATTAATATATTTTTTGGTCATTGATTAGGTATATATTATTAAATATAAATTTGATGGCAAACTAAAGGAATGGTATGTTTACTGTAGAAGCAATAGTAGTGGTAGTCTTACCTCTTTTGCAGTGAACACCAGCCACAGTAGGGATTGCGAGCCTGAAGACAGTCACGACATGAACTGTAATGACCGCACCGTTCAATCGCTATTTTGCTGATCTGTAGACAAAATCAATCAAAATATAAATTTATAAAATGTTTAATAAATTATATACAGTAATAATAATCAAAGAAATTTTTTGATCAAAATTTATCAAATATATTAATCAATTAAGTTATCTCTTAAATAACAATTATATAAGAAAATGTGTTAACTTTTAATTTAAGGGATGAGTTCAGTCATAAATGTTTCAAAAAATTAGACGAAATTAAGCAAAAACAGAGCAATAAATTTATTATAACCGCAATTCTCTACTCTTATGTGTTTAAGTTTTCCGGTCATTAAATTATATTTTCTTCAACAATATAATTGGCGGCAATTTTGCACTATTTTCAAAATAAATATATTATACAGTATTATCACAAAATCTAAACATAAACTTCAGTACAGTATTGACTATTAAAAAGTGAATAATTGTCMAAAAAAGTGCATCATTTGTGGGCTATATTTACAATACGAAAAAGTTTTTAAAAATTTGTAAAACTAAAAGTCAAAGTAAAAAATAATGTTATCTTAAGTTTTGGTCTTATTGTATGTCTTGAGAGAGAGAGAGAGAGCTTTAGCCGACCGACAAAAAAAAGACATACAACAGATGTAAACACTTAAAGAGGACTTAATTTCATCTAAATGTATTGRAATTGGTCTCTAATAATACCATATCAACCCTCTCACTCACTCACTCACTCACTCACTCACTCACTCACACACACACACACACACACACACACACACACACACACACACACACACACACACACACACACACACATTCTCTCATTCACTCACTCACTCATTCATTCACTTTTGTAAACTATAATATGTTTATATTTACTTTATATAGAGAGCCCTATGTTTTTTGGTTAGAATTTAAACCCAAACTACAAAAGTTTTTAAAAAGTGTAGTTATCTGTAAATTCATTGATAATGTAATTGMAATACGGTTTATATTTATAAGGCTTTACTAAAGTATAGTATAGACTGATGAAGAGTGGGACACAAGTACTGATTGAGAAGTACCTCTTGAGTGTATACATCAAACAAATATCTCAACTTTCACTACAAACCCAAACAATCATATAAGACATACAGTATACTAATCTTCAAAGTTAAATATAACAAACCATTGAATGGATTTAATTAATGTTTAGTCTATTAAATGATAAATAGATTGATTGATAGATACAGTTGTAAGATAAACAGTAGTCGTCAATGACTCGTCACTCATTTAATTTAATTAAAATTATTATATAATTATATAAAAAGTATTACATCTTCAAAAAATAATATTTTATTGAAAAAACAACAAAAATATTTATTTATAACTTTATAGATATCTTTAAAATCATAAATAAAAAATAATTAGTTTTAATTAGACTAAAATATTTAAAATATTAAAATGTTTTTAAAAATAGTGAAAAATACAATAATCTTTTAGATAAACATCAGATTTTCCTAAATATCATTTAATTTTTGTATACAGTATATTAAAATGATATTGATATTACATAAATAAATAAACAAATTTGTAAATTTTATTTTYAACTACTAATTTAAATGCGAGTCTCTAATGTCTAAATAAAATATGAGGATTAGTATTAAAGCTCTTTTAAAAACAAATTTTGAAATAATTAAAAATATATACTTATTATAAACAATTAGTAAAACTTAAAATAATTCTAACAGTAATTTAAATATATATATATATATAATTATTATTTCAATTAGTTAGTTGGGAGATAAAGTTTTATTTGTCGCAATTACTAAAACTCTTATTTACTTTAATGCCATAACTGTTATTTGCAAAAAATACTAACTTTAATTAACAGAAAAAAATACTGAAAAACTAACAAAAAAAATCTTATGTTTTGTTTATCTAATGTTAAGCCATACACTTTATACAATTCATTATCTCTTATATACTATATATATAATACACTAATTGGAGGCCAAAAACTTCAATACATTATATAATACACAAAAAATTTCGTTAACAAAAGCCTGTAATTGTGTTTATTATTAAGTATTAAAACTTAAGAAAAAATGAAATCAATATTTAATTTTTCTTTTGTGTCGCTAAACAACTTATTCAAACAATTAATTAAATAAAAGAGAATTTATTTTTAAAGCTTTTTTATTGTGTAAAAGCATTATTCATAAACTAATGGAAAAGTTTTAATCAAATCTAATTAAATATTTATCGAGAATATTATTATTTTTTATTAAAGCATTCTATAAATATATTTTTCATTTAACACTTGTATTATTAGAGATAATTAAATTTATTCAACAAAATCTTGATAAAAATAGTGTCTGTCATTTGAACAGTTTGAGTCAAAATAACCATAAATTGAATTTAAGTATAATTTAATTTTCATAAACTTTTCTAATTTTTTAATATTAAATTTTCATAAAGCAATCATTTATAACAACTATTGTTGTGAATAGAAATTATTTACAGTAAATGCTTTATTATATTATATGAATAGATTTGCATATTTGTTAAAATATATTGATAACTATGATTATAAAATAAGCCAAAAAGACAACCTTATATATTGCTATATAATGACAATTATAGTCTTCATAAATGTTGTCTCAAATAGTCGTTTCTCAAATCGCGTGCATTCATAGTAATGTTGAGTCTCATGTCTAACGACTTATGCCTATTAAGTGAATAATGTGTATAACAAGGCTTATACAGTACAGTCATCTCTCTTTTTGCTACTATTAATGGCTATAATCAGACAGTTAGCTGATCCATGTGCTGCTAATATTATCGCACTCATGTACAGTATATATTTGTTTGCTTTGTGTTTACTTTATTATTGAATTCAATTTATACAATGCGATTGCCATCAAAATTAAATGTCAGTCCCTATCGGTAGTCATTAGTCATTGAGATATTTGATTGTTAAACAGAGCATATAATTCAAAATTTTATTGCAATTTACTCTTTAAAAAAACTAAAACAAGTTAATTTATCAATACATGATATAATGTTAAAATATACTGTATATACAAAATTTTAATTTGAATTATTATACATTGAGTACATTTATTTATATATCATATTCAATAGCGCCTCCCAATGGTGTCCAGTAATGCAATAGTGATGTCATTTAGATGATGGCAAAGATAGTGTAATCAATGAAAGCGTAAAATATTAGTATTTTGTGCGTTTGTCTCTCAGTTTATATAAATTATTTCAATTCAATCACGCGATTTATTGATAAAAATTATGAGGATGTTTGGCTTAAACAAAAATGTTTGGCATTTTTTACTTACATTTTTATAAATGAATTGAATAATTTAAAATACAAAAATATTTAAAAAGAAATAAATAAATTTTGTTTAAATTTAATTTAAATACAACTAAACCCAACAATGATTGATTAGATTTTACTAAATTTTCTATGATTTGGCCAAACCTTTAAAAAACATTTTTAATGAAAAGACAATTTATTTAAACTGTTAATACAAATTTCTTATTTTATTTTATAAGATATGCAAAATGATTATCATAATTTTATTTATTTTAATTATAAAATAAATCGAAATTAAATTAATCTAAAATTTTAATAAATTTATAATTGAATCATCCAATGAGTTAAGTCATATGCCTATCCCATATCTAGTAATCCATTACGCGGTTAATTAAAACCAGTTAAGAATGCTAGAAAGCATTTTCAGAAAAAAAAACTTGAATAACATTGAAAACTATTAGTTTGTATAATTATAGCGGCTATATAATAACATATAAAAATTTAAAAACTGGTCAAATATACATAATATAAATATTGTCATGTATGGTATCAAATGATTCAGTAATTCAAAATAAACTATAGTCATGTGGGGTATCAAATTTGGCAAAATAATCAACTACTCATGTGTGGTTCAAATGATTTAGTATAACAAAATAATCATCTATAATTATACTTTTTCCGCTTATACTTATAGATATCAAAATTTTAATGCATATTTTTTATCCTTGTTTTTGATGGTTTATTCAAATCTATACTTTAAAAAAATTTCTTAAATTATTTTTATACTTTTGCCGCCATTTAAAATTTATACTGATTTATTATATCATATTTTTGATACTCTTTACAATTATAAACGTTAAAATTTTTACCTAATTTTTTTACTTTGGCCGCCATTTTCTTTGTTCCCGAAGAGATATCAAAATTTTAATGTATATTTTTTATCCTTGTTTTTGATGCTTTATTCAAATCTATATTTAAAAAAAATTTTCTTAAAATTTTTTTTACTTTGGCCGCCATTTTGTCTATGTTCCCGAAGAGATATCAAAATTTTAATTAAACTTTTCAATACATTATTAGTAGTCCTCTAATTCAGAATTTCAAAATTCGCAAAATGAAATGCTACACACACACACACACAAAAGGCTCGTATAGATTTCAGAAAACAAAACTTTTCAAGTTTTTTTTGAAAATATTTATTTTGTTTATCACTCATCTTATAATTAACTAACATTATTATCAGGGTTGCTAAAGGTTTTCGATTTCAGGGGGGGGGGGGTATAGGGGGAGGTAAAATGGCAAAATTTTCGAAAAAGCTTGGGGGGGGGGGTATAGGGGGGGGTGAACATTTTTTATTGCATTTTTAAACGACAATTTTTGCCAAATTTGAGTAAATTCCCATTAAATTCCCATTAAATTCCCATTAAATTCCCAATAAATTCCCACTAAAAAATTCCCGCTAAATTCCCATTAAATTTTCAATAAATTAACAAATAAAAATATTCTTTCAATACTCAAAATGTTTTCTAAATATTAAAAATTGCATAAATATATATATAACAAATATAATTATAATTATTAAATAAAAATATTATTTAGATTTTAAAAAAAATAGTTATTGATTAAAAATTAATGATATAATATGTATTTATTAAAACGTTTTAATAATAATAATAATAAAATATTAGTTCTAAATAATTAATTTAATTTAAAAATATATATTTTTTTAGTATTTTATATTTAACTAACACATTTTAATACTGTATTTATTAAAACGTTTTAATAATAATAATAATAAAATTGTCAGAAATAAATAAGTTCTAAATAATTAATTTAAGAATATTTTTTTACATAGTATTTCATATTGAAAAATAACTAACACATTTTACTATAAAATTTAAAAATATTAAAATATAATAACTTTAAAATTTATATAAAAATTTGTTTTCTACTTTTAATAAGAAATAATATATATAAATATTATCATTTATAAAGGCTAAAAAATAAAATAAAATATTTGATTATTTTTTTTGAAAATTGGTGGGAATTTAAGGGAGCTTTTTTCCTTGTATGCCCCAACTCTATTTATGTAATATTTAGTTAATATTATTATTATTATATATATATATATATAAATCTTAGTTTTCGACTTTTAATAAGAAATAAAATATATATTATCTTTTATAGCTATAAATAAAATAAAATATCATTAATTTTTTTGAAAATTTGGTGGGAATTTATTTTTTAGCTTGTGGAGTTAACTAGTGTAAATAATGTAAATTGATGTAATTAAGCATTTTTATCTATTTATTTTCTATACATAAGCTATTAATTTATATTAAAACTAATTTAATATTTATTTTTTTGTTTAATATAAAATTTTATAATTGAAAAAAATTTTCGGCGCCTTCGGCGCCGAAAATTAGTAGGGGCCCCCTACTTTCTGGCTTCAAGGGGGGGTAAAAGCCAAAATTTCTCGATTATATATATTATTATATATATTAKWCTACAATTCAGTCTTATTGATATCTTATAAAGTATAGTATATTTCAATCAATCATTTACTTAATTAATAAACTTTTTATATAAAACATTGATATTTTAAGTAAATGCAATTTTATTATATATATATATATATATATATAAATCAATTTAATTTATATAATCATTTAAATTCTATTTAAATATTATTAGTTTWTAAAATGTCAGTAAATATTTTATTTTTTATACAAATATATTTATATGTAATTTACTTTTAAAAAATCGCTTCAATATTTTTATTAAACTTTTTAATAGATAAATATAAAAAATRYTGTATAATATATATATTAATATATTAAAAGATAAACAAAACGTTTGGGCTGTTATTGATAGCCGCTCTTATCGGATAATAGTCGGCTGAATGAATATATTTAACAAAAAAATATAAAAAATATTTTGTTTTGCAATATCACTGACATTGGAGTAAATTCTTCATTTTATGAATTCATTGATGAGTTAAACTAATATCTCATTTAATTTTTAGCATAACTTTTGATAAAAAATTATTTTTATATAAAGTTATTCAATGGTTGAGCATATTATTCATTTGAATGCTTATGTAAACACTCACGCATGCAATTTAATCACACATCCAGTTCCTAGTGAGCACTGGTATGTGATTGTTTTAATTATATAACGTATTGAACAGAGAATCTATTGATACAACATATATGATGTAAAAGTTTTATAAGAAATATATATATAATAAAAGCAAAACATAAGACATACCTTATAAGGAGAGGCGACGAAAATATATTGACCCGTCTTATCGATTATCATATCAGACAAAATAGGATTTCCTAAATCTATGTCCACTTCTTCAAACTCTTCCRCCAATTCTGAACGAGATATCAATAGCTGTTTGCCATAAATAACATGAAAAGACACAAAAGATAATATAAAAACAAATACAGTAAGTGACTGATCTCTGATTAATATTATTGTATATTATAATTGTATATTGTATTTGTATATTAATAAATTTCACAAAACATCAAACATTATATATAGTATAACATAAAAATGTGTTAACAGTTTGTGAACATAGAATATGTAATTTGTTGAGATGTCAATCAATAACAATGTTATTATATTTTATATATTTAATACAAAATATATACCAACATATTATCAACAGTACTTAACTTTAATTATATGCATGATATGCTTTTAAAATAGTGAGACAAAACACAAATAAAAATATATATATTATTGAATTATAATTTTCTTTATTTTTGTTGCTAATGATTGCGTGCAAAGAATCGCTTTATTAAAATAAATGATTATTTAATGATAAGCACTGAGAATATATGCGCAAAATTTTTTGTAGTCATATTAAAACAATTATTTTCTATTTCTGAAATAATATTAATACCAAATAAAATATATTTAATTAAGATATCTAGAAAAATAATATTATATTTTAATTAATTTCTAAACTATTATAAAATATATATATATATATTGTTAGTTTAAATGTAATAAATAAATATAAAAATCTATAAAAGTATTGTTCAGAATCTTCAGATCATTCAATTTTATGCTACATCTGCTGCCATACAAATCATGAAAATGACTGTAAAGTGTGGATAAATTGTAATAAAAGTTTTGATAAAATCATCACATTTTTTCAATACATTTAGAATACAGTAAATGAATGAATATATCATATATTAAGTTATAAGTTATTCATTTCATTTTCATATATAAAATCTCGTTTAAAAACGGATTATTTAAACTTTGAGACTCTCTGTAAAGTATATATAATATATAATCATTGAATAAATCTCAAATTCAACACATATTTATGTAATTTATTATTTATATTATTCGTATGCAATAAGTAATCTCTTTCTCTCTTATATTAGACTTAAATTTTTGTGTCACACATTTCATGTCATTTTACTACTTTTTCTCACTATTATCAATAAAATTGCAAATAGAGTAGCAAAAAAAACTTATAGTTAACTTTACTTTATAAGTTTATTATTATTATTATTATTGTATAATATGAAAGTGAGAGTTCACTTAACGCTTAAATAAAATGTAAATGAAGTGAATCTTTTGAATGAATACGACTCCGGAATACTTAACATATGTATTACAATTTACTAACTAAACATAGTGTAGAAATATATTTTATAAATTTTATTGTACATTATATATAAAAAAATTTAAATTATATTTTATATATATATATATAATATAGATTTATAAAAAATATTCATTTATTCTACAAATATATAAAATATTTTAATATACTGTTATATGTTAAAAACAAAAAGGGAATGTCTAACAATAAATAAAATAATACTAATTTTTAAATAAATCCAATTAGAAACTTAAGTTTTTATTGTTTTCTTATAAATTCTTTAGAATTATAAATATAAATACAAATGTTAATTACAAAAAAATATATAATAAAAGTTTTAAAAATATATTTGAAGTTATACTATATTATGATTACTATACCGGTTGTAATAATAAACCATATATTATAACATAAAACATCAAGTTTATTTTATTATTTATTAAAAGTGTATCGTTATTATACATCCCTTATAAAGAAACAAAAAATCTATAAATAATTACAATATAAAATATATATTTAACTAAAATTATTAGTAATTTGAGAAATTTTAAAATCCAATGACAAAAAATATAAAAATAAGTCTTAAATGTCTAAATTTCAAACAAAGTTAAGACCAAAACTCTTAAAATTTAAAGTCGCTCTCTCTCTCTCTCTCTCTCTCTCTCTCTCTCTCTCTTTCTCCTATCTCTCATCTATTAAATCAATGTACATATAGTATAAAATAAAATGTTTGACAAACATAATATACTATTATATATATATAGATATATACAGTATATAAGTCATTAAATTAGAAATACTAGACTTTCTAAACTTTCTTCTGTCTAAATCTCTATCAATATATCAATAAAAGTTTCGGCTTTGAGTTTGTTTTGGCATTTCATGTAAAATATTGTAAAATAAACATTAAATTCACGAGAAATTTGAGAATTTTTTTCTAAAAAATAGATTTTCTGTTATGACTATAAATTTACTGTAAAAATGTATTTCTCTTTTCCAATAATAATTTTATTAATTTTATTAATGTTTTTAAGAAATATTATATTTCACTCATTAAAGTCAAACAAATGTCTCGATCTCTTTACTTTTTGAAATATAGTTTTCAATAAATAAAAAATAAAAGAATGAAATATTAAAAATTATATAAACTATTGATTAAAATCGTTTTTTATTTATTCACTAAAATGTAAACTTATTTTTTCATAAATTATTAGCTGTTGATCAATGTATACATTTTTAGCTCATAGTTACTCTATTATTAATAATAAACTTATAAATAATGATAAGATTTACAACAATAACAAAAATCAATATATTAGTAAAATATAACAATACTACCAAAATAAATAAACTAAAAGATAAAAATCCCAATCCTTATGGAAAATGTCGTTAAAAGCTATCAAAACAAAAGGCTAATACATTTTGTTCACAAATTGTATAAAAAAATCATATTATATTTGATATAATAGTAGCAATAGTTAGTAATAGTCGTACTTTCTAATAATAATAATAGTAATACTTATAAAATAAATGATATTTCAACTTAATGTAACATATGTTMATATTTATTCATTTATTAATATTATAAAAATATTTATTAATCAATAATACAAAAATTATCGTCTGCAACTTTTAAATTATTATAAAAAATTATTACATATATTGTACTATAAAACAATTAATACTAATATGTATTTCAAGCTAATATTGTGTGAACTAAACATCAATAACACAACTAATTTATTATAGTTATAAACATTAGATACATAGGAAGGATGTCATATATGTTATACAAACAGTATGTAATAGTAAATTATAAATGTTTTACTAGATTTATATAAAGTAAATATAAAAGATGACATAGTTTTTATGTTTCGTTAGTAAATGAGAGAGAGATAGAGAAAGAGAGAGAGAGAGAGCTATTAATATAAGAAAAATAAAATATAATTCATTAAGTAATTCACTACTTAACTGAACTACAAAACTGTGAGCAAAAAAATATTCAGTAGATATTAGTGCTGACATTGAGGAGCCAATCAATTGATATAAATAACTTACAAACAAATAAAAATAGATATAACTAAAACAACAAAAAACAATAGAAATAAAATAAAAAGACAAAACATTTAACACAAATTCAGCACAAATAATAAGAAGTTCAATGAATATCACTGTAGTATTGAAACAATTATAGAAAAAAACAAATGTTTAGTTGCATAAAAAATTCAATGATACTAAAATATAAATGTCAATTATTTTATTAGTTTGTATAAACAATATTTAATAATATTATACAATGCATATATCTAATAAATCAAGAAAATTTACAATATAATCAATTTCTAACTAAAATAGACAAATTTAATAGTTATTATTAATCATTCAGTATTTTAAATAATACTGTATTATACTTAATGTTTTTTTTTTGTGGATTACTGAATAGAAAATAAATTAAAAAATTTATTGATACATACATTGTATTTATAAAATGTCTATTGATTTACTGCAACTATTTTAACGTGAATTGATTACATATAACTAAAAGACTAATTTGTAGTCAATAAATGCTAACATTAGTTATTCGTCGCAAAATAAAAAAAAAACCTAAAAACAAAACAGGATATAATAGACGACAAAAAAATTTTAGTAAATAAGTGGCTGAAAGTGAGTGTAAGAGTAGTGTCTCATTAATGGCCATTGAATCGCAAGAATACTAAATATAAAAATACAGCACAAAAATAGCCGAAACCTTATGAAAAACAATGTGAAGCAAAGCAACTGAAAACTTGGATAACAAATAATCGACAAACAAATGGTTTTTAACATTTAACTGTTATGTAACTGTTGTTATATACAGAATAAGAAATTCAAGATTATATTTGTAATGCTATTTGTTGGTGAATGAGTGAGTGAGTGAGWGAGWGAGAGAGAGAGAGAGAGAGAGAGAGAGAGAGAGAGAGAGAGAGAGAGAGAGAGAGAGAGAGAGAGAGAGGTTTCTTTGAAATGATGTTGTGATGCGATGAAAGAAGAATTGCCTTATTTTTCAACTCAACACAACGTTGCCTAACATTGCCTAACATTGCATTTATTTGCCATTTATTTTCACAACGAATTGTGTTGTGTTTTGTTTGTGAATTCCAATACACTGTTCACTAGTTTTTATTGTACTGTATTTTTGTTGCAAACATTTTGTATCTCATTTGAACATTTAATGGTGTTTCACTAAAATAGTCATATTATTAGTCAATTGTTTCATATAATGTTTCATTTTATACCACAATATGTCATATACAGAACTACTATACAATTGAGAGCTAATTATTAGTTGATTTTGTCTTTCAGTAAGTCTTAGCCAAAAATAAAATCTTAATTGAATTTAATCTGAGTTCACAATTAATAAACTAAAAAATTACATTTTCTAATAATATATATAATATAATAATATAACAAAGTTTTAATTAATACAAATATACTGTATTTATTTAGCGCTTAAACTAATATAAATATTCATTATATCAGTCGGTATACGTAATATTAAAATAATTAAGAATTAAAGTTATATAATATAAAAAATAATGTATATATTGTAATAAATAATATGCAAAATAATTAATATTAATTAGTTTTTGTACAAAAATTAATTTTAAAAAACTTGTATATAATTATAATATATTTAAATGTAAAAAAATTTAAAAATAAAATGTAAAAATTTGATAAGAAATTTTGATTTAATCTCATAAAATCTAATAACAACTACAACATTAGAGTATAATGTACTTTCAAGAGTATAATGTATTCATATATTATCTTTTTTAACATACATTTGTACATTAAAATTATTTAATCGTGTTATCTCATATAATAAACCAATTGTGAATAATAAAGGTTGAGATTTTATTAGTTTTTGTGTTTAAAATATAAAACAAAATCTAAGTTTTATTTTTTTGTTAAATGTTAAATAAATAATAAATATATTAGGCATATACTGTACTATGTTTATTTTGTTTAAAATTATATTTTAATAACTATTCAAATATAACTAAATCATGCATTCATTTTAAAATCACATCTAATATACATATAATTTAATATAATAACTAATAAAGTATAACTTCTTTATATAATATTGTATAWTTATATTTTTAATTTTATTTTTTAATACTCTAATTATTTAAAATTCTAATGTCATTTAAGAAATTATGAAAGTTTGAAATTACAATTGAAAATATATAGTTATTATTAAAATACATTACAATATAACCCAAAAGTAATTTTATTAAAATTTTTTATGACAAGTAAGCAATAAACATAATACTTTACCAAATATAACAGCAAATCTAACTTAAAAATAAATTTTATGTAATTTGTATAATAAACAAAAATATTTTGTTGTATGTAAAAATACACATAATAAAAATGTTAGAAATAAGTAATTTATTGTCAAATTGAAGGCAATGTAATAAATAGTAGTCTCTCTCTCTCTCTCTCTCTCTCTCTCTCTCTCTTTCTCTCAAAGCATAAAAAATATCTATAAATTTAAACGAAAAATCCTTTCAATTGCTATTAAACTCTAAGGTCCTTAAAGTGTAAGAGAAGAAAGTAGTAGAAAATAGCTAAAGATAAAAGAGCTCGGATTTAAAGGATTTCATTGAAATAAATGAAATGATTGGACATACAGTGTAACTATGAAAGAAAGGGGAGAGTGAGTGAGTGAGTGGGTAAATGTGTGTGTGTGTGWGAGAGAGAGAGAGAGAGAGAGAGAGAGAGAGAGAGTAAAAAATAATATAACAAATAGCAATAAGAAAGTAGAAAAATATTTGTAAGAACTTAAGTGTCGGCGGATTAATGAAGAGTGGAATTAAAGTCGAGTCGATTTGGTTGGGAACGGGAGGTAATGTAATTTTATTAGCAATATATATGGTGTATATAAAAAGTTATATTAAGTTAGAGAGATTGATAGAGGGATAGGGAGATCATTAATTGTCCAGCAAAATGAAGGAATTTTGTCACCTGTGCTCCTAATAAACAATAGTAACAATAGTGAAGCAATAATTGGAAAAAGCATTGGTATAACAGCTAATACTCATTCAATGATCCCGTTATTTGAAATATGGTTAGAGTTATATAGCAATTAAGGATACATATTGTAATAAATTTCATTTTCTTCTCTTTCAACAAAAAAAGAAATATGTTTTTCAATTAGATTGTTATATTAAAAGAAAATTTGTGCTCAAAATACAACGCCCGGTGCTCATAGCTATCCCCATCACTACAACTATCAATTCAATAATATAGTACATAACAAGATATTATTGATGAGACATTACTTCAATATACAAATTGTATATAAGTTGATATATAGTATTGTCAAATACTTGCAATTCCTTATAGTTTCCAAATGATAATAACAACACTATCTTTGATAGATAACAATATATTTATATATTGACATCTCTTACAAACAAGAATTGTAATAAAAACAAAATTAATTTCGGGTTTCAATAATATATTTGTTGGATTGCAAAAAGTTAATATAAAATATTTTATCCAAATTATTTTAACAAATTTAGTTTAATCCAAATTTTTAATTTAATTAGTTATTAAATTATCTACAAACATTTGTACTTTGTATTTACACTAAAATATATTGTTTTTGCAATAATCTTATAAAAAAAATTCAAATAAACACAGACAAGTTATAAGGGTTGTATAATAAACTTTATGATTTTATTTAAAAATATAGTTAATTTTGCATATTTTTAATATTAGAAAATAACTAAAACTGAATGTTATTGTAATATAAAAATATGTTCTGAAATGAGTCAACTTAACTATTAATATATTTTTAATCAATTCATCAAATTTAATATATGTTCATAGATTTTATAGCCGTTTTGGTAGCTGTGACCATAACTTTAGAAACATAACATATAATAACTTTATAGTCTTTTGTCAGTAAAAATATGAGACATTTGTATTATTTAAAAAAAAATTATTGTTATAAAAATGTTGGTTAAAATCATTTAATCAAAATCATTTGGATCAACTGAATTTGAATTAATTGAGTTTTGGATTATTTCTATTTAATAAAAATTTATGATACTGTATATACTGTACTGTAGTATATATACCGGTATATAATGTATATCTAATACATGATAATAAAACATTATAACAAATAATGACATACAGTATTCATGTATAGTCACCAAAACATATATAAACACAGAGGTGTATAAATTATATGTAAATTCAAAACCATACAAATAAAAGCCTTTTAATGCCATTGACTATCAAACAAACAATAAAATTTAAAATTATAAAATAAAGCTATTTCTTTAAATATATAATATGTAGTATTGTATTCATATGAGAATTACTAAAAAAGTAAGAAAAGAGAGAAAGAAAGAGTGATAGAGAAAGGAGTTTATGTAAAAAATAGAGAAAGCCTTATATAAAATATTCAATTAATTTATAACTACTAATCCTTGTGTCACATTAATTCAATTGAATTTAATATTTATGTACATTGAGTACAGGCAAACATTAATACCCTTTTCCAGCATCTAAATCAAGAAAAAGCATTAAAAGTATAACAACCAATAATTTTACACAAAAAAACTAATCGTTAACATTAAAAATAGTTATATTAAAGTTGTAAAATTTATAATAAAAAATACTTATTTTTTGTAAAAATATTATAATTAGATTTAAATGTAAGAATTACAGCTTTAGTTATACTACTAGTATAGAGAAGATATTGTTAAATGAAATTATGATTACAAAAAATACTAAAGTAAAGCAAACATTTATTTGTTTGTCTTTTTCATGAGCTATTTCATGTCATTATCACTAATATGTTGTATAGTTGTGACCATAAATTGAGTCATTGATTGATATCCATAACCATAATAACAATCATCACTACTTTTACTGGTTCTTAACACAAACATAACACATGTGTTAACCGAAAAATTTATTTTTATGTGTTGTTATAATGAAACACAAATATTACATAAAAAGAGGCAATGGATAGCCATAAGTGATAATATAACGTTAATAAAATAATATAATAAAAAACACTTGTAGTCAAGTGGACATACCTTCTTGAGTTGACCCATTCTTGTGCCAACAAAGGCAACGGTGTGTTGACCGGTGGTCATTGAAACCACTGATGTCAGTGTGGTATTTGAATAAGTTATGGCTGATGTACTTTGAATGGGTTGAGAGCCGTTTAGTTTTAATGTCTCCGAACAAAATGACACTATATTTCCTCCCCTCTGTATGAATGCCCATATGTTGAGGAAAGGGAGGATAGAAAAAGAAATGTCAATATTCATAAATATATTTTTGTTTTTGTTTTATTATTAATATTCTAACTAAATATATATTTATATATAGGATTTGTGTGAGTAAAATAGAAATTTAATTAAATATTATATTAATTTTATGATGATTTTACTGTGAAGTATTATGATATGATTGTCTATCATTGAAATGAAGTGAAACATAATTAGATATACCTATTGATTGAGTAAAGTTATTGTTAAAAAGTTAAACCCTTTAAATAAATAAATAAACAGTTGATTCTTATATTTCCCTTATGTTTGCATTAAACTAAATATACTTTATATAAGTTATATCTCTATGTATTTCACTCATCATATGAGAAACAGAGTAAGCATTGGATAACAAGAGAAATATGACTTCCCTTATGTATGCATTTTAAAGCTCTAAAATAAATATTGAATTTTACTATAACTATGAAGAATAAATAAAAAATATTTTATGTTTGAAATTCAATATTTTTAAGCCACAGCATAGACAACAACGCTTTTGCCATCAATTCATAAGAGTATAAACTTTTTTAAAGAGTTTTACCGGAGTTTAAACAGTGAATGAGATGCGAGAGAGAGAAAGAGAGAGAGAGAGAGAGAGAGAGAGAGAGAGAGAGAGAGAGAGAGAGAAAGAAAGAGAGAGCCTTTTAAAGCATAAATTCAATTATGAAAAGTTTTGACAATTTTTCCTCTCAAGACTTTATTATGTGTTTGTGTTTAATGTTTGTCAGTGAATAAGTAGTATAATATAGGATTAAAATCTTAAACACTAGTTTTCAAGTGTTAGCTGTGTTTTGTTAGAAAAAATTTAAAATATAATTTATAAAAATTAAATGTATAAATATTGCAAAAATAATAGGAAGGAAACTAAATGAAACTCATAATAAACAAAGATTTAAATAAAAATAAATTTATGTTTTATAAATACAAAGAATATTCTGTGATTAAATATATGAGAAAATGAATGTTTTGTTATAATAGGAAATGAAATAAATTTGGGTAAAATTGAATTTATAATTAGATTTTAAATAATGCTAATATTTATGAATATTAAAGTATATAACAAAATAATTTCAAATAACACTTACACCAGGCATTGGACAGTCGGGTAAATTGCCGGCAATATAGTCCATATCACGTGTAGCCACCGAACCGTTATAACACAAGTGTATGTTTTGCGTAAACTTCTGTTCAATATCTGCGAGACGATAGACACAAACTGCTGATCGATGGCTGGCTGTAGACGTGTGTTCAACAGCAGTAGTGAAGACACCAACAAACACTTTGTCTCCGATATTAATGTGCAGATCAGTGGCCAAATCCTCACCGGCCGGCACAACAGTTGCGTCTTGAAGAAGCGTATAATCAGTTCCGTCGGATCCCAAGCACTGGATTGTTACTTCAGTGTATGTATTATAGCCGGGATCTGATTGACAAATTCTGGCCAACCGTGAAATATAGCCCCATTCTTCGAGAGCCCGTAAGTGAGACTTCCGCTGAACGGTTGCAAAGTAAACAAAGTCTGTCGTATGAAAAGCAGTGATATAACGGACGAGATAATAGTCGCGCAAATGAGAACTGATGTCCACTCGGGCGTCGGTAAAGGATTTTTCGATAATATTGAATAGTTTGGGTCCCGACTCAAGGGAACGACTACTAATAGCCGGCACCATATCACGATAGGGTCCAAGTCGGGAATTAGTGGCCGCCACATAAAGCACTGGACTGGTTTGTGGTCCGAAATATTTTGCCGGTCCCACTAAGGCTATTGTGGACGAGTTCTCGTCATTAGAGGCAACGGGAACAGTGACCAACTCTTCACGTTGGCTAATATCCGCCAATCGATGTCTCTGACATGAGCCCTGACGTACTGAACCACACGCAATGAGCACCCGATTGTACGGATCAATGACAAGTAATTTGTTAATATTRTTCATTAGATGCATGTCTTCAATGCCATTGCAATCACTTGCCGAACACTGAGGACTGTCTTGTAATGGACCGGTTTGTACGGATGCCTCTTTGGTTAGATTGTTATTGAACTGATAGATCCAATTGGAGGCACCGACATATAGAAGCGATGAGTTGCGATCGTAGACTAAATGTGTTATATTGATGCTCTTATTCTGCATTGAATACGAGGCTATCACTGATTGAGAGCTACTGTCCGCAGCACCGGCTGACTCACTTAAGTCCGTGGCATCACATATGTTACAAATGGACAAAAATGACACAATTGTTAACCACATGAATGTCATCAATAAGTTATTGAAACGCTTGTGATTTAACTGTTGTGTAATATATAAAGTTCTCATATTTTTACAATTAGTGTTATTTTTATGATTTTTATGAATGCAATTATTCATTGCTATCTTCACTGATGACACATCAGCACTGGATCTAGTGATCAACGTTTGCTTTGAATTATGGATTTTAACCATTGTTTCACTTATAAACACTTATCTGTAGATTTATTATTAATTAGAAATTTTCTTATCAATAAATCTCATGATTTTTTCACCATAAGCTTTGACAATGAATCTACAAAAAAAATAATTATAACATTTAATTAGATTATTATTTAGATTGAATAGCAATGAAATAAATATGAAATAATTTACAGAAAACTAATTAAATCATATTCATTAAACTTAATGATATGTGCTTAAGATAAATGTAAAAAACATTATTACAGTTTATCGCAAATTTTGTTGAATATAAGTTACGATATGTTTATTTTATTATAAAGTTATGCTATAAAACTATTTTAGTGCTATTGATATTGCTATTTGTATTTTCAGTTATAAATTAAGTATAGAGTAAGTTATGAATTTGAGATTTGTTTGGATATAAAGTATAACTTATAATAAAAGTTGACTTATTTCCGACACATATACCGACAAACATCATGTATACGAATGTATGAAAATAACAATTGAATATAAAAATATTCTCTTATATTCATTGATAAATCAATTGATTGATCGTTGTTTACAATTAGTTATAACTTCAAATAAAACTGGTGTATATGACATTATAGATATAGTATAAAGTTGGTTACAAACAAAGTTAAAGTAGGGGTTAATAATGGACTCAACAAATACAATATAAATGATCGCATCATTGAATCAACTAATCGGAAACTCTCCTCTCTCTCTCTCTCTCTCTCTCTCTCTCTCTCTCTCTCTCTCTCTCTCTSTATATATATATATATATATATATATATATATATATATATTTGTCAATAATGATTATAATAATTACAAATTTTTATATTATATAAATCATTACAACAAAAAAGTTCGATATTAGTATTAGAAAATTATTTAGAAAATTAAATTCATAATTCAAATGACCCCAACACACAAATATAGCTTATATTGTATGTCCACTTAAAAATAGGAAACACTATACTGTATTGAATTTACATTGAATAGATAACAATGATATTGTATTAGTGTATAAAAATATTACAAAACTATATTAATCTCATATTAACCTATCAAAATATCAATTGTTTGAGTCAATGAATATCATTATCATATCAATATATAAAATAATTTTCTTTAACAGAAATTATATTTATTATAATATAAAATAAATTCAAGAATAATATTTTGATTAAAATATATTAATACTTATAGATGTGTTAATTTTGAGATGACAAGTGTTTGTCAAATGTTGAGTCAAATCATAGCATAAATGCTAAGAAAATATTTCTTAAGTAATAATAAAAAACTTTATTACATTTTAATATAGATAGACATTCATATCAATCATACTGTAAACACTTGTTAAAAAACAATAAATAATAATAAATGTTTTCATATAAATAACTTATAATATTTGGACACTTATTATATATATATATTTATTATATTTAAATATCAACGTTTATCAAGCGATATACTGTTTGTTATTAGAAACAAACACTTAAATTAAAGCTATACTAAAACTAAAGTATTGAACAAGAGTTGAGAGCAAGTGTGGCATCCGATAGTTCGTACATAACTGTGCACTGATCTGGCATAGACACGCTGTCAGTGAGCACTGGTAGGCAATTTCAAAAGTAAATGCTCGCACATGGATGTGAAGGAGGTATTTATTGGTAAGACAAGAAGTGTACACTAAGTTTAATGATTGGCACATCTGCCACAACTTGGATGTCTATGTGATTGAAAAAAGAGAGAAAGARAGAGAGAGAGAGAGAGAGAGAGAGAGAGAGAGAGAGAGCATTGATAGTTAAATCTTGTGTACAGTCATTCTATATAGTCATACAAAATGTTTAGATTTATTCAAATTTTCGTGTCTTTTTACAGTTGTCTTGAATGTTAGTTTAAAACATTATACTTTATTTGGTACATCTGTATATATTATATATATTATATATATTATATAAATATATCTTTTTATAAAATAACCACTATATTATATATTATATATTATATATCATATGCTGTAGCTATAGTGTATTATCGGTTGAATCCCATTCCCCTTTAAAACCTAATATTCCCATATGGGTTCAAATGGAAAAATGTATATTTAGAGAAAATATTTACTTTCAATTTAAATTTGAATTTACAATACAAAGCAATTGTATGTTTTCTAAGAAAAAAAGAATATTATAATTTTTATCAACAAATAAATATAAAATATTTCTTAAATTTTGAATAACAACATAAAAAATATTTATATTAAATGTATATAAATTTTTAAAGAATATTTATAAATATTGTAACAAATTTTGTTAAATATATTTTGTCTAATATTTGGGTAGTTTTCATCTTTTATATGATAAAATTTCGTGTAAATAAAACTAAAATATTTGTGTCCTTTATATCACATCCTTAACGAACCGAAAACAACATTTTTATATGAAAATTCATATATTTTTAATAAAATATTATTTTGTCTCTAATAAAAAATATTGTTATTTATATGCGATATGAGAGAGGAATTCATAATTCATGTTAATTACATTTCATGTAAACATCTATTGAAATAACATTAGACTTATATGTACTTTATGTGAATGTCTCACATAATGGTTATATATTTAGTAAATATTATAAGAAAATATCACATTTAATGTGTGTTCACAGGAAATATCATAATATGAAATACAATATCATTTGCTCGACATTTCATTTATGAATATCATTATATGTTTTTGAAAACTTATATATAATCAGATTAAGGCATAGATATTAAGGCATTAAAACATAAAATTATGTTTTGCTTGTTTTTTTGAACTAAAGCTAAAAACATAAAAATACACAACTATTTGGCATTACTGTTAAAGTACAGCACAGTATTAACTTAATAATCATAAGAGAGAAAGTTGTTTTAATTATTGCTTCAATAATAGTTGCAAACTATAAATATTTTTAAGTACATTACAAAGTACAGCACATTAAATATCTAATATTTAAAATTACAGAAATATAATCTATGATTCAATGCTAACAAAACATAACAAAAATATAAACAAAATAATTATAAATATAAACAAACATACATACTATATAATATCTACATAAATATGTATATATTGATATAAGTACAGTATATACTCAATAAATGAATTTAATAAATGAAAACTAATTTAATACATTCAATAAGTGTTATGTAAATAATTTTTTATAAATAATAATTTCACTTAACTTTAAATGAACATATAGTATAGATACATATAAATTTCATATAAAAAACTTTTAAAATTGTTATTTCTTATAAATTATATACAGGTATATAAGTTTTATTTTCAMAAGTATAATAATGTGATTATTTATTAGTGAGAGAGAGAGAGAGAGAAATTAATTATTTTACATTTGAAAATTTCGATATAATTATATACTTATTATTATATAAAAAACATAAATTGGCATATATTATAAAATATTTTTTATAAAGTATATAAATTATTTATAGTTTTATATAATTTTTAATTTGCATTTTCTCTATTCTATTTCTAATTACAAAATATTAATACAAAAATACCATTAATTTATACTATGTTTGTGTGTTAMWGAAGTCATAAAATGTTATATAATATTATAAACATTATTGCAAAAAAAATGAGAATAATATATGCAATACACAATACAATAATTTACAATTTATTAAAATATAATATTTTTCATATACACACATTTACAAAATCAAGTTGTTCTGTATACGGGCTTATATATCAATAATGGTATTACTAAATATCATCAAATTTGTCTAATAAATAGAGAATCTCACATAAATTTGCTATATTTCATATTTATTCATAAATTTATAATTAATAGTTTGGAATAATATAAAATTATGTGAAAACTTTTAATATAAAAACAAATGTGTTCATCATTTTAACACTTTAGTTGACACCATTGGTCATTAAACAGTAATTTATTTGAATAAATTACAAAATCAAATGGAGTCCACTTGAGTGTTGAACTGATAGACACATAATTTAGTGATTGTTAAGTCATTTTATTTAATGTAATATTTAATTAATTATGTTTTCACATAATTTTCAAATTATTTCAAAAATATTAATCTTATAAATCGAAACTTGATTTTGTAAATGTGTGTATACTATACCCTGTATAGTAGATACTAAATACCGTTAATAAATAATATTAAATGAGAAATGAAATGTTTTTTTAAAACATTTTTGTTTATTTAAAATAAAATGAGAAGATTATTTAACTTTATAATAAAAAAAAACTTTTTATTATAAAATTAAAACAAATGCATAATTTAGTAGATATATTGAAGTTTATTATATTTTATTACTAATTTTATTAAATAAAAAATCTTAGATCAAATTTTTATTTGTAATTTGATTGGTTGATATGTTTGTTTGATTATAACATCAATTGATAAATTTTTATGTACACACAAATCTATTAAATTAACATAAATTTAAAATAATATTTAATGCATTTTACAGGAAATAAATTTAATAAATATGCTAAATATAAAATTAGAAATTGAATAATTTTATATATAAGTATTTTTATATACACAATAAGAGAATAATATGTCAAAATGTATTGTTCACAAAATATTAAACTACAAAACAACAACACATTTATATTATATAAAAAATAATTATATGTCTTATTTATATAAGGTTTTTGTTATAATGAATTGAAAGATAAGTGAAGCATTGGTTGACATGTTATGTGAATGTTATGTCAAATATAAATACAAGAAAAAGTAGAACAAGTATTGAGAATATAAAATACATTATATTTTCGTATGTCTTAACTCTTATGGCAAATATTAAGACAAAATTGTCTAAAGAGTATTGCCTTTCAGTTTGATATTTATTTCTCTTTCGTTTACAGTATTTTTATAATACACTTATTAACTATATGTATGTATTAACAGTATATCCTATTTTTAAAACTTTATAAAAATTATAATAATATTTAATACTTTAATAATTCAA